AACTGCGCCAGTCAGGCAAGGCGGATGTGGCCTTGCTGATTGAAGGTCTCACCGGCGGCAAGACGAAAGAAAGATGCCCGGTTGAAGTCGCCACAGATGCTTTGCAAGACGACTTCGACGACATTTTGGATGGGGAAGAGATGTCCTTCGCATATGAAGTCATCGAGGATCCAGCAAAGGCCACTCAATTCGTCCGTATGCGGGGTGAGTCCCGAGAAATCTGGTTGCGACGTCACATTCGCATCAAGATGAGCAAGCACGCCATTCATGAATAATCAAATGGTATTTGGTGCATTATCTAATTTATTTGTCTCTGTCGACGGCGGTTGCGCAGTGTTGTTTGGTACTGGCTCCAAATCGCTGAAGCAAATTGAGTCTCGCCAAAGCTTGGCTTCGTTGCTTTCTGGCTCGTCTGGTACAGCATCTTCAACTCGGTCGTTTCTTTGAGCTTCATCGTCGGCGGCAGCTTCGTCCGGAGCAGCATCAAAGTAGTCATTGTCCCCATGAATACGAATGAAATTGTGCAACATACACAATACCAAAACCATATCCACTTGGAAGGCAAAATCATACTCAACTGGATACACAAGCACAGGAAAACGCTTTTTCAGAATGCCAAAAATCCTTTCAATCACATTCCGAAGCTGCCCGTGCCGGAGGTTGAAGATTTCTTCCTTGGTCAGTGGACGACGTGACCCCCGCCCATACTCCTTCAAGTGGTAACGCGTCCCACGATATGGAGTGAGGCAATGCTTCGTGAGTGCGAAGCCAGCGTCCATCAAGTCGAATTGGTCACCGGTTGCCTCAATTCCCAATCGTTTGGCCGCTTCGAACATCTTGCCGTCTCCTGCGGTCCCCTCCCAGCCAGCCAGAACGAATGTGAACTTGAGGTCGAAGTCGCAGGCAGCCAAGACGTTCATTGTGACGCCCTTCCGACTTTGGAATCGGGCAACCATGCTCGATGGGACAGCCACTGGGATATGGGTGCCGTCCATGGCCATGCGGCAATTCGAGAAAAATGGGAAGAACTTGCGGCTGTGGAGAATGTTTGGGTGGACGGGGCTTGTTGTTGACGGCATCTTGATGTACAGCTGGCACATTCGTCGCATGGCGGCCATCACGGATCGCAGGTGCCTGGTGATCGTTTCTCCGGACCTTTGAAATCGGCATTGCATTTCACGGCTTGTTGCATGGTGCCCAGCAAAATAGAGCAGCATGGCGACTTGTTCTTGGTTTGACACGTTCACCGTTCGCCGAAGTCCACCGTGTCGAACTGTTGCGGACCACAAGCTTGTCGAACGTTGTTCGTGGCATTCGAAACGTTTCCATGCAATTGTTGGGGTTCCCGGAGAGGACTTCATCAACCCACAGTGTGCCCTTGAGAATGGACATGCGCTTCGGCGACTTGTTGATGTAGGCGAAGATGTGGTATGCCAAAGCCTTGATACGCGCATCTCGTTGCATGCGACGGCGGTGCAACCACACTGCGAGGACGCGCACGAGTGTCGAGGGATCCATCAGTTCCAGAGAAAGGCGCTTTGGGTTGTGACAGTACGTCAAAATATACGACTTCGAGTCGTATATTGAATTATCTCGTTTTCGGGCCATTATCGCGTATTCTTTCGTAATATTAATTCCTCAGTATTGACCATCCAGACAGGAAAATCCTACGTATTGTCAAATACGCAATAATTTTGCAAAATATTGCAATAAAACATGATATTCCACTCCATCCAGACGGGCCCTAAACGATGTGAATATTCGAAATAGTAGAGTTCTTGATCAAATCCCAATAACCATCGCAATGACTGACTATTTAGAGAATAGATCGGTATATCGCAAATAGATTGAGTTCATCGGTAAATGACTCCCAATATGATTAGTACAGTCAACGAAGGAGTGGTTCGCCTACTGTTTTCTTCGAGGAATCGGAAAATAACGGTAAATGATTGGCCGCCAAACTTCGAACTACGAAAATTGTTTTAGCCAATAAAGACCATTTTTCTCGTTATTATTGAATGCGTTATTTACATTTCGACAGGTTATGAAAAATGGGAGCCCATACCGAGTACTTATGTTCCAAATCGGCATTCGGTTACACAGGACATCAATTCTTGCAAAGTGATGTAATTTAATTCAAGCAATACGAAGTACCTACGTTAAAGATAGCGTTTGACGCGGTGGCGCAATGGTTAGTGCGACGGCAACCAAGTCGATTGAGGAAGGGGGCCGGGGTTCAAGCCCCGGTCAGTGTCAAACTTTTTCCCGTTTATTTAAAATTAGAAAAACTACATACAAAATTCAAATACAAACCAACCAGTTATATATTAATTCCACAATAAATATAAAGCAAGGAGTGGCTACGGCAGTGTGCTCAAGTGCGAGGAATCGCTTTGGCGAAGCTCTGGCGAATGACGTCTTCGCTGACCTTCTCCCACGCCGAAATTGCCCGTTTGATCATTGCGAGACGTTTCTGCGCAGCACAGGGTGAATCAAACTCGTCGCCATCGATGATCTCCTCAGCCAACCACTCGTCCCGTAGGAGCCTCTTGAACGGCGCCATCACACCGACATCCAGCGGCTGACACACAGATGTCGCATTCGGAGGCATCGGTACGAGGAGACTACGCAGCTCGTCTTGAACAATGTCATAGGACTCGTCGGATACATGCGACTCAAAGATGACCGACGGCGCTTCGACACAGGGCAGTAGCAAGTCACGAAGGTGCTGTCGCCACACGTCATTGTCCATCCACGCCTTGCGTTGTACTGCGTAGACATGGCCAGCGGGATACGTTGGTTGCGATATGACCGCCGGATTGGCCCCGAACGACGAACAGCAGAGGCATCTTCGTCCCATCGGCACGAACGGTAAGCGCCACGGTCATGCGAAGTGAATGCTTCTCACCCGATGACACTTTGGCATCGCCACCCCTGATTGACCAAATGTACCTCGGTGGCATGTCATAGTGAAAACCCGTCTCATCCACGTTGTAGACAGCGTCGGCATCGAAGGCGCTGTAGGCGCGGTGAAACTCCTCCGCAAACTCGTCGCGGACCTCGGTCAGTGCAGCACGGGACTTCTTGTGGCCAGCGCGTTGACGAGAGTACCCATGACGATTGCAGAAGAGTTGGAGCAGACGAAGGAGGCATTGGTATGCCATGCCGGGCTCCTTATCGGCAAGGTACAGTCGCAGCCAGTCAGGTTGGAAGCGATTAATCCAGTTGACAATATGAGTCGTGGTCAATGCACGTTCACGAGCACGCATCTCGGCTATGAACTCGACGAGTCCTGTTGGGTCAGGAAAGGACTCGGAGCGGCCACCAGGGCTGAGTTTCATTCGTTTTTTGTTCCCGGTGTACGCCAGGATATCGTCTCGCTGGTCTGCCCAGGAGCATATGGTTTGTCGAGGAATTCCCAGTTGAGCCGACACCTTGTAGTCCGACATAGTCTCCAGCAGTGCAATGGCCTCAAGCCTGATGGCCACTGGGTGGGCGCGCTTTGGGCCGCGAAGGGTTGAGTTCACTGTCATCAATTTGTCAATGATTGTGGCGAGAATTTTTAAAGGAATCGCGCCGGCGGGAAAATATTATAGCTACCCAATCACATGCCTTCAAATCACAAAAAAAATTGATTGGTTAAAAAAGAAGATGCATGTCAACATAGTTCGATAGGCGAACCACTCCTTCAATAAGCGTCCGGCTCAAATAGTACGTTGCTGATCAAATAGTCAGGTACGTTGTATATATCAGTATTTTGAAAATGACTCACTTATTATTCAAATATGCAAGTCGGCTTTATAGTCAGACTATTTCGATAATAGATCGATCGACATCTCGTAAATAGACTGAGCAAATTCGTAATTAGCAGCGAATATGATAAAAAACGTCTGGACTGCGTCAAACATTCACTTATAGAGGGATATCCACGTCGCAAAATGACAGAATTTGATTGGCCGCCGCCATATTTTCGCGCGCAAGAGCTCAGTGCTGCCGAGTCAAACCACACAATTCAATTCTACACGGATGGTTCTCAACGTCACTTCAATGCTGGAACGCTTGAACGTTCAAAGCGTGTCGACCGCTTCGGCGAGCAGAAGCACTACTTCAGCGGCAAGCACAAGCTATACGGTCTGAAGATCGAGGCATCCGTGTCGCCCCATGGTCTGCTCGTCGACTTGAGTTCTCCCAGGCTGACTCTGTGCACGATCTGACGATGTTCCGCAACCGCCTTGACGTCCATGTGCGTGCCCTGATCAAGAAGCCTGTAGCAGCGCCAATGAACGACAACGGCGAACCGTCTGAGACGTACCCGAACATGTGGGCTGTTCTGGTTGACATGGGGTACGTTGGGCTGGCGCAATCTGTGCGAGCCGTCCACCCGAAAAAGGAATCGGTGCATGGTACACTGGATCGCCAAGACCTGGATCGCAACACGAAGGTGTCGTCTGACCGTGCCATCGTCGAGAACTTCTTTGGCCGTGTATGTCTCCTGTGGAAGATCTCCTATGGTACGTACGCGTGGGACTCCAAGTTCTACGATGGGATCCAGCGCCTTACCTTCGCGCTTCCGTGTTGGACTGATGTCCCTTCGCGCTGAAGACAACCACCACTACCGCTCTGTTCTGGCTTGTTACGCCCGAATGGCTGAAGAGAAGAAGCCTCAACGCGCCCGGACCGAACGCTGCTATGTGCTAAGACGCGCTGAACGCTTGGCCACGGACTCTTTGCGTGCTTCTTTCACTGCTCGTGCGTCGTTCGCGTCACCTGGTGGTCGTCGTTGATAAATTGCGATGTTATACTTGACATTTGTATAGTTCAAGATCAAGTGTACATAAAAACTTTCATTAAAATTATTTCCCATCCTTGTTTTTTACCAGTGATTTGATTTTGAGCAATATCCGAGTCAATTTCGATATAGAAGCATCCTTGATTGTATACCCTGTCGTACCTATGAAAGACGATTGATGATGAAGTCAGTCAAACACTGGTCAGATGTAATCATTCGTACTGTGTACACCACCAATTTTTTCCGCGTCATTACATGTTAGCCCCACTCACACATACATCACAATCGAATTAATCACAAGGATGGTACTCAACGTCAACTCGATGCTTGAGCGCTTGCACGTGCAAAGTGTCTCTGACCAGCTATACCTGGACGAGAGTCTCTACGGCGAAGTCGTCGCCGAGGAGAACGACACGCTGACCTACAGCAATTCGGTGATTGATAAGGTCATGGAGGACAGCGGCGTCGAGGGGTTCCGTACGCTACAACTTCACTGCCGACGAGTTCGTCACCAACTGGCAAAATCATGCACTCGACTTTGACCTCAAATCACCAACTCTTGAGAAGATGATAATGCGTGTTATCGACGTTATCTCTCCGATCCTCTACGCCCATTTTGTCACCATGCCATCCATGGAGTCCCTCCGCGACAACGGTACGATCTCTACCCCTACGCCAAGTACGCGGCCGATGTCAAGTTCCAACCATCCCACCGACCATCGGGCCGATTTGGTGAGCAGCGACATTACTTCAGTGGCAAGCATAAACTCTACGGACTCAAGATCAAGGCATCCGTGTCACCACAAGGTCAACTGGTAGACATGAGTCCTCTTGAACCTGGCTCTGTGTCGGACCTTACCATGTTCCGCACGCGGCTCGACGTACACGTGGCCGAATTGACGAAGACACCTACGGAGACGACCGTCAATGACAATGGTGAGCTGTTCTAAATGAGTCTAACTTGTGGGGCGTACTGGTTGACAAGGAGTACATTGGTCTTGCAGCATCCGTACTCGCCATCCACCCCAAGAAGCGACCGGCGAATGGTGCCCTTGACCGCCATGACCTCGAACGCGACGCTGCAGTATCCGCCGACCACGTGATCGTCGAAAACTTCTTCCGTCGCGTCTGCTTGCTTTGGAAGATCTCCTACAGCACGTTTGCGTGGGGAGAGAAGATATACGATGGTATTCAACGACTCACCTCCGCATGGACGAACTTCCACATCGGTCTCATGCCGCTTCGTGAAGACGACCACCACCAGTATCGCTCGGTCCTTGCGCGCTACGCACGCATTGCAGAGTAGAAGAAGTTTCAGCGTGCCGCGACCCAGCGCCGCTATGTCCACCGTCGTGCGGAACGTCTCGCAACGGATTCGATGCGTTCATCCCTGGCTGCCCGAGGCTCCTTTCTCTTTCCATCTGTGAACACCCGCCGTTAGTTTTTTAGTGGCAGTTTACACTTGATATTTGCATACAAACTTCAAGTCTAAATAGAACTTGAGTATTATATTATTCAGCATGCGAATTTCTGATTGATTGATGAACTTGTTTTGAGAAATCATGGAGTAATTTTGGAAATAACTGAATCTATTCCTAACTGCCATGTCTTTCATCGAAGAGTCTATTCCTAACGAAAAGAGTATGTCTATTGTCAGAAGCACACGTCTTTCCTGTGAACTAGAGTCCTTCACAAACGTAACGCCGAATTGGGAATTGTATCGATATGTTTGAACTGGTGTCCTACAACATGTGAATTATACTGCCTGGGAGGTGACATACACCGGACATTAGTCGAAATATACTGCATGGTAAGGACGAAATACAGGTATATCGAATGTTCGGCGAACATAACGCACATGGCGTGAATCAGCTGTGCATTGGGCAAAATATACCGGAAATCAAGTCGTCAAAAATGGAATACTATTAATATATTAATAGTATACGTATAGTACTGTAAGTAGTACTGGTATCAAAGATGAAGTCTTGCAGTTATTTATTACTACGTAGTACTAGTAGTAATACTATAATACTACTGGTACGTACGGAGTAGTATTAATAGTTTCGTAACGTTAGGATTATCTTGTAAAAGTGGATAGTACAGGAAACAACAGCGCCGAGTCCAGCTTAATCCGTGGGACATACAAATCTGCTGCCTCTGCAGTGACTTCGAGCGCAACAATCGTAACCTGGAAAATGCATCGATCGATGCATGTAGTAGTTAGCATTGCATCTTGTATACCTATATCCAGACTTTCTCTTTGTTCTCGCACTGACAGAACAAAATGTGTTCGTCAGAATGATTCGAAACGTTATTTACAGCCAATCGAACAAACCAGCCATCATTCATTTATTAATTTCAAACGACTTGGGTTCGATAAAAGAAGAGTAAGAGCGTGGGCTTCAATGTTCGAATAAATGAATTGAAAATCCATTCGGACGCGTAAAGAACAGACTGGTAGGTGAACGTTGCCATGTTGTCGTTGCATTTACAAACCAAGAAGCACAGTTGCCGAATCTTGCGCGCAGGGCCGATCATGGAAGTTCCGCTCGTTCCCGGTGTCGAGCTCGCAGCATGCAAATCCTACATCGACACAAAAACAAAGAAGTGGACGCTTAACATATGGAAGTGCCGCTACTGGCACATGCACAACCAGGAGCTGACTGTGTACTACGAGAAAGCGGACTTGATGAAAAACAAGTTTGTCAAGCGATACACGATCCTGTCTGGCGCCAAGTGGGAAGACAAGCCGTGGGGAGTCAAAGTCGAGACGAAGGAAGTGGGATGGTTGTTCGGCGTCATCCACTCCAAGGCCGAGTGGGCGGGATGGTTGCATGCGTTCATCGTCCTCGACCATAAACTGAACCCACCAGTGCGGCGCGTCGAACCCCGTCCGCGACGATTCTCTCTCGATTCCAACCAGAGCACATCCGACCTTCGATCTGCCGAAAACTCCCCCAAGGACCATGGCGACAGCCCTTCGACAAGTCCAACTCGCAGGGTGTCCTTCAACGGCGGCGTCAAGGTACGCACAATTCCTGCATTACAAGATGAAGACAAGGGCGATTTGTACTACACCGATACTGAACTGGACAATATGAAAAAGGGGGCCCCTGCTGGCAGCGCCATGGCGTCCAGACGACGACCCATGCCCGTCATGGCATAGCATGCCGTTTGTTTGTAGAGTTTACTTGTTGTAATTTGATCGTATTTACATTGCTTTTTCAAACGTGAAGTTGTCATGGGTACGTTTGAGATTCGTCGTCTGACTAAGGATCGCCGCCATGTGTTAGACATGCTTGCAGCTGCATAAACGACGTCATCACTCAAGTGTATGTATGTACATGTACAGTACACCACACGTCGTCATGTTTCCATGTCACGTTCCGTCCTGAGACGACTCGTAAGAAGGCGCATGTCCGTCGTTGTTCCTCGGGTATCACACATCCATCGCTCCTTGGGTATCACACGTCGCATGGACCTGATGGTGCTCATCCTTCTGAATTCATCGGCGAAATGACACGACCGGCACTGCAAGGATGCGCTTGGATGCTCAAGGATGTCGAGAAAAATTCAATTATTTATCTATTTATGAAGGTTATCGAAAATAAAAGTATTTACACCAGCATTTAGTGTGAGTTTATTACACTATTTTGCTGAAATTCCATTCATTGTTGGGAGAAATCATCGGAATGGAGGAAGGCCGAGTGCACTTCGAGAACCAACCCTTGCGGAATGCCGCGATCCTCGAGTCCTTGGACCAAGTAGAAGACGTACGGAGATGCAGAATGGTGTAGTTGTCGGGTGTCTAATGTCCACGTAGCAACTGGTGCTGGCTGTGGAGAAGGCAGGCATTGCGATGCAGCATTTGGCGAACGTGACGACGGAAGGCCGCGACGCCGAGTTTCAAAAGACATCCGAAGAATTCCTGCATCTTGTTGGCGGCATCCACACAGAATTGGCCAAGCATGCGCATTTGGTGCAGGATTACCGCAGTTATGGCCGCAGCACGTACGGGGTCGAGAAAGACGCCGAGTTGGCGCGCACGAACGTCAAGATGATCTTGGCCCAGCTGCGGGACTTGCGGCGGTACACGGACGAAAACAATGCCGAATAAGAAATCTCATGATCGTCGTTACGCGTGATTGTGCGCTGCCTCTTGCACCGGGCGCCGGTACTTTTGAAAGTGTGTGTGCAGCTTTTGAATGTAATAGTGGTCGCCATGCTGCGGCGGCGATGTCTCGTCTGCGAGCAGTCCGTCCTCGAAGGCAAACTACAATCGCATCGTGCATGTGCTAGCTAGCTATGTTTGTCAGGATGATTTGAAAGAACGTACGTCTTGGCGAACAGGAGTGATGGTCGCTTCAACTTGGGCCGCGAGGGTTTCCAGTGTGTGGTCGTCGTACTCGTCATCTCGTTCGAGCATCACCACGGGCCTGAGCGGCCACTTTTGATTGTAGAGATGCCTCCAAATGGTACTTTGGTGCGCGGCATCCCCCACGAGCATCTCCATGCACGTGTCCAACTCGATCTCGTGCGTGTCTTTCGTCGTCGTCAGCTGCGCGGTGTCCGAGAGGATGTCTCGAACAAACGACGTCGAGTGCTGACACGTTTCCGCCAACACACCATAAGTACCCTGTGAAAAACATAAGAAGGAATCACGGCGTCGTTAGAGGACGGACCTCGTGGGTGACACAGAGACGCAACAGCGTAAAGCACGCCGCCTGCCACTTGACAGAGCCTTCGGTGGACGCCAAGACGACGTACACGAGCGCGTCCACGCCGTGGAGCCCAATCTGGTGCAGAGTGAGGTGATTCTGGACAAGGTGACGTCATACAATCGTGGCGGCAAACGGCGGGCAGTGCAGGAGAATGCTGTCGAGGCAGTGGCAAATGCGCACCACGTGCGATTTCGCATGCATGAAGCACTCGACTTCGTAGAACTCATCGGCCGTCTTGGGGAGGTTGTGGTCTCTGAGGATGTGGTCGTTAGTGTCAACAGCAGACGACGCTATGGCACCGTACGGTTTCACTGCAGCGTCGCGGAGCCATCGTAGTAGCTCGGTGCACAAGGCATGCTGGGTATAAGATGAATGGATGGAGGTCCACAGTACTATGTCAGTGGAAGTAACGTACATGGTTGGACGAATCGTGCAGCAAAATGTGCACGAGCTCAAGAGCGTCATACTGCACTTTGACGCTATCGTTACCCAACAGTGTGATCGCAGTGGGCACGAGGTCCCAGATGCGCTCGATCACGCGGGCGTCGTAATGCGGAGACTTGGTGGACACGAGCTCGCAAACAATCTACGCGTATTGCTCAATATATGTATCCCAATATTGTAGGTATACTGAGCACGCTATGCAAGCACTCGTGGACGTACGTACCTGAGACGCCATGCGCACCAAGCTGACGTGGTTGCTGTCGAGCAGCAAGTGTAGGGCTGCAAACGTGGCGGTGGTGGAGTTGGGGTTACCACTGCATTGCTCCAGCAGCATCGCGTGACTTGTCAACAACAGCTCGCTGTCGCACGACACGCGGGGACCTGGTGTACGTCCATAATGGCATGGTAGCATGAGACGAGGTCGTACTTCGAGCGATGCAACACTGAACGACACTTCGCTCGCCGCCGCAATGGCTAATGTACTCTTTGAAAGATCGACCACACCGCCCCAGGGTCTGCAGCAGGTGAATCACGGCCGCGCAGTCGGCATCGGTCACCGCGTGCGTGGGAAATGACAGCACATACAGAAGCACGGGCACTCCTTCCATCTACCGGTACATGTCGAAACCAGAGCGCGGCGAGGGTTTGAAGTACACACTCATACCTCGACAAACTCTTGGACGTAATGGCCGCGGAGAAAGACCGCCACGGCGTGGATGTGCTGCGTCAACCCGTCGCCGTCGGTGCAGTTGAGGCGCAGCCAAGACACGATGCGCGACAGGTACAACCCAGCGGACGACCCCAAGTCCTCATCCAAGTCGACTGTCGTTTCAAACATGTGCGCGTCGCGGTACCTCCCTGCAAACTCATCTAACAGCGCCTTGCGTTGATGCTTGGTTGCTACAGTACATTCCTTTGTGAATCAAGCACACACATTGCCATCGACGTCGCACCTTCGTCCCAGGCCTTTAACATGCCACCCACCTTCCAAGTAACAGTCTTGTGAAACTGTCAAGTCCATGAAATGTAACCGACATACTGTCGTATACTCATATATTAATTATGTATAATGTATATGTCGATATTTCCAATTCACATTGTATTAGTTATTCTCGTGGCTTAACGGTACGACCGACGCTGCGACGTAGCAAACAAGGACACGCCTTTCTTGGCCTTTTTCCCTTGTTGGCTCTCCTTCTTGAGCTCGTCAATATCAAACGGCACATCCGTCGACCCATTCACGTTTGGCCAGCCGGGGGCGGCGGCCGCTGCTGGCCGCCTGTCATCCCCGTCCGCGTTGAACGATGGGTAGTACCCTTGGTTGGTCGTGACGTTTGCAAAGGACGCGTACGGGGACGAATAGTCACCAGTAGCTCCTTCATCATCAAGCCGTCGCGACGTCTTGTCGTCTGAGGCGGCGGTGTCTTGAAGATGGGGGTAGTGGTCGTCGTTGTCCAGCGCGAGCTGCAGCATGAGGCACATGTCAAAGCTGTCGCTGCGGGGCTGGGGTTTCTTGTCATGGTGGGGGTGCCGCTTGGCTTGGCGGCCCCGCGCTCTCTTTTTGATGTCGCTGTAAAAGTGACTGTACGTTGCCGGCGACACAACCGGCGACAAGTCGACTTCAACGAGAAACAAATCGCAGTGCGATGGCAAGTGCGCCATGTATCGAAATCGCCGGCGGACGTCGTCGGTGACCACCATGTGCTCAATCTCCAGCACGGTGGCGGTGATTGTATGGGGGAACGAATGGGTCGACCCGAATTCGCGCGTCAACGCGCGCAGACACAGCGGATGCAGGATCGCCGCATGGCCGTTGTCCAGCTGGTAAAAGCTGTACGGCGCCTCTTCTTCTTCGTGTTCAGACGGACTTGAGGTCTTCTTGGTCGCCTTGGCCGTCGTCGTCGGCACTGGCTCGTCGGGGGCTGTCGACGGGCCCCGCAGTTTGGCCAGCCGTTTCTCGCAATACGCTAACGCTTCCTGGATCACTGGCAGCGCATGATCGTCGCCGCTGCTTTTGGCTTCCGCGGCTAACGCATCAAGGTCCTCCGTCTCGCTCTGTATCATTGACTCGAGGTACGACGGCGTCGACTCCAATATCCGCGAGAAGACGGCGTTGGCGCCGTGGACAGACGGAATACCGCCCTTTTGTTGAGGGTGGTGGTTCTTGGTAGATGAAGGCGCTGCTTGTGGGGCTGGCAAATGCGGAAACCAGCTGCCTCGGCCGCGATGGACGTAGCGGAACGTGGCCGACGAGCCCACCGATGGAATCGTGCGGTGGCGGTCGATCAACACACTGCGCAAGTCGTGCTTCTTTACCGCGTCAAAGCACATGGGGCAGCGGCGCCAGTAGTTTTCCGTCAAGGACAAATACGTGAGAATGCAATGCCAGCTACAACATCTTCTTTAGGACTACGGGACAGTAGAGGAGGAGGAACCGATGTCGTACCAATAGGCATGGCCGCAGCGCGTGATTTTTGGTGCGCGCAACGTATCCAAGCAGATGGGACACCTATGGTCGGCGTCGACCGTAGCGTCGTGCGCAACAATCACTTGCTCGATCTTGTCCCCTAGAAGCATATGAGTGATGACGAGCCATGGAAGAGAACGTACATTCAGTGAGCGCATCCGGGTCGTAGAGGGCACGGGATTCGTTGGCGGCAAGGGGTGAAATCACAAAGCGAAAGCTACAACCACCATCAGACAGAAGACTCGATGTGAGAGGAAGAGGACTTGGCATGGAGGAATTCGTCCCGTGTGCGGGGTGGCGGTCCTTTCTTTTTCCGCACAAACGAGGTTGTGTCGTTGTTTCGCACTGGGCGCGAGAAGTTGAGCAAGTGGTTGGCCACGGACCCCTTGCCTTTGCGTCGGTCAAACCCCCCATTTCGCTTCTATTGCGACGTAAGGCCATAACTGGGGATTGCATCAGCGCGTACGTACATTGCCTTTGGTCAATGCGTGCTGCAGGTGGTCTTCGTCGTCCAGCAGGTGATGATCGGATTCGTACATGATTCAAGTGTTGGGAGTCCGTCGTACACGAGCCGACGATGGGACCACTTGCGCTGGCGCAACAATGGTCACACTATTTTGGTGTCAAACTTCGAATCACATCGCCGACAAAAGTATACGGTAACGACATACATTCGCACTCGGAAAATTCTGCAGAACGAAAACGAATACTCCCTCCGTTCCAAAATAATTGCGCGAATCAGAAAATGGATGTACGCCTCCTCGAATAAAAATACAAACCCTCCAATATCAAATAATCCAGAATGTAATTATACAGGTGTAACGATACAATCGTCCAATCAAAGCATGCAAAATCTGTGTCTCAGGACCAATCAAATGACGGCTTTGACCAATTCTGACATTGCCATTCGATTCAGGAGGGGGGTTTACCTCAGGAACCCTCCTAACGAGCAAAACGACCATCCACAATACCAACACACATACCCATAGGTGCTTACTCGTCATCTTCTACTACACTAATGGGATCGATGCCTGCGTCACACAGGGCAGATATGATGTCGTCCGGCTCGTCGTCGTCCAGCGCAATGGTTTCGAGTGCCTGCGCGAGCTCGTCGATGCAACGAGCCTCCTCCAGTTCGGCTGCTAGGACACAGTCCAGCTTAGCATACGCCACGCCATCCAACCTGACCTTGGCTGCTTCGAAGACATCCCTCGGGCACGACACGTTTTGCGGTAGCATTCCTTTGCGCTCTTCCTTCTCCTTGGACATGTGTGGCACCTTGTAGGCATTGTCGCCGAACAGCTTCAAGGTCTCCACCAGGCAGGACTGCAGCGTCATGAACGTGTGATTCAAACGCGCCAAAGGGTACTCGACGAATGCACTCTCCACGTGACCAACGAGCTCGTCAATTGTACGTGCTGACTTGCGGTGCTGTAGGGATTGGATGGCAGCAAAGAAGCCGAGGTCCAGGACGTTCGTGTCGGGTGAGTTTGGCGGCTGTGGGGCGAGCGACATATACCAGCCGACTGCCTTGTACGTGTCCAGGGCCGCCTTGAGTTTCGCGTCCTCTGGCGTGACATGTGCGCGAGCATTGTCGTGCTGCAACTTGATGGTGTGATCGGCGCGCGGCCATTTGGCGACGATTGCAGGCAAGACCTTGTCCAGCAAAAAGGTACGGTACACGTCCTTTGTCACGGTGATTGACTTTGTTTCGAGGGTGCCGGCTTTGCGGTTCACACTATCACGCTGCGCTGCCACGGGCTCGACAAAGGGCCAAATACCGATCTTGCCATCCCACCAGCTGTCTGTCGCGTGGTTGTAGCGTGGACGTGCCACCGCGCAAAGGAACATTACTTTCGTAATATACTGTTTGCTTTTGCACTCGCGTTTTGGCTCTTTCTCACCAGGCACGAGATAATACTTACGACTCACCTTTGTAATATAAAACCATTTCTCGTCCAAGTGAACAAACTGCAGCATGTCGTTCAGCTCTAACGTGGAGCCAACGAACTCGACCGCATGCTTCATCCGACCATACTTGTTTGCGTCGGTGAGGAGTGGTTTAATTGCGTTGGAGTGTGAACGAAACAAGCCAAGTTTAAGGTATCGATGCAATGATCCCAAACTTATTCCTACAATGAGATGAGATACCATGGATTCACTGTATGTTATTCACCTGTGCGTTCCGAAATGGATCGAAGCGTGGTGCGTTGAGCAAGAGGTACTTGCAAGAGCTTTGCTTTTACTTGCTCTGCAGTGAACGCCTTCTTCCTCCCCACTCTGCCCTTCATCTTGCTGGCAACAGTTACTTTCATGTTGCCACCACCGATTCCCTGCTGCTTCGCAACTGCAAGGACCCGGCGAATAGTGGAAACGTGGCACTTGTACTTGTCTGCCAGCTCCTGGCTGAAACCTTTCGGCAGCCTGGTGATGTAGCTGCCGTTGCTGCGAAGCAAGACCTCCCGAAGGATGGCCTCGCGCTCGTCGTCGGTGAGGTTGCGCCTTTCAGGTGTCATTTCCGGAATGTTGGTGTTATACATTGCATGTTTTATATGAAAATTTGTATTCACAATTTTGAACGCGGGTAGCGCCGTCAACTCTTGAGATTTCCCGCTCATCGTCGCACCAATAGAGAGCGCTGGCTACGCTTGATGTAATGATCCAATCAAAGCAACGCATTTCGAATCCAGGCAGGCGATACCAGGTTTCCAATTTACCTTTGAAATATAATGAGGTGTCATGTACACCCTCCTGAAACTCGCGCAATTATTTTGGAACGGAGGGAGTACAATAACGTTGGTATAAAATCAGTGAACTTGAATCCACCAGCAGGGATCCCACAAGTAGCACTACGGTCGTACTACAAAGGCTGAAGTTTTATTTGCGGACGAAGAATGTAGCAGAGCCATCCTCCTGGCATGGCCATTACTAGTATTTTGAACCAGTTCTGTGAAAAGACCATCACTATTAAACGATACATCAGGTTTGCTGATAGGAAGTTATATCCGGATCCATCTTATCCGTATTGCTGGCTTTGACGTCGAAGTCGGTTTATCCGGACGAATGGGCGACATTCCATGATTGTGAGACGCCCATCCAGCGGTGATGCGTCGACCACCGACCACCGACTCGCCACTAAAGCCTGTCCAGTGCGTTGCCGATGTTGATGTTGATATAATTGCTGTGGTGCGGGTATAACATGAATGAAATCGTATGGGATGATACTAATGTGTGAAGAATGGAACTGTAGATAGGGATGTGTGGTGAAAGGAGGATGGCACTGATGGTAGTCTACCGGGTAGTTGCTGGTGTTGCTAGCTGAAGTGGCGCCGCTGTACATCAAGGAGTGGTGCGTACTCCAGTTGTTCAGCACCGCCAACATGAGCGACAACCCGTTGAACGAAGCCAAGTTCATTTCGCCCTATTCAAACGACAGAATTGGCCGTCAAAGTGCCTCGCAATGCGCTGATTCGACTCAGTCCCGCCGGCATTGCGTTGCTCCCACTTATTGTACGTTCGGTGCATAGCAACTTTCTCTGCAACCCTCGCTACCATATACAATATTCATAACTCATCCAATCAAAGGATGTGGTGGTGTTCATTGCAATGATACCACTGCCCCTTCAGATTTTACAGTTACTAGTAAGTAGTACTACCTACTCCGTAGTGCCTAGTAAGTTAGTAAGCTGACGAAGCTATTCGACTACACCAATTTCAGTACATGCCCATGTTGACCACAGTAGTCGAACAATGACCAATTCCTCGTTTTCTAATGCAAAACAGTGATAATCTAGTCGTGCTATTAAACCCAGTCTGCCGTTCCCACTTCTAAAACTTGGGCATCCCAGGCAGCCCGCCGCCCATCATCTTCATCAACGCGCTGGGGTCCATGCCTCCGCCCATTTGCTTCATCATGTCCATCATGCCTTGGGGTCCCCCCATCTGCGCCAACATACGCGGGTCGAGTCCTCCTCCTTTGCCAGGTAGTTGGTTCTTGGGTCCGTGGGGATTTCTCTGCTTGGCTGCTTCCGGGCCCTTCAACATGCCGCTCTTGCCCATGCGCGTGATCACACCCGCAAACTGCTTGTGGCACTTGAGCAAAAACTCCACTTCCACCGGCAAACACCCCGACCCCTTGGCCACGCGGAGCTTGCGCGACGGCGTGAGCGGCACGACGTCGTCCAGCTCGGCCGCGGTCATGCTGTCCATCATGTAGATGAATCGCTTGAGGCGCTTGACGCCTTCTTCTTCGCCGCCGCCCTTGAGCATGTCGCCGAACGCGGCGCCCATTCCCGGGATCATCCCCATCACTTTCGACAGCGGCCCCATCTTCATGACGGTTTGGAACTGATTGTACATGTCTCGCAGTGTGAACACGCCCTTTTGCAGCTTCGCGACCATCTCCTCCTGGTTGTCCAAGATGCCGGCAGACTTGACCTCCTCCAGAAGCCCCTTCATGTCCCCCATGCCCAGCAACCGACTCACAAACGACGACGCGTTGAACGACTCAAAGTCGGCGAAGTGCTCGCCCGTGCCGTAAAATGTGATCGCGGCGTCCGTGGCCGCCACGGCGCTCATGGCCCCGCCGCCCTTGGCGTGGCCGTCCAACTTGGTGATGATGACGCTGCCGACGGGAATCGCGTGTCGGAACGCCGTCGCCTGGTCGTGCACCGCTTGCCCGATCGTCGAGTCCATCACGAACACGACGTCGTCGGGTGCGACGGCGTCGTATACTTCCTGCATTTCAGCAAACAAGTCCGACTCTTGCTTGTGGCGACCACTCGTGTCGACGATGATGAGCTCGTAATGCTCGGCGCGGAATTGCGCCACACCTTCTTGCGCGATGCGCACTGGATCGGCCTCTGTGTAGCTCCCGTAAAACGGCACGCGCAACTTCGTCGCGTTCTGCTTGAGCTGGTCGAACGCGCCGGCACGAAACGTATCGGCACACACCATGCACGTCTTCCATCCCTTGCGCTGGTAGTAATGCGCGTACTTGGCGATCGTCGTCGTCTTCCCGCTCCCTTGCAACCCGACAAACATGACCACGTTCGACTGCCCCTTCTTCAACTTGTACGAAGGCGTCTCCGGTTCTAACATGGACACCAACGAATCCACGACAGCCTTGTGGATGAGTCGGCGGCGGTTGCCGCTTGTCACCTCTTCTTCTTCGACCGCGTTTTTTACTTTGGCCCGCAGTTGCTGCACCAGCCGAACGTTCACGTCCGACTCGAGCAACGCCCCGCAGATTTCCTTGAGGATCGTGTTCAGCATCTCATCGTCCACCGTCGACGATCGGTTGAGCTTGCTCAGTGCATTTTGGAGTCTCGTTCCCAGTTCCGCGAGTACCATGCTGCTCCGTCGTCGTCAATCTGCCCTAGAAAAATGGATGACGTGAATGCACAGGCATGAAATATTATATTCTCGTTTTATTCCTAGTATATACAAAATCAAGCTATATGATTTCATAAAATTATTGTGTTTTCATGTCGTTATCCGGATTTAGAATCCGGATACGACGACTTGCATGCCTGTTTCGTGAACACAAGAATGTGGCGACGCGCGGCGGCGGAAGCATGTCTCTTGGGCATTCCTGTCGTGTGGATGTACATGCTGCTGGATGAACTGCCTACGCTCCACAGTGTTTCAATGTTGCAGTCATTGTATCTCGCGGTTGGCGTCATGGCAGCGCTTGTGGTTGGTGGGGCATTGGTCACACTTGTCGAGACGACATCAACACATTTTATCCGACAACACGCCAGGTATTCGTGTACAAGCAACCCCCCCGTTGCTTGACCATACGACGGCATAGAGAGGAAGCGGACTCTGGTATACTGATAGGTGTCGCCATCGTGCCTATCGTCCTAGGCAGCCGCCTCCTGCTGGACTTGACTTCTAGCGTGCAATCAGGTAAATGATCCGTGCCACACTCGATTCTTCGATCAGTCATCAGTGACCGATAATGTAGACTACACCTTGTCGCATTTGTGGTTGTCGTTGGTTATCGGAACGTCTTCGCTTGTGCGCGTCTCAACCACGATGCCCTGGTCCGTCACTTCCGGCATCGTCGAAAGCATCCTGCTGCATGGGCTGTGCCTCGCACTTCAAGTGCCACCAAGTACGCACCACCACATCCTTTTCCCACGTGGTTGACACTTGCGTGTAGATATGTTTCTCGTACATGTCCATATTGCCCTTCACTTGTACAACGTCCTGTTGCAATATGGCCTGGCGGCGGTGTCGCGATCGTTTACATATGGCGAAGCCATGGTGATCGCGCAAGGCATGACGTTTCTCACGCTGGACGCTGCCTTGTTTACATTGCACCAGGTACTCTCTCCGACTGCCACGTCATATTATTTGTCCGAGCTTAAAAAACATCATTGATATATCATGTCGTAGGGCTCGTGGCTTCGTCCATCTTCGTACCCCGTTCCCCAACGTGATGGAATTGCGATTATCGTTCAAGTGGGCCTCGTGTTGACGATGCTGCTACTCCCCCTTCTCTGCACACCGCTCTTTCACACCTACGGCACGTCCACGCCTCGCATTGTGCGGCCAACGCTACCTGCCGCCCCCACCGCCCACTTCGCTGGGCTACTTGTGATCGTCGCGATCGTGTTTATCGTGTGGACATCGTTTCTCCTCCACATGCCTCTATGGAAATGGGTGGTCGACACGCTCTTGGTGCCGTCCAAGGTCGGGGTCGCCGCATACTGGCTCGGGGTACTCGCGGTCGCCGTGCCGTGCTGCCCCATCGTGGCCACTCGTTTCAAGCTGCGCCAAATCGTGGCTCGCAAACTGTACCACGTTATGGTCGTGTTGCTGTTTTTACCCGTCAGTTTTGTCGATGTAGGTCAACTCTTACTCTACAACTTGCCGGGCACGTCCTTGAGCTTTCAACTATAGGTGGACATGCTTCGCCTGAGCTACGGGGTTGCCGTGGGGGTGTTTATCGTGCTCGAATGTGTCCGTGCGATGGCCGTGCCGCCCTTTGGTCGCTCCATCGCGCTCTACATGCGCGATTTCTTGGACCACCGCGACCAAGGCCGGGTGGTCTTGAGTCACACGTACTTGTTGGTCGGTTGTGCGTTGCCCCTATGGATCCTCTTCCCCACTTCGTCCACTTCCACGAATCTCGAGGAGCATCGTCATCATCAGCGTGCTGGCTCGACGGCTCTGATTGCCAACGCGGGGGTCTTAGCTCTTGGAATCGGAGATGCCATGGTACCTGGAGTTAGATTGCAGCAATTATTCAAGTGAGCACACCACTGTAGGGGGCCGCCGTCGGGTCATCCTACGGCGCTACTAAAGTCGTGGGCCACAAATCGCTCGAAGGCAGTGCGGCGATGGTTGTGTCCATGTGCGTCGTGTCGGTCGTGTGTCATTCGTACCACTGGGACGTGCTCGCCCACGGCCGCTACGCCCCGGTATGTATTATATTATGTACGACACCCCTTGTTGATGAAACGAATGGATCTTTGTTCATTCGCAAGGTTGTTGGCTTTTTTGCACTGGTAGGCTGTGCAATGGCTTGGCGCGACCGTCGCCACTGCCACGCTCGAAGCCGTGACGTGTCAAATCGACAACCTCGTGCTTCCCTTGTACTACTGCGCCTTGTGCTGCTTGACGGCATGTTCCCATTAACATTATTATGAACACATCGCCAAGCAGCTTGTTCACACGTTATTTCACAGATTACTATTGTCGTCAGACAGTGTCACACACTCTAGACACCACTTTGCAACGAACGTACTAGTACACGAACAATACTAATGGGTTATGTTGGTGTGTGTATATGTACGTTAGGCCCCCGGGGGGTTACATGTGAAGGTTGTTACACTGTTCATGCTCCACAGCAAGCTCACACTGCCCTTTCACGTGGTTGCTAGTTACGACTACATACATACTACCTCGAAGTATGTAGTAACGTTACCGGTAGTTGGCATTGCTACTATGTACCTTGGATTGATGATTATATAATTCCGACGATTCGGTTGTGATTCTCGTAATTGTGGCTGTACTACATACGTACAAATACTATGTACTACGTACTATATGATTGATGTAGTGAGCTTCTTATTAACTTAGCGCACGAGCGACTTCAAGCTGTTTTCGAACGCGTCAAGGGAATGGCCCAAGATCTCCAACGATGTCGCATACGACAGTCGCACGGCCTTTTCAATGCCAAACGCGGACCCGGGCACGATCGCAGTATGGAACGACCCGAGCAAGTAGGTCGTGAACGCCTCATCCGTGTCGATGGCAACGCCGGCGGGGGTTTTGAAGCCCGTGCCAATGTAGTGCGGAAGCTCAATGAACACGTAGAACGCGCCCGTGGGGTACGCGTACTGCACATGCGCCATCGCATTCAGGCGGCCGCACACGTACTTGCGCTTCTCGTCCATGTTGGCCAGGGTGCCGGCAATCAACGGCGTCGGTGACGCTTCTTCGAGCTCCAGCGCGGCGATCGCCGCCACTTGACCGATCGAGCTTGGGCACGACGTGATTTGGCTCTGAATCTTGGAAGCGGCGGCCGTGAATTCCTTGGGCGCGGCCATGTACCCGATGCGCAATCCGGTCATGGCGTGGCTCTTAGAGAATCCGTTGATGATGAGTGTACGATGGCGCATGTTGGGCAGCGACGCGACGCTGACGTGGCGGCGTGTGGGCGTGCCGTCGTCTTGGAACACGAGCTGCTCGTAGATTTCGTCGGCTAGGACGAGCACGTTGGGGAAGTCTTGGAGCACGAGGGCGATCTCTGCGAGCAGGTCGGGGCCGTGGAGGACGCCCGCGGGGTTGCTGGGGTTGCACAGGATGAGCACGCGGGTCGTGGGGTTGGCGACCAGCGACGCGCGCAGCACCGCCGGTTCAATCAGGTACGAGTTGGCCAGCGTCGTGGGGAGGGTCACGGGCACGGCGCCGGCCAGCTTGGCCATGTCGGGGTAGCTGACCCAATACGGCGCAGGAATGAGCACCTTGTCGCCGGGTGTGCAGGACACTAGCAGCGCCTGGAACACGCTCTGCTTGGCGCCGCTGGACACGAGGATCTCGGACGCGGCGTCGTACTTGACGCCCTTGGCGCGCTCCAAGTAGCGCGCGATGCCGCGACGCAGCGCAATCATGCCAGGAACTTCCGTGTACTTGACGAAGCCGTCGGCGAGCGCTTGCTGGGCCTTGGTGATAATCGCCGCGTGGGGGTTGAAGTCGGGCTCACCGACGCACAGCGAGTACACCGTCTGGCCTTGGGCTTCCAGCTGCTTGGTGAGGCCGTGGATCTGATTGGTCTTGGACGGCGCGAGCTTGTTGAGGAGGGGGTTGAGGCCCTTGGCGGGGGGCGAAGGCGGCGTTGGCACGTGGATCGAGTCGGCTAGCGCGCCGTCCACCGGGTACGTACCCAGCACGAGGGCGTCCGTGGCTTCCAGTGCCTTCAACGCCGCCACCGCCGACAGAATGGCGGCCGAAGTGCCCGTGACGTCAGCGTAAAACACATACTTGTACTTGTCGCCCGACACACCGGCGTTCAACGATTGGTTGGCGACGGGGCCAAACGGACGGGATTCAAGCTTGGTCAATTGAACCGCCGAGAACGTGGCGAGAGCGCGGGGCAAGGACGACGCGCCGCCGGCGGAGGCGAACGCAATGGTGGCCTTGACGGTGGAAGTGCCCGTGACGGACGCAGGCGACGCGGACAAGAGCAAGAAGCGCGTGTAGTTGTTGGATTCGTCTTCGATGCTGCTGTCGAGGACGACGAGGCCGTACAGAGACGCAGCCAGGTCGCTCGCGATCGCGGCGGTGGTGGTCCAGTCGGGGTGCGCCGCGAGGAGCTTGGCGGACCCGGCCGTGTCTTCTTCGTCCCGCGCGACGGCGCCGAGGTTGCGGATGTATTGATCGCATTGGGCCAACGCTTGCGGGTGCGAGATGACGGTCTTAATCGCCGCTTTCGACGAGCCCGGCAGCCCGAGCAAGTGGTGGTTGACACGCAGATGAGTTTCCGCGACAATGTGAAGCTTGTAGCGCAAAATCAGGTCGTAGTTGACGTGGATGGTGCCACCGAGGGTGTTTTCGATAGGGACTAGCGCGTAGTCGGCGGCACCGCTGCGGACGGACGCGACGGCGCTCTCGAACGTGGCGTGGCCGGTGGTCGTGGCCGCGTTGGCACCGAGAAGTTGGTGCACCGCTTTCTCAGAGTATGCGCCAGGGACGCCTTGGTAGGCGAGTTTCAGGGGAGCTGCCGCCATCGTGATGTGTGTGATGTGACTGATCTATTGAGTTTTGGATTGTGGGGCCACGTCGTCAGATCCACATCGATCGATACTCGAGTTGATTTGCCATGGACCTTTCCTCCCTCCATATGAATGTGTGTCACATGCGAAACTTCAACCCCCCACTAAAACGTTATACGTTAAACCGCCAGTTGCGCCACACATTGCGATTAAAAATGGGTTTTATCCCTCTAAAGTGCGGCAGCTGGCCAGCTAAACTTTGTCCTTACCACTGAGCGATGCCATTGGTCTGTTCGTGTACGAATGATCCAATCACGTGCGACTTGTTTGGGGTGCAACTCCGACGACGCACTCGGCAGCATCAAGCACGAGGACGCGCCTGGCCTAAGATTCCCAAGGAATCAGCGGCCGATGGGATGCTATGTAGACATGCGCCGCCGCCGCTCGTCGTCGCCAAGGGACGTGAATGCGCAATCGTTTGCATCTGCCGCCGTTCTATGTCATCTTGTTGTACAAAACAACGCAGAAAGTATCTTACGATCACGACACATATAAATGCGCAATGATACACCAAGGCAATCAGGCCATAAGTATGTATCGACTTTTCGGCCTAATGCAGAGTGCGGCCTTAGTAGTACAGTACTAAGTTACTGGAGTTGCGATGGAAGAGTAATCTGCCAAAGGTGATGCTGACGATGGTAGCACCGCCATGTAGCCACGGGAAAGCAGAAAGCAATGACGTCACTGGACAAGTAGTAAGTACATGTCGTTGGAGGTTGTTGGGTGTTACTGCTAACTTACATGGCTTGGACATCGAGTTTCTGGTAGTCATGGAGCAAGAGACTGTCATGACTGGATTCCGTGTCAACGCGATGTGACGACGCGACGTGGCAGTACATGTACGCACCAGCCACGCCAAGCTGCCACCAAAATGCAAACGAGTTCCAAACGTCGCCAAAGTACGACCCGGTGGACAAAAATGCCACGAATTGAAACACAAACGACTTGCCAACATGGGTTTGCAAGAAGGGCAGCCACTTGGCCATGTCAAATGGAGCCAACGCAGGATGCAACTCGTGGAAGAGAAGCCACACGCCCACAAGCACGAGGTTGAGTCCGAGAAATACTACCACCATACTCTCATGAGCATCGATTGCTACTCAAAACCAGACTTACATGACGATAACGTGTTGTTGGTTGCAGACTCTACAATGATCCACAGTTACCCAAGGGAAGGATGTCGGTATAGGCCGCCACAGCTGCATACCTAATGCCGTTCCGAATCCTTGTACAATTGTCAACGCCGCCACCGATATGCTCAGGGGTTTGAAGTACCCATTGTTCATGGCGGCTTCTGGCAATATATTGTGGTGGTTGAGGGGTTGCGATCTTTGGTCGTCACATACATTCTCATTATCCGGATAAATAATCCGGTATGCAAAGGAAAAACAGTTTCACGACTTTTGGGCGTGATGAAACCCCTTGACGTCTCGTAGTTGTTTTCTGTTGAGGCGAAAGCAGCAGCGAGTAGCGGGGGACTTCCATGCCTGTGATCTCGGCGATCTCGCCTAAGTACATTGAGGGCCTCTCCATTGAAGCGCTGCATAATGCAGGGCTGCTCACGGACACGTCCATGAAGATGTACACGCCGCAAAACTTGACCCGATTGAATCGGTTCGAGTCGGTGTTTCAATTCTTCACCGTGCCGGATTCGTCCAAAGGGGCCGAAATATTCCATCACGTGATGGCGTTGTCTGCGCTGGTGTCGTGCGGGTCGCTCTTCCTACGCACGTTGGACGGTCCCAACCTGGACAGTCTGTACCCTGACTACCCGTCGCTCCCGGACGATCACACGTACAAGATCATCGACGGCGTCTTCACCGTGCTCTTCTCTCTGGACTTTGTCATTCGCTTGATCATTTGGCCCAGCCTGTGGAAAGAATCCGACGTGCTGCGCGAACGCCGCCTCTTGCCGTTCGCGCGCGACATCTTCAACTGGTTTGACCTGCTGGCGCTGGTGCCGTTTTACGTCGACACGATCTTTGGCGATGGCACGTCGTTTGTGGTGATGCGACTCGCGCGTCTACTTCGAATCTTTCGCTTGGCCAAGGTACGACGACGATTCATCCCATCCATCCATTTTAAACCTACCATCGTGGTCATCATCTGTGGTTGCAAGCAACAACCCTTATTGATGTACGTCGTCACTGACTGTCCACTGATCCGGTAGAACAACTCGGGCACATACATTCTGTTCCAGGCCATTCGCGCTAGCATGCCTGGCATCACCATTGCGGTACACATGTTATGTCGTAAGACGCTAGCTCACGATGGATGCCGCCCCTTCTTGTAGCTCATTTTCTTGCTTGAAATCGTGCTCGTGTTTTCATGCTTGATGTACCTCTTCGATCCGTGCTACAACAAGGACGCGTGCATGTTCCCCGACCTGCTCACGTCTGCCTACTACGTCGTCGTCACGTACGAACCCCACACTTTCCACGTGATCATTCATGACCACCATAATAGGGTGGCCACCGTGGGGTACGGCGACGTGGTGCCATCAGCTGGCAACGCTCTGGGTCGGATCACGGCCATCGTGATCATGATCATGGGCACGTTGTTTCTGTCCATGCCGCTCGCGATTGTCGGCACGGAATTCGACCGCGCGTGGCGCGACCACACGGAGAAAGTCGTCAAGCGGAGCTTGGAGTCGATGCAGGCGGCGGCGGCGGGGCGCGACGCCTCCAAGGTGCACGACACAGTCATGGACGACAACCCGGAGATCTTGACCAAGTACATGATCCCGAACGCCGCGTACTTGCGGCTGGCGTCGCTCACGGGGGAAATGGCGCTGATTGCGTCGGCGCTGGCCGCAGACTTGAAATCCGAAACGGATAACGTCAAAGTGAACCAGGTGGCACAGGATTTGCACGCGCACATGAAACAGTGTCATGAAAAGTACAAGGAACTCGTGCACGTGATCGACGATATGGTCCACCAAGACGACAGTTCCCACGTAAACCCCCCTCTTATGTGTTTCGTGTCCATGGACCCTACCCCTCTCGGATTACTCGTATGTTTGTGTTCAATGGACCCTAACCCCCTTGGTATGTTGGTTGTTTACTAGGGGCTGAAGCGCTCGAGTTTGCGGGACCGCATCATGTCGTCGTTCCAAAGTTCCCTGCGACGCAGTTTGACGACGGAGGACAAAAGTAAAATAGTATAAATTGGATTTCTTTATTTTTGTGGTATATTTCCTTTTATTTTTATATTATTAGTTTTTAAAAATTGTTTTATTTTATATAAATATTTTATTTTTACATTTTTATATTTTTTAAAGATTTAATTGTTAAAGTGTGGGTTCAAATATCCCATTAATCACAAAATAAATAAAATAGTTTTTTTACCCATAATATTTTTTTTAGGTCAACCGAATGGGAAGACCGCCGCACGTCCGGACACGACGTCGTCCCAGCGGATTCAGTACCGGTGGGTCATCATGGTGTTTAGCATCATCGTGCTGACGCTGCAGACGATGCCCGAGCTGCAATTCTACGGCGAGCAAACCGAACTGTGCAAGGCGGTGGTGAAAGAGTACTGCGCACTGCCGTCGGCTGCCAACGCAACCGCCGACCCTGGCTGCTTCAGCGCCGTCGACCCGACGCAGCCCCTGGACTTCAGCTGCGGCAAACTCGACGGCATCAAAGACATGGCGCCCAACTGCTACGGCGTGCTAAACAACTTTGGCGGGCTATATAATTCGTCGCTCGGGTGTTTGTGGGATAATGGCAACTTCAACCTCACGGGGCTGGGCCTGGTGAAGCCGTTTCGAACCAAGTACGACCTCGACCAAGCCGACTTGCCGCTGGACGTGTGCCAGCGCCGCGAGTGCCAGCGCAACCACTTCTACTACCTTGACCTGTCCAATGCGTGGCCGCTGCTCGAGTACCTCTTCTTTGCGTCGTCCGTGGTCGAGTTCTTCCAGCACTTGGGTGCCACGGGCGTGCGCAATCTCAACTGGAAGAACCCGTGGCAATGGCTCGACGCCCTTGCGTTCATTCCGTTCGTCGTGTTCGAGTTCAAGCGGTACATGATGGGCATCATACCCACATACGAAATGGTGCCAAGCTCCAACGACATACTGTCCACGCTCCGGTTTGCGCGCATCTTTCGGTGGTTCCAGATTCAAAAGGTATGGAGTTATATGCTTGTATATATATATATTAATATTACTCCAATAACATGGCTTTTCACATTATGTGCATTATGCATATGTCCTGTAGGAAATACCCGCCACGGTCGTCGTGTCGGAAGCTATATTGAAAACGTACAAGCGATTGGTGATTCCCGTACGATGTCTTGATGATATATATATATATATATATATATACTAGTAATATATATAATATATATATATACTAGTAATATATATAATATATATAATATATATAATATATATATACTAGTAATATATATATACTAGTAATATATACGACGAATAACACGAATAATTGTATTTGTGGATTTGTGGATAGTATTTCATGCTGACGCTGGTCACAACCATCTTTGCGTTTGTGATTTACCAGCTGGAAATGGGCACCGAGTGCTTTGTGGGCGAGCCGTGCGTCGTGGGCGGCAAAGTGCTGACAAAGATGCCCGAAGCGACCAAACACATGAAGTTCCACAAGCGCATTTTGATCGACTCCAAGGGCAACCTCACCCAATTCGAAGACGTGTTTTCCGGCATCTGGTTTATCATTGTCACGTACGTACAACTCGAATGAATGGCGTGGCACGACCACATCCAACCATCACGACGTAGGATCACGTCGGTCGGGTACGGCGACATTGTGCCCATCAACATGTCTGGCAAGTTCATTGCTGTTTTGGCCATGATCTTTGGCGCGTGCTACACGGCCATGCCACTGACGCTCGTGGGAAGTCAGTTCAATCGCAGCTTTAACGACTACAAGCGCCGCGAAGCGCTGACCAAAACCAAGCAAGACGTGAGCACGCGGCTGGCCCTCGCCGCGGACGACGAGCGGGCGTGGAAAGCGTTCAAGGACAAACACCTGATCGTTGAGATCAAGTCCATGTTTGAGCGAGGTGGGGACATGATATATATATATATATAGTGTTTATCACGAATGCTGTATTGAATTAGACTTTTTGTCGTTGATTAACGAAACCGAGTCGGAAGAACGACTCGACTCGGACGGGCGTTCGAAAAAGCTCGAGGTCGTGGCCACCATCAAGACCAGCATTGAAATCTTCAAGGTAGTCGACGTTTATCTCTGCATATATATATATATACATATATATATGGTCGACTCGTGGATAGAATGAATGAATGGCTGAGAAGGATTCTCATGGAGGTAATATTTATTAGGTGTCGATTCTGCAATCGTCGTCGATTGTAAGTCGAATCTACCACGAAGGCTTGCGACTGGCCAAACAGCAAACGTTAGCCTTACACAAGACATCGTAACACGTGTGTATTATTTGTTTCTCTTAAAAGTCATAGCAATACAAAACATGTAAATATGATATATCAAAAAATGTAAATATTATTCAAACCATGGGTTTGCAGTGCTGAATTTGCGGCGACGGCGTCTTGTCCTGCCGCCACGTCACCAGAGCCTTCCACGACCACCCACGTTTTGGCTTGTCAAGGACTCGTCCAACTGTAATTTTCCTGCGCATGATGTATATGAGGACAAATAAATATATACATAAAGTTGAATTCTAACGTTACCGTGGTTCGACGTGGCCTTTCATAAGAAGCTCCAACTTTTCAATGGGTATATCTCGTACGGGAACGCCATTCACAAACAATACGCGATCGCCTTTGCATATCGTGTTGGACTTGACGGTGTTGGTACTACAAGTACAATATAAATATATATATATATATATATTCCAAGAAGGATATATAGATGGTAAATAATATACAACGCCTCTAGAGTCTTACCGAACGTAGCGGTGAAACACAGTGTATTTGGAAGAGAAATCCGTCTCGAGCTGCAGACCGAGGGGGGACGTCGACGGCGGTAGCACCACACGTCGCATGCCGCGCTTACTCTGTCGCACACGTTCGTTCGTTGAGTCGTCCAGTTGTCCCATCATCGCGGCAGCATTGTTTGACACGAGCGTCGAAAACGACGTGGTCACTGCTTCGACCGTGACCTCGCTGTCATCGTCGCTTGTATCCAAACAGTCTGCTGTTGGACGACGACTCGTGGGCTTGCTTTCATGAAGTTCGCTGCGTTTCCACGGAGACAGTGGCCGTTGCGCTTGGAATTCGCGTTTGTATAGATCCATGTCTCGAAATCGCAACCGCCGGGGGACGGACGCTTCCAGTACCCCATGGAGCATCGAGATGGTCGATACGAATGTCGTCGTGTTGTCGTCGTGGGGGACATTCAGTGTCGAAACGCCATTCACGGCCATTAAATACTGGTCCTTGCGTACGCCGTTGTCGGGGTGGTGAAGGGGTGGGGGCTTGTACGTAATCCGTGACGTGGACGAACCAGCGACGGCGCCGCCGTTGGGGGCTGGCAGCAGCGAGTGCACCACGGGCACTTCAAACATCAAGTCGATGGGAGACAAGGTCATGGACGCCAGCAATAGCGCAGGAGTCGCGACCGTCACAACGCTGTACGCTTTGTCGTGACCCGGTGCCATCTTCCAGAACCAAATGCGTTTGGGAAATGTGCTCGGATCATGCAGTAAGTGCATGACGTCGTTGCTCGGCGCGCCCAGCACGTCGTGGTCGTTCACGTTGGTCACGATGCATCGCAGCAACGGCATGAGCTGGCTCCGCGTGGTGGACACCAGACACAGCGGCTGCGTCATCAAGAAACTCTCCGTGAGACGAAACCCCAGCGGCTGCGACGGTGCAAAGTACACTTCAAACTCGCCGTCGTCTCGGCAACTAAGCTCGCGACGGCGCCAGTTGGCCACCGCCGTGTCCGCAGTCTCAAACGAATCTTCCAATGGAACAAATGTGAGCGACGTCTCTATGCGTTTGCGGATTGTATCGCGCAGGAGCTGCATGACGTCGGAAAACGCCATGCCCAGCGTGGATGTATCGTTCTATCGCACACAGAATGAACATGACAAGGTACAACGCTATCCTTCCGTACAATCGATACCAAGACATCGCCTTGGTGCAAGTCGGGGTTGGCCTTCTCGACAAGTCCTAGTACCATCAACGCACGAATGTATTAGAGGATGCCACGCGAGCTGTACTGTTGGTTGTGTGGTAATAATGTATATACCCATGACAGGTTCCACATTACGAACAAACACGTCCCCGTTCGTAGCGAACTCCAATTGTATGCCGAGGTCTCCGTACTCGTGGAAGGCATACTAGCAAGCCACGTCATAAGACCATTGTCCTAACGTTAAGTATCATGGACGCTCACCTCGACAGTGTATTCACCTGTTGCCTTGACCTCGCCGCGCATGGCAAAAGATCGTGGCGCGGGGACTTCTATTATTAGAATTGTATTCCGGATACCGGATATCGACACCGGATAATACATTCGCGCCAAGTCGAAATAGTCATAATGGCCGGTAGGATTGTGCGCCTCGAGCAGTGCGTCGTGGACAAGATCGCGGCGGGTGAAGTGGTCCACCGTCCCGCCAGCGCCCTCAAGGAGCTACTGGAGAATAGCCTCGATGCTGGTGCGAAGCATATCACAGTCGTGGCAGGACAAGGTGGGATGAAGATGCTTCAAATCACCGACGACGGAAGCGGCATTCGTCGAGAAGACCTGGACATTGTGTGCGAACGCTTCACGACAAGCAAGTTGCGCAAGTACGAGGACTTGCAAGAGATTGCGTCGTATGGGTTCCGCGGGGAAGCCCTTTCCAGCGTGTCCCACGTCGCCCACGTCACCATCACCTCCAAGACAAAGGATCAACCGTGTGCATATCGGTATGTTCATGCCACGTGTGCCTGTGTCACAGTACGTTGTCACATAGAGCCCATTATCGCGATGGAGAGCTCGTATCGACATTGCCCGGTGGATCGAAAGACCCCATTCCGTGTGCTGGCAAGACCGGCACGCAAATCTTGGTACCCTCGTCGTACCTCGCATTTCTTCGTTCATTAATCACATTACACGTATCAGGTCGAAGACATGTTTTACAACCTTAGCACGAGAAAGCAAGCCCTGAAGAACTTTTCGGAGCAATACCATCGCGTGTTGGACGTAATGCAGCGGTATGCCATCCACTACGGCGGCACGGGCACGTCATTCGTATGCAAAAAACACCGCGAGACCACGTGCGACCTCAACATAAGCAGCAGCAGCAGCACTCAGTTGGACGTGATCAAGTCCATCTTTGGCTCGTCCTTGGCAGCCGAGTTGGTGGCGTACTCGCTCACATCCCAACAAGCCACGGTCAACGTCACTGGTTATGTCACCAACGCCAACTACAAGTACATGTCCATATCTCCATATCCTCTCGTACAGCATCGTGGCTGCTATGCATTCCCACAAATATGTTTATCACCCATGTATTGATGTCGTTGATTTAGCACCAAGAAGAGCACATTTATCGTGTTTATCAACAACCGATTGGTCGAGTGTCCGGCGCTGCGACGCGCGTGCGAGTACACGTATGCCCATTACCTGCCCAAGCACACACACCCGTTTGTGTACCTGGCGCTGGCCATCCCCCCAAGTCATGTGGACGTGAATGTGCATCCCACCAAGCGCGAAGTCCACTTTTTGCACGAGGAAGCGGTCGTAGACGCCATCGCAAGTCACTTGAACACGTTGCTGCAAGGCGGAAACCAGTCGCGGACGTTTACAGTGCAGCCCATCGCTGCCATCATGGCCAGTCACTTGAGTGCCCGTGAAAAGACAGCGGTGACATCATTGAGCGACAAGGACGACGACGACGACGACGAGGAGGACGATGCCGATGCTGATACACCCCAAAAGAAGAAGCAAAGGACAACACTGACGACGTTGGTGCAGCTGGATTTGTCCAAGTCCAAAGCCAAGGCTTCTCAACCGACCAAGGTATACCTCGCTGTCGGATCACGACTTGAACGAAGTGCTATATCTGTACACATGTTCGTACGTAGGCGCCGCAACGCTTAGTGCGTACAGATCACACCACCACCACCATGGACAAGTACCTGCTACTGCAGTCCCAAGAGTCTGGTGGCGACAACGAAGACGATATCGCCCTCGACGTAGATCCGATGGAAGGCGTCGACCTCGACTCGAACGACGAAGGTACGTACATCGATCAGATGTGTGGACCTACCTACTCGATTAAAATCAACCCCACTCACTACCCACGCCACCCTGTACTACTGGTACTCAAAACTCAAATCTCAACGTAGAATTGGATCCAAAGAACTTGACCAGCGTCGTCACTTTGCTGCGTCGCGTGACGTCCTCCGCTGACCGCGGTCTCACCAAGGTACGAATCCTCTAAGGTCAAGACCAACACGTTATAATAGCAGAGGTACTGTACGTACTCTAGGTCTTTCGAGAGCATACGTTTGTGGGCGTTGTGAACGACCTGTCGAGTGTGATTCAACATCAAACCAAGCTGTTCCTTGTCAACCATTTGGTTGTGACCGAGATGCTCATGTACCAGACCCTCCTGCGCCAATTTGGCTCGGTCCCGACGATCCCGTTGCACGGGCGCCTCGTCGTGTCGGAGCTGGCGCTGTGCGCGTTGACAGGTGCAGACGGCCCCTCATCCTTCCATGATGAAGCAACCGGTGGCGACGACGACAGACGTGCGCAGGCAGCAGACGTCGCGTCCTTGTTGGTGGACAAGGGGCCGATGCTGGCCGAGTACTTTGGCTTGCATATCAACGCCGAGGTAATCCATCTCTATGAGCTTCCCCACCAGTCGTGTACTAGGGCCACTTGACGCGGATCCCCCAAATCGTCGTGGGCCACGAACCGTCGCTGCATGCGTTGCCAGAGTTCATATTAAGACTGTACGACGACGTCAACTGGACCGACGAGGCCGAGTGCTTTGACGGCGTATGCTCCGCCTTGGCCAGATGGTACAGCGATGGCGTGTACCCTGACGACGCCACCAGAGGCCGGCACCTCGTGGAGCATGTGCTGCTTCCAGCATGCAAAACGTCGTCGTTCGTGGCGCCGTACGCCTTGAACGACGTGGCGGCCGTCACCCCCATCGCTTGCTTGAACAACTTGTACAAGATATTTGAGCGCTGCTAGCAACTACTACCGCGAACTACAACAAGAACAATCCCATCGAGTAAAAGTACTTAATGCATGTACTGACTTATATTATTGGACAACATTGATGCCGTCGTCGATATATATTAGTTGGTTTATACGTGTTAATCCACGATGGGTGGCATGACGTAGGCAAATTCTTCGTGGCTTGCCGCACAACTCGACGGACACGACCAGATGGCCACCGTCTGCCAATCCATCCCTCCGTCGAGGATCGTTTTCGACGATGGATGGCGGCGGGTAGTAGTAGTCGTGTCAGGTAGAGTATCCACGGGGGTCGCTGTCGTCGTGGCCTTGACGTAATTTTCGACTTTTAAAAAGTAATTCGTAGCTGGCATGAGCTATAATGAAAACAAGTCACCGTGACCACCACATTGACTGCGAGTGAGACATTGTCTTATGTACACGGACCTGCATTTCAAACACCCGAGCATCACCGCACGCACACGTTGGCACGTCGAGTTTAGCTGGAGGCGGAGATGGCCACAGCGGGTCGCCGCCGTAATTGTACCTGCAACGGAGTTAATATGAAGTCGATTCGAATTTGGAGTCAGACAATCAACCGACCAATCAAAAGCCTGAAATCATTCTAGCAACTACTCCAACTCTAGAATTAGTGTGGGATTTCAAATAGTGTGACCAATGTTGTTCCATACAAAATTCAATAATCAAAACATCGTGGACCGACGATGGATTTGGGGAATCAGGTCACAAATATCAACATATTTTGGCTAAAAGCTCAAAAGTAGGGTAGTATGTAGGACCAGTGTGTTTGACAGAAGTTTGGAAGTAGAAATGTACCGCAAACACTGGCTAGGACTGCGTTTGAGTCGCTTTTGAAAGCGCAAAAAGAGCTTGTCGCGCAGCGGCGTGCGTTCGTACGCCTCAGCGTGGTCGCCTCCGCTCGTTGTGTCGTGGTGCCCGTCGGACGAGGATGGTTTGGCCTTGAGTATCGTCCGCAGTCTCGCCACTTCCGACGCGTTCTCTTTCTCTTCGTCCGCCAAGTACGCATTCAGCAGTTGCGTTTCATGTTGGAACCTCTCGGTCCCACTCACGGCAGGTTCGTCGTCCACGTGCAGAAAGATGGACGCAAAATGGGAACTCGACTCGTCTTCGATGGACGTATTCTTGCTGACGACAACAGAGATGTCTGGCTTGGTGGTCGGAGCTGGCGGGGGCTGGGGGCTGCTCCTGCTGCTGCATTGAATGGCATTGTCGCGATCGTTCAGCAATGCTTCCAAGTCGATGTCGCTTGTGGTGGCGGAGGGCGTGGACCCCCACGTCGAGCCTGGAACACTTCCCCATCCATCGTCGTCATCGTCGTCGTCGCTGTTTGAGTCGTCGCGACCCCAACCAATCGACGCCACTGGTGGACGTGTAGACGTTTCCACCGCCGCAGTGGGCTTGGGTTGGTCATTGTCGTCGACTTGAAATCGAAACACCCTCCAGCTGCAAGTTTGCGTGAGAAGGACTCTACATATATGATTCGTGCACATTACCTTTGGGGTACGTGGACGCATTTGGCGGAATTGCATCCGAAAATGTACAACGTACGTGGCGTCGTCACAGGAGCATACACCTGCCAAAGGTTAAGACGCGAGAGGACATGATACGACCTACTTGGGCCACCAAGTACAGCTGATTGTAGCATTGTGGGCACACCAAGTCAGCCTTGGGGATGGCCTTGGACGCATCATACCAGGCCTGTGGTCAACACGTCAACGATCGCTCGCTCTACCTTCACCTAGAATAGTCATGACGTACTGGAACGCCTCCTAGCTTGGCTGTATATGGACACGTTTCGTCGACGCGGACGTCGTTTGCTGGGATGCCCAAGAGAATTGCTTCGCCTTCGTCCATTCCTTCGCCAACGCAAGTGCTTCAAGGTGCAGAATTTCAGAATTAGACAACAATGATTGATTGGCTAATAAGCATTTTGAATTCAGCCAATCAAGAAATTCATTTGGCCTTTTTGCCGCCGACGTCGAAGTAATTCAAACGGCAACCGACTTTCAAATTCAATTTCAAAGTATTTAATAACCCGGCATACAAGCACGAAATCATTTTATTGGTTTTGATAAATAATATTTTTTCCATCAACTTCCACCAGTTGCAACTGAGAATGACGACGCGAGTTCACGACGCCACGGCCGCCCGGTCGTTAGAAGACTTTGTCGTGTCGAGAAAGCAGCATAAATCGGCAGTTCCGTCGTCAGAGCGCAGTGCTAAGGCATCACAATACGACCAAGACGAGGAAAAGCAGTCCGATGTCGAATCAAGTTCGTCGCGAGCGAGGCCGCACTCAAAGGACCATGAGAAGAAGCGGTCCGAGTCCAGCAAAGACGTTGACCCGTCGAGCAAGAAGCGGAAACAAACTGCCTCCTCCTCGTCGGATGCCACGGCAAAGCAGGACAACAGTGGCGACCACGACAAGGCAAAGCCAGCGAAGCGGCGGCACTTGGAGCACCCTACGTCGCCATCTCCACGTGAAGCCGTGGGCAGGCCCCACAAAGCCAAAGCAGCTTCTTCCTCTCATGTGTCCGAAGCAAAGGCGGACACGCACAAGCTCGTGGGCGCGTTCGTTCAGTCCGTGGAGAAGGTGCTGAACCAGTACGACGGGGAAAAGGACCGCGATGTCGCGTTCAAGATGCTGCAGAAGGACTACCTGGCGCTGCTAAACGTGCGCCAGACCGAGCCGGAGCGATTGCTGGCCGAGTCGAACCGGATTGCCAAAGAGGCCAAGGCACTGCACGCCGACGCCAACACAAAGCTGCGGCAGCAAGTCGCCAACTTGACGAAGAAGCTCGACAAGTACGACAAACTGCGCGAACACTGGGACCGGATCAAGGCCCGCAGCGGCGGCGGCGACGTCCTTGGAGGTGCCGACGACTCGGACGCGTACGTTGTGCCTCCTGCTGATGTGGTCATGAAATGGCCACGATGGCAACCGTAGGATGGGAACGCTCAAGCACGAGAACGCCATCATGCACGCAGAAAACAACTCGTTGCGCAATCGCGTCAAGAACATGGAGCGGGAACTAGAGCTCGAACGCTCGGCAAAGCACGCCACACAAGTTCCCCCGGCTCATGCGACTTCTTCCACAGAGATCAACCGGCTGGAAAGTGCGGTGGCCGACTTGACTGGCAAACTCGTTCAAGCAAACAAGGTACGCATACGACGACGTTTTTTTGCGTGATTACGCCGCGTCATGCCCTGTGACGACGTTTTAGCCTGTGTACCCATGGTCTTGTTGTAGCTCTTGGGCGTGTACGAACTCATCTCGAGCATGCACATCGACCTGACCAGCGCCAGCGACGACAAGGTCCAAGTGTCGTGCCGCGCTATCGACTCGCTGGACGCGCAGCAGTTTAGTTTTCGCGTCGGCATCCCCACCAACCCTCGCCAAGAGCTCGAGTACATGCCCGCGACCGAGGAAGTGGACCACTACCACCGTCAGGCAGAGCCCACGGTCCCAGAGTACCTGTTGGTACGTCCATTCCAGTTGATATATATATATATAAGTAATAGTTCATATCAGGTAGAATATTCGCAGTGGGCTGATAGTGTGTTGGTGATACTTTGTAGGAGGAACTCAACTTTCAACGATCCGAGCTGACACGGTTTATGCGGACCATCTTAGAAGCGGTGATTCGAAAGAAGGCGTAGTAGTTGTTAATAGTTGGTCGTGTAATACAACAAGGAGTTTCAACCGGTGTATATATATATAATATATATATATATATACAGTAGACGGCACTTCTTATGTCTCGACCCACCACGAGGACAACCCGAGGCCGTCTTCGTCGATTGTTCCCTACAATCCACCAAACCTATCAATATATGTATATATATATATAAACGTGTATATTTCAATAAAAAAAAACCCATGGACCATGTCCAAAACTCATTTATATAAAACATTGGAAAGTTCAATATTCCAACCATACATATATCGTTAACTATGTATATATATATAGTTGCAATATTGAACGTTCCAACGATATATATATAATATATATATATGGAATCGAAAGAACGTACAATGATCTGCAACGCGGCAGGCTTGGGGTCCGAGTCGGAGAGGTCGACACTAGACGACCGGCGCCGCGACGGGGCCTCGTGCTTGTCGGGTTTGGAGTCGGTCGCATCCGTGACCGCTTGCATGCCTAATGGAAGGATGAAGCGACTGGAGATGGAAATGAGCCCTGCGGACCTTTGGCTGTCTTGAGCACTCGCGTAAAGTTGATATTGGTCACGCGGAATCGGATTTCTTCGTTCAGGTACATATAGTACGGGTCCTGGTCGTCTACAAAAGTTGGTATTGGTGGTAGAGCAGCATAGCAGTAAATACCTTCCCGACCGGGAAATTTCCATTCCCATAACCTTTCCGTCTTGTCACTAATGTCAAAGCACGGTGTTCAATCAACTAGTCGCATGAATATGATGGCGGTCGTACAAGAACGACGGGTTTTGCATGGCGTAGGAAGGGATGATGATGTCTTGCATGAAGTCCATGGACACTATACATGCAGGTTAGGTGTTAGATTACAGCGGCGACATGGAGAGCGATCGATCAATCCTTGCCTCGGATATGCTCTTCCGTGCAGCTGATGATTTTGCCCTTGAGAATTTCCCCGATAAACGGACGAAACACGACCATTCGGAAGATCACTAGAGAAGGTAGCACCACAACGTTATGGATTCGTCAAGGAATGGCCGTGAAGACACGAAGGGTACCGTCGGTGTGGGATGTCCCATCGGACGGATGGATGTACGCGTCTCCAATCTCAATGAAGTCGTAGTGGGTGATGCACAGGCCGACGTCGGCAACGACTTTGTTGGCGTACTTGCGGTCGATCTCTTCGATGAGGACGCTCGAGTAGTCGGACGAGAACAGCTCCGGCGCCACTTGGATCACGTCGGCGACGCGGCACAAGACGAACATTTTGAACGGTATGCAAGTGCCACATTCCATTGGCTCGAAACTACATCCGTATAATTACCCCGTTTATCCGAAATCATAAATCATGTGAAAAGGTGCACTTCGGCGACACGGCACTGACCAAGCTGTTCACCTGTGCGATGGCGTCCATAACCATGATGCACACTGGTAAGACCTCTGCGCTACTCCCATTGTGAAAGGTTCATGTAAGTATGACTACAGCAAGCTTCGATCAACAGTTGCATTCCAACTGTGAAAGCACTGGAGCACTGGACTGGTGGAATGACGTGGACACTACTGTACTGTTGGCACACCCACTTGCATTTCGTTGAAAGACTAATCCTTTGAACGACAATACAATTGGGGCAACATCGAGCTGTGTCTGTGCTATCAACGGTCTTATAGAGTCAAGCGCAATTGCCTCGACCAAGGTGTTGCCTAAATCAAAAAGTAATAATTAGGTCGATTTGTACCATACAAACTATACGAGAGAAAAATACCACCACAAGGGCAAACTAAGATAGTACCACAATGGACATGGCGTATTTCTGGAGAATTGAAACTTCGTAGCCCTCCAAAGCACCCGTTGGCTTCGCTGGAAGCACGTTGTTGTTCGGTGAACTCTACTACAGTAGTAATCCACATGAATCCCCCCGCTCCCCTTGTAGTATACGATACAGACTACCTTGCGGGTTCAACAGCCAACAACGTGCACTCGATCAACTCTTGTTGTGCACGAAACAGCTCTTGATGCATGTGCCAAATCGCAGGAGTGCATCGTTTGACAAGGGGGCAGCTATCAAGCCGTGTTAGTCATCGCGTGATCGAATGGTACGCCGACGGAGGAGTCGTAGAGGGCCCAATGTGCGGGAAAGTGGTCAGTTTGGTGCATAGCAGTGCCATGTATCCGGGCTGCTCGACGTGAGAGAGGCCATACTATTGCAACTGTGAGTTTGAAACCTCCATCGATATTCCCTCATGTCTGTCACATGTACTTGACCACGTGATATCCGGATACGGGGAGGAATAGTCACGTGAGTCACCCTTGTCGACGTAGCATCGGGGCGATGGTGATGGGCAAGAATGGCGTTTAAACGTCGTCTAACGCAATAAAACCTTGTTCAAACCCTGGCCACGTCGCCGACGTCGATGCCACCAATGGCGCGAACTAACCAATGCCAGGCGAGATTTTGAAATATAGCCAATCCCCGACCGCAAAGAAAGGACATTGCTTTTGATTGGCTGGACACAGGCACTTTCTCAGTTTCTACCAATCGTAGGGCGCCAAACCCACGCGACGTAATATAATACCAGGCGTTACATTCTTCAAGTATGTTTGATAACTTGGTAAATTATGTGAACTCCCCCATACTGAATCTGAGTCTCCCTGTTTATCCGGATATCGAAGCCTGTTTACAAATCCTTGGCTTTTCAATGGCTACAAAACAGCTTGTCACGAGGGAGGGATAAGCCTCCGTCGACATCGCCTCATTAGACAAAATTCTTGGACATGTCGTCCGCTACGATCGAAGCTTCTGTCCCGAAGTCCCTCACGTCGACGCTGGCGGCCAAGCCTGACGAGCGCAAGGTGTCCAAGACCTTGAAGACGTTCGGCGGTATGGCCGGTGGTTTCGTCGAAGCGTGCACGTTGCAACCTTTGGACACGGTCAAGACGCGCCTCCAGCTGTCTGGCACCAAGGATGGCGCGATCCAAGTGGCCCGCAAAATTGTCACCGAAGAAGGCGCGTCTGCCTTGTACAAGGGTTTGACCCCGTTCGTGCTGCACTTGGTGATCAAGTACTCGTTGCGTTTCTCGACCAACGAGTTCTACCGGGGGTTGTTAGCCGACAAAGAAGGCAAGGTCACTCCTGTGCGGGGATTCCTCGCGGGTGCGGGTGCCGGCATCACCGAAGCCATCTTCATCGTGACGCCGTTCGAAGTCGTCAAGACGCGCCTCCAACAACAAAAGGGCTCGACCAACTTGAAGTACCACGGCCCTGTCCACGCCGCGCAGACGATCTTCCGCGAAGAAGGCGCGGCGGCGCTTTGGAAGGGCTGCGTGCCCACCATGACCCGGCAAGGGCTGAACCAGTGCTTCTTGTTCGGATCGTACGACTTGCTCAAGAAAGCTATGTGGGGCCTCAGTCGCGACGACAAGATCTCGTCGTACCAGGCTCTGTTCACCGGCATGGTGGCGGGTATGCTGGGTCCTGTGTTCAACACCCCCGTGGACGTGGCTAAGACGCGGCTCATGGCGCAAGCCAACAAGGTCGGCGAAGTCGGCAAGTACACGGGCATGGTTCAGTGCATCCGGACAGTCGCCAAGGAGGAAGGCGTCGGCGCGCTGTACCGAGGTCTCGTGCCGCGCATGGCGCGCGTGGCCCCAGGCCAGGGAATCACGTTCGCCGTCATGGAAACGGTGTGCAAAACGTTTGCGTAATTCGTCGACCAATTCCAAGACGCAACATATTTGTATAGTATGGCAATTATTAACGATTCGACTTGAGAACGATTACGATTTGATGCAGTTTCGAATAATATGACTGGCTCGTTCGTTCTTCCTGCCTGGCTGGCTGGCTGGCTGTCGACGAGTCTCCACTGTCGATGCTTCCAGATTTCAATTGCATATCAATATGTAACCGGTGTAACCGCTACTTTATTCGACACGATGGCTACAGTACAGTCGTAGGTGCAGGATGTTGTGTACAGTACTACTGTATGTATGTACTCGACCATTGTGTTGGGACAGACTGGGCATATGAAACGTACTTCACATAACAAAGGCGGTGATGTTGCTGTTTCGTTGAATCTCTGCAAGGGCCTTCCTTTTTCTCCTGGAGCCGCATCAAACAGCATGGATGCTTTGCACACAAGAATAAGACATATTAGCTTTTGTATTTGATTGCAAGCAGGAATCTCTAGTAGTAGTCGTCATTGGTGCGACTCAACTGTTGCTGTCGTTGGTAGAAATGCAAATTTGGTCGCACCGGATGAGTTGCTTGAGGAAAGTATACTGACAGTTCACTTACGTTACTCTGGAGTCTTCAGTGTGCACTTACTTCCAAGTCTGACAAACAAAAGTGAAACGGCTGTGCTTGTGTTGATTGGGTCCGAATAATTCACGGTCGCTGTGATTGGAGCCGAATTTGTAGGGATTTTCATGAAATCCTACAATTGAAATCCTCCCATTCGACAAGCGTTTCGGCATGAAATCCATCGTCGTATTGATCGCGTGGCTGATTGTGTCTACGAGTGGGGAAGCAAATGCGCCATGTACCAGCACTGCAAAACCAACTACGAAAACTGTGGCTTATGATTTCATCCCACCAATCTATGGGCTAACGTCAACCACAACACGGCCGACTACACCGTGTCCTACTACTACAGTCAATGCACCTCCAACCGCCACACCATGCCCTACGACTACTACACCAGCTCCTACTACCACCACACATTGCCCTACTACAACTACTGCAGCTCCCACTACAACTACACCTTGCCCCAGTACAACTACTCCAGCTCCCACGACCACTACTCCAGTACCAACCTCAACTACCCCAGAGCCGACTACAATTACTCCTTGCCCTACAAAAACTACTCCAGAGCCCACTAGAATCACCCCTTGTCCGACTACTATTCAACCTTCTACTGCATCTACACCATGTCCAACAAGTCCAACTCCTGGGCCCACCACAGTTGCACCTACTGGACCTTATCCAACCAGTACCACGCCTTGCTCTACTACAATTTGTCCGACGACGATTACTCCTGACTCCACTACGACTACACCATGCCCACCGACCACAACCCCAGCGGCTACCACACCTTCTCCATCCACATCGCATTCCACAACTGCTGGGCCATCGTCGTATGTTAAGACAACGCCAAAAACTACTGCACGTCGGTACCCCACTACTACAACACCCCGACCCACGACCAGGAAGCCCCCCACGACTACTGCACGTAGATACACCACAACCACAACCCGCAGGCCAACTCCCCGCCCCACAACCACAAAACCAAAAACGCCCGCGCCACGCTACACTTCTCCCAGATTGCTAAACTCCATCGAACAACACGGCTACTACTCAAATGACAAATATACTGCCCCACAACTGAATCAAGATCACGCACAACGACCGGGTGACTATGAGCAACCACCTGATGATTACGAGGATCCACCTGCAGACGACTACCACGTTGACGAAACGTATCCTCCTGACGAGTACGACGGCGAATATTACGACGAAGACACGACCCCCGAACCAGAGTACGTGGAGCCAGCGTACACGGAGCCCCCCGAGGACTACGAGCCTGCTACGTCATACCAAGACTACGACGGGTACCCGCCCGAGTCTTACTCGAGTGACTTTGCCGACGACTACAACCCCTCCGACAGCTACGTGACCGAAGTCCACCACGTCGAAGAGCCGTACCCGACCATCGTCCTCGACGACGAGCCGGCGCTGCGGCTGCCCCACTTGAGCCAGTACCACTGCTTCCTCAACGGAGCGCCGTGGACCAACTGCGGCGGCAAGCCACTGCGCGAATTCTTCTTGGACCAGTGTTTGACCTTGTTCTATCGGCTGTCTGCGTCCGTGGACGGATTGTGCGCCGGCCCCGCCAAGACCCGACCCCCGTCCACCACGACGGCCACCCCCACGACCACCACCACGACGGTGGCCCCCACGACCACGGCACCCGCCGACGATGGCTACGGCTACGCCAACTCGTACGGCCAATACGGCTACGCGAAGACCACGACCACCAAGGCGCCGACAACGCGACGACCGGCGTACACGCCTCGCCCGACCACCGCCGAGCCCACGGAGGAGCCATACGTGGCACCCGCAGCGGCCCCCACGTACTGCGACGCGTACTACGAGGAGCGCTGCCTCCAAACCAGCTACGTGTCGATCACGACCGCGACGGTGCAGTGTCTGACGGAAAACTCGATCCGCGTCCTGTTCATTGAAAAGTACGCGGCCGCCGCCGCCACCAACCCCGTGGAAGGTCCGATCTTGTACTTGAAGAAGCTGCACGAGTTCGTGTCGAACGTGATCGCGTGCAACCCCGACAAAGTGACCAACTACCCGACGATCTGGCGCCAGTTCACGAGCCAGCTGGGGGTCAAGTACTGGCCCACGGCGCCGTTCACGGTGGGCAAGAACAACCGCATCGACATCCCCCGCTGCACCAGTCGCGACGCGTCCGGCTGGGACACGTACACGATCAACGGCCGGTTTTACTGCCCTGCCCAAAACACGCTCATCGGGGACAACAGCCCGCCAGTCACCACCCCCAACGCGTGGACGTACCGATCCGACCACACGGACAAGTTCTACAGTTGGGAAGTGGCGAACCGCGCGGTTGGCACGGCCATTGGATCGTACACTGGCGTGCAGCCCCTGCTCAAGCAGTGCCAGGTGCTCGAGGGGGCCACCGAGGACGTGGGCCAGGAGTTGTCCAACCCAGACACCCTCCGCGGACTCATCGACAGCGTCCGGGTGTGGGACTCTGCGTCGCACTCGAACGTCCGGCCCCGCATCATCGCAGAGATCGTGGCGCAGTACCAAGGCACGCAGAAGCAGCCGATCCTCGAAGGCAACGGCATCTTGTACTTTTGCTCGTTCTACGCATGCCGCGCCAACAACCACGGCGACGTGTCGTCTTGCTTCCCCGAAGTGCGCAACTCGGACTGGGCGCTGCCCCACTACAAGGTGGACGTGTGGAACCAGCTCACGGACGACATCCAAGAGTGCCTGGACGAGGGCTGGATCGACGCCGACGACGTGAGCGAAGTGGCCAAGCGACTCACCCAGACGCTGACCACGCGCACGCACATCTGCCAGGCAGAGGAGGAACTCGTCGCGTTCTTCAAGACCATCCACGGCGCGTTCGACCCGACAGTGCAAGACGGCCACTGGTTGTTCCTGCGCCAGATCGCGAACGAGCGCGTGTACTCGCAGTGCGACTCGGTGGAGGACCTGTACGAAGCGCTGTTCGCCGTGCTGCGCAAGGTCAAGAACCGGTGCGTGTCGCGTATCGCCAACTACAAGCCCCCCACGACGACCACAACGACCCGCAAACCCCGCCCCACCAAGAACTATGGCGCCACCCCCACAACCACCAAGTCGTACGGGTACGCGGCAACCACGACCAAAAGTCCCACGTACGGCTACCGTTCGAATGCTTAGTGTTACTGCATAATATTGATATATGTCCCTTATTCGCGTACATGAGATTCGGCCTCGATTGCAGGAAAGTGCTCAAGTGTTGGGATGTTGTCGCTACTCATTAGCGGTTCAAATGGAATTGGCTATTGCCTAGTTTAAGGTTTGGATAAGGTGTGCGGTACCCGTATGCCTTGGTGGCTTGGTTGGGGTGATAGTTTTTTGTGTAACTTTCTATAATTGGCCCCCGCTTATTATAAAGACTTTTGGATGTCTAAATCAGTCACAAGTGGATGAGATATATCGGTTACGGTGAAACGGGCGTTCAGGACAAGCAACGTGGAAGGCGTGGTCAATGCAGTCCTGCACAAGTACTTGGCGTGAAATCCACTCCCATGCACTTCGAATATCGCCCATAATATTGTATGGCGTCGACGTTGAGTTGAACTCGGTTTGATAGTGCCACCACCAACATTGGTTCATGTGGTGCTAAAAAGGGTAATCTATTGCTTGGAGCTTCCCCCCTTCCTACTGATAACGTTACACGCAGAAACACCAATCATCGCACGGAAGGCGCCATGGCTATCAAGTAACCCAGGTGGGGTCGAATCGCAAGCAACGCCTCCAACTGTGTCGCTTTCAAAAACCCCACACGCAGCGACTCGTACGAGTCGGATGATTGTCCGCTTGACGACTTTGCCATGCTGGTTAAGACGGGGCAATTGTGCAGCTTCTTGAGCACGCGCATTTCGTCGCTGTGCAAAGCAGCTGCTAGGGCGGCGCGGGTGGACTGACGACTGGCGCCTCCATGCAATCTCTCGAGCCAATATGCAGCGTATCGCACTTCTTCGTGACGCCAACGCCCCTTGCGGCGGCCACACAACGCGGCGAACACACTGCCCTCGTCGTAGCCAAAGCAAATGAACGTGCCGCGCCAGTCCACTTGCAACTGGTCATCCAGCACGACTTTAAACGTGCGCTGGAGGGACGTGTGGTAGACGTGTCCGTACTGAGGTTTTTGCAGGCGCAGCAGCGGCACTTGATGGCATCCTAGACGCGTGGTTTGCTGAAGTGACGCTAGTGGAGGGAGTTTAGGGGTGGCTCCGCTCGTGATTGGCAATTCAGTGTACGAGGAGGACTCGTCGTCGCGGTTCAAGAGCAGAAGCATTGATTGTCGACGCGTGAAAACCTGCTTTGAAACGGCATGGAACAAGTCACTATTGAACCTGCGCCCATGACGAAGTATCATCTATTTTCACCATTCGAAACGCTCGAAACCACTCCATATAATCCCCCGGGTATGGACTAAGGATAAATGTCGAGGTGGACCATCCCGTGCAATGGCATCACATAATCCCTCGCCCTCGCAACCCGCCACGACAAAAATCTAACACCACACTGCAATCTGTACGAACGAACATACAAGAAATAAAACATCAACGTTAGTCTTAACTGTAAGCTCATAAGACCACCTGTCACCTCATGCCTCCTAACATGCTGCGAACAGCCACCTCGCTACATTGTGGTGCTGTCAGGCAGTCAGTCCTCAACCACATCGTGCAACTACTCCCTAAGCATTCGAACGGTAGCCGTACGTGGGACTTTTGGTCGTGGTTGCCGCGTACCCGTACGACTTGGTGGTTGTGGGGGTGGCGCCATAGTTCTTGGTGGGGCGGGGTTTGCGGGTCGTTGTGGTCGTCGTGGGGGGCTTGTAGTTGGCGATACGCGACACGCACCGGTTCTTGACCTTGCGCAGCACGGCGAACAGCGCTTCGTACAGGTCCTCCACCGAGTCGCACTGCGAGTACACGCGCTCGTTCGCGATCTGGCGCAGGAACAACCAGTGGCCGTCTTGCACTGTCGGGTCGAACGCGCCGTGGATGGTCTTGAAGAACGCGACGAGTTCCTCCTCTGCCTGGCAGATGTGCGTGCGCGTGGTCAGCGTCTGGGTGAGTCGCTTGGCCACTTCGCTCACGTCGTCGGCGTCGATCCAGCCCTCGTCCAGGCACTCTTGGATGTCGTCCGTGAGCTGGTTCCACACGTCCACCTTGTAGTGGGGCAGCGCCCAGTCCGAGTTGCGCACTTCGGGGAAGCAAGACGACACGTCGCCGTGGTTGTTGGCGCGGCATGCGTAGAACGAGCAAAAGTACAAGATGCCGTTGCCTTCGAGGATCGGCTGCTTCTGCGTGCCTTGGTACTGCGCCACGATCTCTGCGATGATGCGGGGCCGGACGTTCGAGTGCGACGCAGAGTCCCACACCCGGACGCTGTCGATGAGTCCGCGGAGGGTGTCTGGGTTGGACAACTCCTGGCCCACGTCCTCGGTGGCCCCCTCGAGCACCTGGCACTGCTTGAGCAGGGGCTGCACGCCAGTGTACGATCCAATGGCCGTGCCAACAGCGCGGTTCGCCACTTCCCAACTGTAGAACTTGTCCGTGTGGTCGGATCGGTACGTCCACGCGTTGGGGGTGGTGACTGGCGGGCTGTTGTCCCCGATGAGCGTGTTTTGGGCAGGGCAGTAAAACCGGCCGTTGATCGTGTACGTGTCCCAGCCGGACGCGTCGCGACTGGTGCAGCGGGGGATGTCGATGCGGTTGTTCTTGCCCACCGTGAACGGCGCCGTGGGCCAGTACTTGACCCCCAGCTGGCTCGTGAACTGGCGCCAGATCGTCGGGTAGTTGGTCACTTTGTCGGGGTTGCACGCGATCACGTTCGACACGAACTCGTGCAGCTTCTTCAAGTACAAGATCGGACCTTCCACGGGGTTGGTGGCGGCGGCGGCCGCGTACTTTTCAATGAACAGGACGCGGATCGAGTTTTCCGTCAGACACTGCACCGTCGCGGTCGTGATCGACACGTAGCTGGTTTGGAGGCAGCGCTCCTCGTAGTACGCGTCGCAGTACGTGGGGGCCGCTGCGGGTGCCACGTATGGCTCCTCCGTGGGCTCGGCGGTGGTCGGGCGAGGCGTGTACGCCGGTCGTCGCGTTGTCGGCGCCTTGGTGGTCGTGGTCTTCGCGTAGCCGTATTGGCCGTACGAGTTGGCGTAGCCGTAGCCATCGTCGGCGGGTGCCGTGGTCGTGGGGGCCACCGTCGTGGTGGTGGTCGTGGGGGTGGCCGTCGTGGTGGACGGGGGTCGGGTCTTGGCGGGGCCGGCGCACAATCCGTCCACGGACGCAGACAGCCGATAGAACAAGGTCAAACACTGGTCCAAGAAGAATTCGCGCAGTGGCTTGCCGCCGCAGTTGGTCCACGGCGCTCCGTTGAGGAAGCAGTGGTACTGGCTCAAGTGGGGCAACCGCAGCGCCGGCTCGTCGTCGAGGACGATGGTCGGGTACGGCTCTTCGACGTGGTGGACTTCGGTCACGTAGCTGTCGGAGGGGTTGTAGTCGTCGGCAAAGTCACTCGAGTAAGACTCGGGCGGGTACCCGTCGTAGTCTTGGTATGACGTAGCAGGCTCGTAGTCCTCGGGGGGCTCCGTGTACGCTGGCTCCACGTACTCTGGTTCGGGGGTCGTGTCTTCGTCGTAATATTCGCCGTCGTACTCGTCAGGAGGATACGTTTCGTCAACGTGGTAGTCGTCTGCAGGTGGATCCTCGTAATCATCAGGTGGTTGCTCATAGTCGTCGGGTGGTTGCTCGTAGTCGTCGGGGGGTTGCTCGTAGTCGTCAGGAGTAGGCTCGTCATACCCGTACTGGGGAGGAGCTGTCGTGGTAGTAGGCGCCTTGTAGTACGCTTGGGGTGGCGGTGTCCCATATGCGACGACAGCAGCTGCAAATGCGCCGACGAACAAGGTAGTCTTCATGCTGAGCAAACCACGGCGTTTTGGGAACTGAACGTTGCACCCCTCCAGCATACTTGCTTGTCAAAGATCTTGTCTGTAAATATTTGGACCAATGATACAACGCGCCAAAAGTTCGAAGCCAATCAAACGCGAGGTTTGATTTTGTAACGGACGATCTTCGACCGAAACTGCCCAGCCATTTTTGGGATCTGGGCTAGCCCAAAGATCTCATGTGATGTGCACCATCATCTGAGCTTTATCGTGATGTAGAAGGGAACATGCATATGCCACATGAACACCTTGACGAGTGGAGAAGGCGTTCAAAGCAGGGTTCTGTGTGCCCTTACTATTAATAGTAGATAGAAAGTTGCCTGATAGCCATCTGAATGCAAGCCAAATGATTGGACAAAATAAACATTGAAACACCAATCCAACGTCGTTCATGATTGAATTCTTTGGGCGTTGGGGACGACGATGCAAATGTCATGGATCTTTCGCGCGGTCGTCCATACGCTCCTGGTGGTGGGCATGACTTACCATGCCGTGGACGTTGACTCCCATCTGCTGCCGTATTCACGTAACCTGTACAATGAGTTGTGGCGTCTGTTGAATGGCGACGACCAGGATCAGCCGCTCAACCTGTTTACGATTCGCCGCGGCGTCGACCATGTTCACTTGGTCCTTGCCAACTACTTCAGTCTCCCAGACGTTGCCTTGGGAAAACTGCATGTAGCTCCATTTGCAGGTGAGTTGCAGTCTCGCTTCTCAGAGCCATACATGAATGTATGATCATCATGGGCACCGAATACAGTACTCATATCATGAGTCAGGAATTCCACTGCCATATTTGACAGTGGTCTTTTCCAGTCCAAGCGACCCCGATCATGAGGTGAGCATGCGAGTGGCGTTATCAAGCAGTGCGTACTAACTGCGTCATGACACAGAGTAGTCGAACGTACATCCTGGACAAGGGCAACGAGCAGGCCTGGCCAGAAGGGCTGCGGCCAAGTGCGTCGTCGTCTGTCACGCGGGAATTCTTCGACACGCTAAAGCACATGACGTTGGCGATGGAGGTGCAGTCGCATAAACCTTCCTTGGGCACTCTGGAGCATGAGGCGGTCGTTCACCGCGACTACATGCGATGGAAGGTCCAGTTCAAGTACAACTTCTCGACCCAAGGCCAAATTCAGCTCCACATGGCAGTCACCCGTCAACTTCCGACTCCACCCAGCCGTCTTAGCACGACTGCGCGCAGTCCGACCGACTACATTTGGCGATATGTCGGCCTCATCGTTCTCTCTGGCGGTTACTTGGTGCGCATGCCATCCCGTGTCGCACGTCATCCCATATCGCAAGTAGTAGTAACCTCGTCTCATCGTGTAGATTCTCGAGACTTGGGCTTTCCTTGGCAACGTCGTTAACGACACGCCAAGCTGGTATGCTCAACGTGTCATGTTGCCGCGTAAGAATCTCACCGTGGACAACATATGTAGGCGAGTGGTGTTGGTTCAAAACCTGTCGGGAGCGTTTGTCGTCGTCACGAATGTCATCACGATCGCATGCTTCCTCCACGTACATCACCATGCCATTTACCTTGCATCCTTATGCCGACACAAACATTTTCAACGGCGGCGGCAGTAGGCATGGAGCGAGGCGCCCGTGCTCGTGTACGTGGAGCCGCTGAGTTGGACGTACGCCGTGGCAAGTATGGGCCAGTGGCTATCCCTCCTGCGCTTCCTGAGCTTCAACCCTCGGACGTACATCTTGGGCCTGACACTCAAGCGCGGCGCGCCGCAAGTCGTCGAGTTCCTCATCGGCGTGTGCCCGTTGTTTGTCGGCTATGTTCTGTTTGGCACGATTATGTTTGGGGCCACGGTAGTGTACTTTCTATGGATAGTCATCCTACTACTAGTAATAGTAGTCGTACGTGGTATCATACTATCGATGGCATGTGAACTAGGTGCCGAGGTTTGCTGGCATGGCAGCCACCGCCACGACGCTGTTTGCGCTGGCGAATGGCGACGAGATTCGGGATACATTTGTATCGCTGCCGTGGCACGGACAGGTATGATGCTGTCATTTGGAAATCCCATAATATATCTACTTCGGCCTTCGTTGCTCACGTTTGCCTTGGACTATGGAGTAGCTCTACTTGTACAGCTACATTGTGATCTTTGCCTATGTGGTGCTCATGGTGTGCATTGGCATAATGGAAGACGCGTTCTTCACGTCGGCGTTTCCATCCCTGTGGAAGCAATCGACGGCCACGTTAACCGAAGACCAGTGGCGCCACGTCGTCGAGCTCATCCACGACCGCACAAAGGCGAGTCACCCCGACATGGTAGCCTGCCAAACTGACATTTTAACCCACGTCGAGCGGCAACTGTTTTAAATATATAAATTTATATATTGTGAATTTCCTTCAAATTTCCCAATTCTACACGGCAGTACAACCTTTGGCTAACAATTTAACCAATCAAATGTCACGGCGAGGTTCAGTGCGAGATTCGATTGGGCGAAGTCGTCGAAATATCAACAATCCCCCAAACAAATTGGCACATGTGGGTGGAAAAATAAAGCACAATATACAGTATATATATATATATATAATTCTGCCGAGTTTACCATTCGTACTTGAAGCGGTCGAGGGCGAGCTGCGCTTCACCCAGTTCCTTTTGGACTTTGATGCGCTTATAAAAGATTGGACAGTCGCGCGACGAGCACAGCACGTCTTGGTGCAAACTGCCCTGGCAATTCTGGCACTGAGTCCACAGTCTTGCAAACTGCTGCTCCGCTGTCACGACGACGCTGAGCTGCTTGCCGTACACGTTTGCTTCTTGCTCGATGCACGACCCACACAGCGCCTGGTCACCACTCAGCGGCGCCTTGCAGCCCAAACACTTGAGCTTCTTGACGGCAAAGTTCATCATGCCGCCGCTGTTCTGCACCAGCCCCGGCTTGGAGCGCTTGCGCGTGTGATCCCCTGCAAACAAGTCGCTTTTGACCTTGGCGAGGCCGATGATGGGCTCGAAGATGCGCTCGATGGGGTTTTGCAGCTGGTTGGACATGTAGTAATCGCAATCGATCGGGATGTTGTTGGTCAGCGCGAACACCGGGTCCTCGGCCTTGTCGTACAGCGGCACGTTCTTCCCCTTGTCGATAATCACGTATGCGATGCGTTCGCCGAGGACGGGCGCCGAGCCCGGGTCGCGCTTCTTCATGCGCGCCGCGAGCTCCGTATGCGCCTGCTTGACCTTGTAATCGTCCGATTCTGTGGATTTGCTCAATCCCTTGGTGATGACGAGCAGGGAAATGTCAATCTTGTTCTGCAGCAGCTCGGAAATGATGTGCTTGGTGTACGCTATCGCAGCGTCGACGTTCCGTTCGATGAGAATCTTCTTCAAACAGCTCTCCACCATCCGCCGGACCAGCAGGCAGTTGTCACGACGCACGGTTTCCAGCCCCTTGGTGTCGAGTTTATCGTACTTTTCGGGTTTGGTCCACAGCAAACCAGCATATCTAGACAATCAAATCATGATATATCTATCATATTGCAGTAATAGAAGGATTTGTACATGTAAATACATATATATATATATCACATTGCATGTATAGTCGGTATTGTCAGGTCGAGTCCAACTTGGAGTGGGGCAGCACCAAATCGACAGACCAATCAAAAGCCAGAAAAGGAATCAAGTAGCCAATCAAACCCTTGCAATCATCGTCACTTGAAATACTAGTATTATGATGAATGGCTTTCTAACGTGTACATACAAAAATACAAATTACAATACAAAACAATCGACCATTATATATATATATATATATATATAAGTTTGGGCTACAATACCTCTTTTTGTTCATGAGCAAGTACGGAAAGTATACTTTTTCAAACTCGAGTTTGATTGGGCGGGGAAAGATGTCGGAAACCAACTTGGCGGCTTCCACCGCCAACGGCATCGCGTCCGCTACCGAGTCGACGCCAAACTTGACCATGACCGAGTCCGTGTCGCCGTAGATCACCTCGGCGTTGTGCTTGTACCCGTTGGCAACTGTAAACACCTTCTCCACCTCTTCGCGCGTACGCAATAGGAGGTCGCGGCCGTACGCTGTCACAGACGACGCGATGGGGATGCACGGCAGCTGCCCGACGTTGGCCCCCGTGAATCCGTACACCGAGTTGGCGCTGATCTTCAACGCGAGTTGGCGCCCGTTCTGGACCGCCTTGGTCATGGCGTCCGGCGCCGTCGCCATGTCGCGCTTGGCTTGCTTGCGCGCACTGAGCAGTTCTTCCAAAATCAGCGGCAAGATGCCCTTCTTGGTCGTATCTCGTACAAACACGTCGCCGGATGGAGACGTCTGGTACGCATTCTCTGGGAGTTTGCCAATGTCGGATGGCGCCACGAGCGTCGAGTAGCACAGATTGTACCCCTGCATGATACTGGGGTACAGCGACGCAAAATCCAACGTCGCGATCGGCACCGTGTAGTACGCCTTGACCGGCTCGATCACGGTCGCGCCTTCGTACCCCATGTCGTCGCCGCCGCCGCCGGCGCGGGGGAGGTTGGGGACCACCAAGCCGGCGCCGCGGCACTTGCGCAGCAACATCGAGTACACCTTGATCTGCTGGCCGCGGTCGATGAGAAAGTCCAACGGGACGCCTGTCACGCGCGCCATTTCAATGTAATTGACCAAGTAGCTGAGCTTTTGCAGCAGTGTGAGCGGGAGCACGGCGTCCTTGAGGCAGTACACGGCGAGGCGATGGCGGTCGTCGGCCGTGCCGCGCTGGAGGTCGCTGATGATTCCGTGCGGGACGTCCTCCTTTTGCTGGCCCAGGAACGTCGCGCAGACAGAGTTGAGCGAGTACGAACTCAGCTGCTGGTTGCGCCGGATAATGGGAAGCATGTCGAACGACGTGCGGCCGTGCATGGTTGTGCGCATGTTGTCGCTCTTGCCGTACTGCGCCGACTGGAATGCCTTCTTCTCCATGTGGTTTGGCCTAGAGAATGTCATATATATAAATCAACATTCACACAATATATATATATATAAAAGTGTTCGTGTAGGTAATATGCCACGCCAGCTTATATATATATATATTCATGAAAATAAATCATGCATATAATCATAATTTCAATATATTGTTGCGCACGGTCGATTATATATATATATATTCATGAAAACAAATCATGATTATTAATACATGTAATCATAATTTCAATATATTGTTGCACATTTGAAGGTCGATGATATATATATATATATGAACACGTACGTGTTTTTCAGTCGTCCCCAGCAATTGTAGTGCGGCGCCAGCTTGAGCGCTTTGCCTCGGTTGATCAGGTATGGCACGTCAAAGTTGTCAATGTTATATCCCGTGAGGATATCTGGGTCCACCTGTCGCACAAATGCCGCCCACGCCTCCAGCATGTCTCCTTCGCTCTCAAACTCCATCACATGCGCCCCCACGATGGGCTTGCACGTGCCCAGCACAAACACGTTGCGCGTCACGGGGTGCTCGGCGCCTTGCTCCCACACGACGTTTGCAATTTGAATCACCGGGTCCTACAACACATAGATGATCAACGGTCATAGTGAAATATTAGGAATGTGGTACAAGTTTTCTCATTAAACCCGATTCCCAAATCTCACCACGAAAAAAATATCATAGGTTTAAGTTCCCGATGCCGCAGAAAGAGAAAATAATGTAGCCAATCACCGACAAGCATTTTCAGAGTGACCAATGGGAGCGGTTCGGATATTCGTACCAAATATCAATAATATTTCCATGTGAATGTTCCAGTGATATATGCCAATCCAAATTGCGTTAAAGATCATACTATTCACGTGAGATAGTTCAAAACGATAATAATATCGTCTCGCGGAGAATAAATATGGGAACAATCAAGAATATATATATAATACCTTGTCTGCGTCGGGGAATTGACCAGTGCGCCCCATGCATTCAATGTCAAAGCTCAAAATGCGAAGCGGCGCCAGCTTGCCCCACACCCCCACGGGCGCATGGCTCACCATGTTCAAGTACACGATGTCGACCTCCATTTGGCACAGCGATATTTGCTTGTCGGGCGTGCGGAAGCGGTAGGTTGCCGCGGGAAGTTCGACCCAGTTGCACCCTTGGATCTCTTGGTCAATCATGAATCGCAAAATGTACGGCACGTTGCTCTCGTAGGTTTGGTAGCTGCGCGTGCCGAAGCCAGGAATGGTGATGCCACTTTCGAGGGCAGTTCGAAGCTTTGGCACAAAGTTCGGCAAGCTCAAGTAAACCTACCATGAGACGATCAACAACGGGTCATGGAGCATGCATGACTCGGCGAAGCGTACCTTGATCAAGCGCACTTTCTTGTCGAATTGGTACCCGTACAAGGACATCTTGTCTTCGACAATTTCAACCAGCTGAACCGCAGGCGCGTCCGACGAATTCTTCTTGACGGCGGCGTCCAATGCTTCGCGGACGGTGTTGCAATCGGAAGTCTTCAACCCGTCAGGACACGACGCATAAAAGTACGGCACAAAGCCATGAATGTGAGCCATGATACTGTGCCCATCCTCGGTCACACCCGTCAATCGAATGATGGACGAACTACCAGTACGCGGGCCAGGGATGGGTTGTGTGCGCGAATATGGATTCACGGCAAGCGGCTCTCCGTCGTACATGCCAATGTCAATCCACTGAAAGCGGATGTCATGCTCGGCAGCATTCAGCGGCGGTAACGGGGTTCGTGGCCACGTACTTGCATGCGTCCGAAGCACGCGCGGCTTTTTGGCGGGAGGCTCCATTCTGTCGTAAACCAAAACCAAACTGGGAACCACCGCACAACGCAATTTTTCCGCCAAAACGACGTGAAAACGAGCCAATCACAAGGCGGAAAAGAAGGTCAATAATAAATGAGTGGATAAAAGAATCATTTACAGTTGTTAGATAATGCTTTTCATTCAATATTTTCATTTATTTCTTAATATTCCTCGACATAATATGGATTCCCGTTTAGCTCAGTTGGTAGAGCGCAGGACTTTTAATCCTGTGGTCGCGGGTTCGAGCCCCGCAGTGGGAGTCATTTTTTCAGTTTTGACAAGGTAAGCAGTTACATGAAACGGTTTGGTCTTGCACCTTCCACGAACTATTGACTCTTCCGTCCATGGCGCATACACAGACTACTCCGAAGGATGGGAGCAAAGCGCATACAAAGAACTCGATGTTTTCCTTGATCCATACGATTGGGCTCAGCGACTCGACGAATCCTGCGGCGGAGGTCTCGGAAGGTACGGTGAATAACTCGGGTGAATCAACACCGTAGCGACTCTTCAATGTGGCAGAAGCAGCAGATGGCAATGAAATGGAAACCAATATGAAAGACCCGGCACTGATGCAGATCTTGGACAAGTGGTGGGCAAGTTGTCTCGTGCTTCTGGACTCGGATGGCAACGGAACCCTCGAGAGAAGTACACCTCCAAGGTTCCGTGGCAGGCCTTGACATAATACTTCTGTAGACGAGTACGTCAACTTGTACAAGCGCCTGATTTACGGCACGTCGTGCATCTACGGCGAGAAAGCAGTGCTAGATCAGCACATTGACGACCTCATTGAGGTACGAACATTGTACAGCCCGCACTTCTAAGGCATCAATACTTTTTCGGGGGGTAACTTTTGATCTAACACAGGAGGATTGGAAGCGAGACAGCGGGGGCCTTCTTTCAATGGACAAGACGCGTCTGTGCGTTTCCATTTACGAGTTGGCCGAGACATGGGCCAAAGGCGAAGCGGTGCAGACGTTTGTGGACTTTCTCACAGGTAGCTCCAACAGCGCTGTGGCTCTAGGAAGATAACTTGGAACGAATGCATGAACTCACTAGAGTTGCACGAGCATGTGTTTGTGTCATACAAAGAAGAGTACCTCTCCCAACGAAAACCATCCAAGAAGACACCCGTGCTTTCCAAGGCCAAATCGACGATCAAACCCAAAACGCCCGAGCCCGTGAAACCAACCCCCGCTACCGCAGTCCGAAATTCAAAGGTACATGTAGGGGGGTATATATACTACTTGTAGTGTGTTTATTCCCCATTAATAGTTGTACGTTTAGCCCCGAAAAACCAAGGCCAAGATACCATCAATCACGTCAGTGGAGACCGCAAGTCTTGAAGCCCCCCCGATTACGCAATCACCAGCGCTAATATCGTCGTTCTCACCTGTGGAGCCACCACCACCCACTATTGACCAACCGCCTTCTCCAGAGAAAGCACCGCAAGAAGGGGACGACATGGCTTACTATTCGTTTGAAGCTCGGTTCCAACTGCAGGTTAATATGCGAAATGATTTGTTTTAACGACTTTGTCATGACAAGGAGCGGATCGAGGCGTGTCAGCGGCAACTCCAGCCCATCGGCCACATCGCTGAGATCGCATGGCTGAGGTGTACAGTGCGCGAAGAGCAGCTACATGCCCAAGCTACGAGTCATCAACAACCACCACTGCCGCAGCACCATCCATCCCTCGCGCCGTATCGAGTCACGGCAGCCGCCATCACAGGTCCGCTTTCTAGCGTCATTATGACTCTTCCTCACGATTTTTACGTAGCCATGGGCGAACACGTGTGCATCAAAGTACGAAAAACTCGTTTGCCAACGCATCTATCTTCATTCTAGCACTGGATTTGATATGTATCTCCATGTAGCTGCAAAAATGCTTGCTCCATGCCGAGAAGAGCCGCGTGGACGACTTGATCCTGCTCGTGGAAGACGTCGAGCGCGATGTTCAGTCGTTCATCGACGCCGTCACAGACGTGGCCACGTCCTCATGCACGTCGTCGCATGCCACGACCAAGCAGCAACAGACTCGACGACATCCCACCAAGAACCCGCCCACGCACCCAAACCACCACGACCTGTGCTTTGGCAATCGCAACGTGAGCTTCGACTTGCCGTCCATGAAGACGTACGCGCAGCAGGTCGCGCCATCATACGCCGCGTACAAACAAGAAAAAAAAAACACCAGATAAATATATATTGTTCATTCGATACTTCTCAACCGATCCCGCAGCGCTTGCCACGCTTGGCGCGCCTCGGTCGACAACTCGTACAAATCGGCGCAACTCTGGGCCACACTCTTGGCCACAAACTGCGACCGGTGCGGTTCCAGCTGCTTCAACTGGCTCGCCACACTGGCCCGCTGCGCCTCCAACCGGGTCGATTCGTCCCGCAGTCGGTCCCCCAGCGTTTGTTTTGCACTCGCGTCCAGCTCTGGACCCACAGCCGCATCCTCTTGTAGCTGCGCCACCAGCGCCTCCTTGGCCGCCACGCGCACAAATGCGGCTTCGATCGCGCCCAAGTGCAGCACGTGCATGCGAAGGGTCTCTTGGACGGCGTGCTCGGCCACGTCGGGCATCCCGCGCAGGGCGGCCCCAAACCGCATCATTTCCGCCGCCATGCCCGACTGCCGGCCGTCCAACTGGGCCATGTGGTCGATGCCTTGACCGAGGATACTCCAGTCGCGGCCCTGCTTTCGCTCCAACTTGAGCACCACGCCGCCCTTGTCTGACGCTGATTGGTACAGCACGCACCTGTAAACAATACATTATATAATTGCAGTCCGAAAAGCATGAAACCACGTACAATTGCTGGTAGGATTTCCGCCGGAGATGCATCCACGCTTGCTCGCTGTCGACGGGCGTGTCGTCCACCGTGTGGAGGCCGGCTTTGGTCGCCAGTTTCGATGTGAGTTTGGACATGGCGCCCCATGCCCACTGCGACGACGTGGTCGCCGGTGCCAACCACGACGACGACGACGAAGACAAGGACGATCTCCTGGAGAGCGACGGCAGCGGAACAGCAACGTCGGCGACGGGTTTTTCCGTCTTGGCTTTGAACTTCTCGAGCTCTTCCGTCGACAAGAGCAGGAACGACCTCGTCGCTTCGCTGCGACTCAAGTCTGGACTGCGCAACACTTCGCGTAGAAACGCCTATATAAAAAATATCAAACAATATATTGGACAATTTTCTTTTAAATAACAAAAAAACCCATCAATATTGGACAAAAAAATGTTTTTTTCGCCGTTTTTTCATCGGACGGACCTGGAGCGACCGCATGCGGTCCGAGACAAAGTCGGCATTATTTTTGAAAAAATGCTTTTCTGGCAAAAACGGCACAAATAACCCTGGAAACGCATCGCACAAGGCTTGGTGCAGCCAGACAAAGTCGCTGTACCGTCGGTACACCTTGACCGACGCCAGCTGGGCCGACTGGAGGCACGGGAGCTGGTGGCTCGGCTTGCAAACCGCCCATTCCTTGGCCGCCCGCATCGAATCCATCTCACCGTGTTCGTTGGCAATGCAAATCTACAGTCAGAATGACACGGCGAACGAAATACATAGTGGAATATCGTACCACAGTGTACCGAGTATATGGCAGCAGCCACGACCCGACCGTGATGGGCTCGCACACCAGCACAACCATCCGAGTAGGGTCGTGCTTGCCAGAATGCAGCGACAGCTGCGACTTGACGCGATCGACCTGCAGCAAACTATCATATTCACGAGCTTTGTGGTGGCGGCGTACCTGCTCTTGCAACGCGTCCGCTTTGGTTTGCAAGTCCGCAGCAATGGCGGCGGCGCTACTCGCGTCCTTCTTGACTTGTTGTAGCTGCACCGCATCCCATTCCACTTGGCGCTTGAGGACTTCCGTCTCGTTTTGAAGTTCCTCCGCGCGAACCACCGCTTGGATGGCGCGAGCGTGGGCCGCCTCCGACGCCGAAATGGCCGCCTGCTTTTCCCTCGTGCTGATGGCAACCTGTCGCTGCAACGCTTGCGCATGTTCTGCCGCCTTTTCCGCTTCCTGCTGGGCAATTTGAGCTGCTCTTTCCGCTTCAAGCGCTGCTTTCTCCTTTTCCTCGATCACTTTCTCGCTTTGAACACGAAACGCGGCCAGGCGCTCGGACGTCCACTGCTCCAGTTCGTCGCGGATGCGAAGCACTTCGAAATTCTTGGGCAGTCCTTCGGGGGCAATTACAGTTTCGCGGCGACAGCTTGGACATTGGATGCCATTTTCAGCAGAACTGCTGCTGCTACCACTGCTAGCCCACCCACTGAGACAAGACTACAGAAGACAACACTAGAGTGAGTTCTCAAGTGAAGGGCATAATCACATGATGTCAAGGACTGTACGTGGCAAAACGTGTGCCCGCAATTGAGGAGACGGGGAGTGTGATCTTCGGCCTCCCCGTAAGGCTCATTGCACAGCTCACACTCGACACTGTTGTACAGCATCTCTCGCCATTCTTCTTCGCTTGCGTTCATGACCACACTGCCGCCGTACTTGACCCAAAACTGCAGAAAAGATTGCCAGAAGCAGCCATTTGCCGTTTCTGTTGATTGACTTGAGTTTAGTATACTGACCAATCGACGAACTAAAAAATACGTTAAACTTGATCTTTGTATTGAAGGGCTCAAATATCTCAATATCCGGATACACAATCAAGTATCCAGCATTTCTGCCAAGACCACACCACTGGAATTTGCAGCCTTTGCAGCAATCAAAAAGCATGGCTGACCCGAGCGACTTCAAGGAGCTAGGTACGTACATGCCTGCGTGTGAGAAGCTTGCACCATGCAGCTCTTCCGTCTCATTAGGCGGTGTGTTATGTTGATGTGCTAATGTTGTAGAGAAAATGCTGGACAAACAAGATGCCAAGAGCAAAGCAAAAAAGTCACCATCCGTCGCCCAATTGAAGCCAGACCTTGCGGTACATTGCACATATCCCTTAAACAGCTAGGTTACACTTGTGCATAGGCTGGCATGGAGAAGATTTCGCTGTCGACGGAGGAAGGTACGTGACGAAGGCCAATGATTCACATCAACCGTGACGACGATGGTTGGCGTAGACAAGGCGGCTCGGAAGGCAAAACTCGCCAGCCAAACGTTTGAAAAGAAGCCTAAACTGACCAAGGAAGAGCGCCGCGCACAGCAAGAAGCGCAACGACTGGCTAAAGCTGCCGGCGCGCCTGCCAAGACCGCACCGAAGGCCGCTGCGGCCCCGGCTCCACCCACTGCTCGCATGCAGGTATAATAGTACCTTCCAAACTCTCTCACTATGATAACTTCACTCGTAGTACGACGACCCTAAAAAAGTTGCCAAGTACTCGAAGAGCTCTGTCATCCAACGCACGCAAGCCCAGAAACAAGTAGGACGTCTCCGCCATCGTGGGGTTTTGGTTGATTGGATGATTGCTCACGTTGCCATGTACCAGGTCGCGCTATTTTCGCATTTGCCCCAATTCGAACGCGAAAGTTCCTTGTCGTTGAACGTCGGGTTTTCTAAAGTACGTAGGGGTCGCCCTATATATTGTCGTTTTCACCCAAATTTGGTTGATTGGTGAAATGAACTTGGGAATCTCAATTTAATACCATCCAATGTATACTATAAACTATTGCATATGAAATCTTCGACTGGGACAAATGGGCCAAACATCCGTGAACTACCATTGGTTAGAATTTCTGATTGAAACGATTTCATTGGCTAGTCGTTTGGGGGATGCCGCTATTCAATTGGACTACCCACTCCACCTTCGAATCGAGTGCATAATATCTATCTATATTTTACCGGTAGTTATAATGTCGAATGCATAATATCTATCTATATTTTACCGGTAGTTGAAGTAGTTTATTGGAGATTCGGGACGAATTCCGGGCCCAGGTCAATCAACCCCAATAGCTCCCATTGGTCCATCAGAAATTACTTGTCGCTGATTGGCTATAATCCATATTCGATATGTTTTTTCTACCGAAAAGAGTCAGTGGATATGATTAGCGAATCCAATGTCTCGGCGCGGTCGGTTTGTGCTCGATTGACCGAGCCAAGAAAATATTTATATTTATATATATATATAAATATTGGTAGGCCGAAATCCACCCGGCGATCCTATCGCTTGGATTAAAGTATGCCGAAGGCAAACTCGTGGGCGGCAACGCGCGGTGTGTGGCCATGCTCACGGCGTTCCAGCAAGTGATCAAGGACTACCACACGCCGCCGGACAAGGTCCTTCGCCGAGACCTGGATAAGACGCTGCGTCCGCTCATCCAGTTCCTCATCGACTGCCGACCGCATAGCATCGGCATGGGCAATGCGATTCGTGTAAACCCGACTTTGAATCTAGGTGCCCAAGGGGGAGATATAACGTCTCTTTTGTTTGCAGTATGTTCGCAATGTGATTGCCACGTTGGATCCGTCCAAGGGCGACGACGACGCCAAGACGTTCGTGTTGGACGAGATTGACCAGTATATTGAGGTAGATATATCTATATATATACATATCGATGAATCCTTGGGGAAGACATATATAAGTCATGGTCGATATACTGGTAGAATCGGATTGTAATGGCGATGACGGCCGTGTCCAAGTTTGCATGCTCCAAGATCGTGGACGGCGACGTGATCTTGACGTATGCGCGCGCCGACATCATCGAAGTGCTGCTCAAGCAGGCTTTTGATCAAAAGATTCAATTTCGCGTGCTGGTCGTGGACTCGCGGCCGCATTTCGAAGGCAAAAAGCTCATCCGCGCCTTGGCCGAACATGGCTTGCCGTGCACGTACATTCAAATCAACGCGCTGTCGTACGTGATGAAGGTACATATATATATACTAGTATGTCGTGTCAGCCAAGTTAATATGTGGACTTGTTTGTTATTTGCCAAATCCTCGATTGTCTTTTTTGTACTGAATTTTGTATGCAATTAATTGTATTTTTCACTGATGATACTCGTCGCACTACCGTATTGTGAAGTCACACACGAGAATTTTCATTGTTGATTGGCTGAAAACTGACCAATCAGATTGGCGAATTACGTCTGCCGATTCTTCTGTACATTTATTTGGCTGTGTGGATATTAGTTGTCCTGTGAATCAAAATTTGGCCTTTTGTGCTCATTCACGAAATCTATCGATCGACTTTTTGTAGTCCTGAAGTTCGTATGTACAGAATTGGCCTGTAGTGAAGCGAATCACACTAATTAAAGTCATACACTCCCACTGATGACGTGGCGTCACCTGATTGGTTGTAGGAAGTGACCAAGGTGTTTTTGGGCGCGACAGCCATCATGAGCAACGGCGCCGTGGTCGCCCGTGTCGGCACGGCGCTGTGTGCGATGACAGCGCACGAGTTCAACGTTCCCGTGCTGTTTTGCTGCGAAACGTACAAGGTAATCTGTCGGATGTGGACTTCATTTATGTTTTAATATTGTCAATTTGATACAAATTTGGGGAGGGGGTGCAATCGAATCGCGCCAACCAAACCGATCCACAATCGATCTGATTGGTTGAATTTCATCGAGAAGGTTTTGATTGGCTAATAATTTTGAGCTCATCTGAAGTAGCCAATCAAATCGATTTAAATTCCAACGAGAAACCACAACACGAAATTTCACTCGAAAGCACAATAAATAATTTATTTATTTATAGATATCTTGGTTTCATTTATATACGTGATGTTTTATTATTTACATCCATGCCTTCGAGTCTGTAATATGTTGTAGTTTTCGGATCGGGTGCAACTCGACTCGATCACGCACAACGAACTGCGGGACCCGGACGAACTGGTCAACTCGTACGCGGCGGACCACCAGCGGCTGACCAACCGACCCGAGGCGGAAGCGTCGGCGCACGTGCTGGCGGACTGGCGGGACCTGCCCAACCTCAAGCTGCTCAACTTGGTGTACGACCTCACGCCCATGGAGTACGTGTCGATGGTCGTGACAGAGATTGGCATGATCCCACCGACGTCGATTCCGGCTATCATTCGCGAGTACCGAAAGGAATACAACAACGAAGATGCGGTGCACTTGCCATAGGTTGACCACTTTAAACATAAGCTCTCTGCCTCATCATGGCTTTGGATGACGTTCGAACCTATAAGTTTGAAGTACCAGCAGGGCTTCTTTGGCTGCAAAATAACCTCGACACAATGCAATTCAATACCAAGAAGGGCAAAGTACATATCTCCAATGGTTACAGCCTGGATGGCAAGGCATACTAGTAATTACTGTAATAGTACTACTCCGGGGTAGTTAGTATGTACGAATTTGCTTTCCATTGTATTTACTTTAGCCGCCATTTAATCAAGACTTGGTCGCTCTGGTGGAGCTAAGCTTTGCCAGTACCGAGTCGTCAACGCGATCGCAAACTCGTACTTGGCGTGCACTTTGGCACAATGTGGGGCGTGCCGTGCAATGTCGAGGCGCTGGCAATCTCGCGAGCAGTACGTGACGCCGCACGCGCATTCGCTGGTGCATTCGCATTTGCACACGACGCAGCGAGGCACCAGCGGCGGCAGGGCGGGTCGAACCGCCTTGGGCACAAGTGGCGGCACCCCAATGGTCGTGGCGATCTCCTCGAACGACCACATGCCATTGTCCAAGACCGACGGGGGTCGTCTACACCAATAGATTGAGTCGCCCGATCACGATTTTGAGATGGAACTCACTTTGCACCTAGGTCAAACCCGAGCTGTATGAAGTTCTCGACGTGGCTTTTGAACGACAGCAGGCCATTCACGCCATACCTCTGTTTCTTGTAGAAATGTCGTCTACACAACAGTTCGCATGTGAAGGGAAGGGGTGGTTATGAGGTTCAAGTGTACAAGTAGCGGGTCCGGGCTTCGCATTCGCGGTACTCTTCGTACTTTTTCGCGAGCTTGGGCATAAACGGAAGCTTCCCTAGCGTTTGAATGTAATGCTCGGCGCGATGAATCCACCCTGGCGGCCCTGGAAACATGGGAGGAAGGTCATGTTCGGGCGGGATCCACACCATCGGCTTGGCCGTGCATACTTTTTTGTGGCCCATGTTCCAGTGGCGAGCTTGACACGTCCGACTGCAGTACGTGGTATTTCGACACCGACTGCATTGCTTGGCGGCACCGTCTTGTTTACAACACACACATCGCATCCTTGTAGCGTCGAGCAACCGACAATGGAATTGACCAGGTGCATGCTGTTCGCACGCAATGATGATGCATGTGCCGTTTGTGGGTTTGTCCCATTTTACCCAGGAACGTAATCAAAATTGCTAACCAATCAGAGTCCTGGATTTAAGGATCTTGGATTCACTGGCAGTCAATCATGCAGGAATAATGGGCTTTGGTATAAAATAATGAGAGTGACGCTGGTGCCGCATCGCCTTAGTGTTCTACAATGCTTGGACGTCTCATGAACATAAATCGCAATTCTATGACCGGCTGTTCTCGTTGTGAGCATACATACACTGGGACGCGTCACCTTTAGAAAAAGCATGATTTTCCCAACAAACTTAAGTTTATCCCAAGCGTAGTGGTACTAAGTGGTACTCCGCAGTATAAATCTTCATGTAATTAGTTAGTATTTTAATACTACTTTTAATATAAATATTAATATATTTATATTGATAACGTTAGATTCCCAAAAAATCATATAATTCCCTCATTAACACAGTACCACTGCTGTTCTTCTCAGAAAACAATGCAAGTTGCGTGCTTGTACCGTGTAGCGACAGCCATATAGATTTGGACTCCTCTGTAAAATGATATAATCCACTGTAAAATTATATAGTTGGATTATTACACTTGATTATTGTATGAATTTGGGAATTTACACTATCCGTATCCGGATACTTGCCCCGCCACTGTCCAAATCTATATACGTTACACGGTATGGGAATTAGTACACCGGTTCCACCTCGCCTCTTACTAGGGATTAACTATAAGTGCATCTGAGTGGTTGACGATAGCTAACTATTGGCGATGCAGTTAACGTTAACCCCGGGGATTTGTGTACTCATCGGGTCGTGTATCCGGATGGGCTGATTGACGGTGTGAAATAACTCCGGAGTACTGTGAAGCTGTACATATTTCGGGTCGAAACAACAGTGGAACTTTTTCAATGAGGGAAGTATTCCAATAAATAATGCAGAGCATAGAAATTTCTCCTGTGGGCATTGCCCCAGAATTTAACATCGTTTTTATGTATCTTGCATCACAGGTTGTTCTGATAATGGGCCAAACATGGGGGGTTCCCTCATACAAGTAGTTTCGCTGTTGGTTACGAGCGGTGCGATTTACAGATAATCAATCACGCATCGTCGCGGAACCACCGCTTCCACTGCATTCAAGCCAAACCATACTTGCAATGTTATTCCTGTGTTAATAGCTGCTTTGGTTAGCTATCGTTTACTAGTACACCACCTTCTATTACTAGTACAGTCTGAACTACGCTACATACAGTTTGTTCTAAACACTTCCTCCATGCAGTGTCTGGTTGTGTTAGGAAGAGTAGGTTTTATATTATGAGGGAATTTATCCGTTGAAGCATTTGGGAACGACTGGCGACAGCCTATCGCCGGAGTATCGAAATTGCCATGACGTGGGGGGCACTACTGCGACACTATTTCGAAGTGCTTGCCGCCACATCGAAGGCCTCGACATGTCTGGTAATGTGTCGCACTCGCAATGATCGTTAGACCATCAATCTTACCATGGGGCGTTTTAGCTGGAAGTATTTTTGCCTAACGAGCTTGTCTCAAAATTGTCCAATTGCGCTGCGCCGGAAAACGTGCCTGAAGGAATATGATACATGCACTTGGAATCAAGTTCCTGCGATATGTCTTCTTCAATGTACCGGTCGGTTACTGTACTCACAATAAGTACTACTACGTACTAGTAGTACTAAACTGTAACCAGTGGCTCGGCCTACAGTAGCAGTGTACCGATACAGATATTTGATATTCAAACGTGCGAGGTTGAATGATTGATTCATTGTGCGACAATCGACCGCATCGCAGAGATAAGATATGTAGACCCGCTGTGGGTCGTGGACATGAATTCCAATCACCTCGCACTTACTGGAGGGACAACCGGTATGTACTCGACCACACAACGGGAAGCCTGGGCAGGAACGTGCACCGATTATCCGCTCAGCAAACTGGATGGGTACGGGTAGCTAGCTACATTTTCCCCAGTCGCTGACCTTGTTGAGTGGACTGTTCGCCAGCAAAAACGACGTTAAGCTTAACGTTAACGTTATTACGGCAAAGAACTATGGGAAGGGATGCGACATGAGGTGGGAAGGGATTCCAGCGCCTAGTGGCCTGTTTTGGTTCACATCGTCGCTGCATAATTGTTCAGTTGGTTTCGTCATGCTGTTAAGTTAGTCAGCGTGCACGCTACGCCAACTCGGATACAGGTATGTACCAACCAGCATGAAGAATTCCATTTGGAATTTTCGTACAGCCAAGTCTATTTGTCCCATAGTAGTTTGGCCCAAAGCATAATCACATTCGGTGTGCGACACTTTTGAGAAAATGCGACAGTTCAAGTGACAAGTTATAATGGTCTGTGGCCGGTCGTTAAATTATTACGAGGGAAGTATACTATCCCCTAGTGCTGCCTTGAATTTTAATTCATTGGCAGAATACAGGAATACGCCTGCTCCGATCAGTCCTTGATTCACCGACTAGGAGAGAGTCATGGGAAGCGCACGCACATGGAACGTTGACGCCGAAATCGACCCCAGGATACACAGCACAGCAGATCACGTGGCAATGGCCGTGCGCATTCTCGTCGAATCGGGAACCACGGCGTTCCTCCGCATGGAGGAACCCGCGACCGAAGCGTTTTGCTCACAGGTGGCATCGATGTACCAAGCAGTGCCGTACCACAATTTCAAGCACGCGTTCAGCGTCATGCACACGACATACCTGCTACTACAGAGCTACATCCAGAGTCCATTTACGCCCCTGGAAGTCGCAGCATTGCTCTTGGCGGCGCTGTGCCACGACATTCAACACAACGGCCGAACCAGCAGTTTTCACCAGACGACCAAGTCTGCTTTGGCCCGAGAATACGCTTCCCACAAAGGATCGGTGCTGGAAGCCATGCACGCGAGCGTCGCCATCGACACCATGACCGCCGAGCACGTGTTTGATCACGTGGTGGCGGCGGACGCCGACGCGATCAAGAGCATGATCCAGGAGCTGATCTTGGCCACAGACATGGCACTGCATCCCCAAGTCATCCAAGCGTATGCAGACAAGAAGAGCAGCGGGGATTCCCTAACCCAAGCCAAGATGATTCTGCATTGTGCAGACATTTCGAACCCGACCAAGAGTCCTGAAGTGGCAAAGTGGTGGTCCCACGCGGTCCTGCGCGAGTTTTGCATGCAAGTGGACGAAGAGCAAAAGCTCCAGTTGCCCGTGAGTGGCTTTATGAAGGCCGACTTGTTCAGCCGCGAAGAGGCCAATATGCACTTGGAATTTGTCGACTCGTTCGCTGTGCCCGCGTGGCGCCTCTTGGCCGTGTCCTCCCACTTTGACGAGTACGTGACCCGGCAGTGCATGACCAACATCGTTCTGTGCCGCAAGATGTGGCTGGCAGCCATGGAGCCCACCGTCCAGCTCACAGTCATGTCGTTCCCTCGGACGTTGAAGCGCACCAAGTCGTCGTACGAAGACATGAGTCCATGTGGGGACGACGAAAAGGCTAGCTCGACTAAGCGCCGATGTATGAAAAAGGTGGTCCGACGATCAGGTCTAGAAACTGCCGCCGTGGATGTGAATGTCACATAATGTCGTACGTCCAAGTAACTTAACAATATTATTTAATTGTACGTGATCATTGTCAAGTTGGAAGCCACTAAGTACCACCAGCATGTCCCTCCACGTCTCAGCCCAGGGTACTCACTCGCCAGCCACTACATTCCACGGCGCATGAAGTACTATGGTGAACTCGTGAATGGATGGGCACAACGGAGACAGATTTTTTCCATCCACGGCATGCTAATCAAATATTATCATGATATATTATTTCTACGATCCTTATTCTATATCCGCGGGTTTGCAGTCTTACGGTGGGCTCGTTGGCCTGTGCCAGCCGTCTCAGGTTAATACATCCGTACTGCACTTCATCGCAACTAACGTTACTATATGCATATTGTCGTACATACCCGTGACTCGTGCATATGCGTACGATCTCGCGAATTTTCTGGGTCAGTTCTTGCTGTTGTTGGACTTCACGTTGAAACTGACTTGTCATGTCCGCGTCGATAACTCGACGGAGGGGATGCGACGACAAGCCATGGCTGCTGCTGCCGCCACGTAATAACGTCATATGTGGCCACGCCAATGCGTCCACTTGACAGCCCATATCATTCTACGAGGGTCAAAACTATAGTTTACGAACCGACGATCCTTTCGTTCGCTCGTTCATTCGTACCGTCTGGACGTCGTGGCGGGCGGCGTCGTTTGGCTGGATGATCAACGGGAGGACGTTGGTCGCCTACGTCCAAGTGTCCAGTGAATAGAGGTACTGTACAGTACAGTATATATATGTGCAATGTCATCAATAAAACACTGGAAGCAGAGTAGTGCTCTCAACGGCAGCATTATTGCACACAACCCAAGGTAGTACTTCATACCTCGTTCAGCTGTTGCTGCAATCGTTGCACCTGTCGCTCCAACTCTCGAACTTTCAACTCGTGGGGACCACCTCTACCCTCGAATCGTGCTTGAAGCTGGGCATTCTCGACCCGCAGGCGCGCGTTGTCACGCTCGAGGCACGACACATGCGCTCGGCGGTACATGGCAAAGAACCAAATCGTGGCCTTGACTCGGATGCGGATGCGTCGCCACAACTCGTGCGCTCGCTTTCGTTTCCGCAATGCATCCACGACCGCCGCCGCCGCCACTCGACGCACCTAAACCAACGAGCGAGCTTTGGTGTTGGTGGTGGTACGTTACTCGACATTATCACACCTGCGCTTGGATCTGGACACATGCGCGCCGTTCGCGAACCGTTTCGAACATGGCCACAAACACCCGCTTGGCCAAGTATCCCACGCATGCCGCCCGGCCCAGTTTCTGGACGTACATGGTCCGCTGCATCGGCCCGAGCCACTGAAGAAGCCACTTGCATCCGCTCGGCACCGCGCGCTGCTGGCTAAGCAACGCCTCCAGCAACGCCAGCTTGTCCTCTTGGGCTCCGTCGAACGCGCGTTGTACCCCCGACTTGTGGACCAGACGTCCCCACATGTTGGCGACCCGCCGCTGTGTCCGCTCGGTGGCCACGAGTCGACATGCCAAGTGCTGGCGGAACCAGCACTGCAGCACGATGACGTGGCGCTTGCGTTGCACATCCACGTAGGCCAACTGGACATACCGACAGACGGCTACTTTCGTCGCAGCGGACACCCACCGTCGCTTGGCCATGTAGTGCGTGAGGGCGGCTTTGAGAGTATCGGGGGTCATCGTAGAAGGGGAACTGACTTGCAGCACACTGTCGAGCAAGTGGATTTGCCCTGCCATACGTACATATAGGCCATCATCACTGGGGGGGTTTTGTATCAACAAACAGCGCGATACATAGCAGAGGTACCACCTGTCTTGAAAAAGAGGCGGGAGTCGCCGAGACGATACGCATCTGCGGGGAAGCCAAGCACGTGGCACAGCGCTTGGGTAAACACCCGGTCGCTCGCGTGAAACCAGTCAAACATAAAATCCGCCCCCAACAGGGTCGTGTAGATGCTGGCAACGTCCACGTACGACACCCTTGTGGGAAGACCCACTTGGAGCACTTGGCACGCTTGAATGGTCCCGGAGCTGCGGAGTTGGTCGAGGACGCTGCGGCGATCAAACACCCGAGCGTCCATGGCGGCATTCGGCTTGATGCACCGGATAAAGTTGCTTCGCGTCGAGTTGAGTTCGCTCGTCAGCGTCCGCATTTGCATAGAAAACAAGTACGACATGCTGCCAGACGTCTTCTTGGTGGATGGCGTGGGGCTACGAGTCATAGAACCAAGGGACGAGTCGGAAGTGATTCTTGATGGGGTCTGCGATGATGCGGATGTGGTGTGGAGAATGGCCAACGTTGAGCTAGCTAGCAGGTCGTGGAACTGCCTGGACGTGACGTTGCTGTTCTTGTCCAAGAACGAATCGATGCGATACCGTACGACGCCCGCATAATGGCGAATGCAAAACGTATGGTGCATGTCCTTGGGATGTGGTTGGACAAAGCTACGGTTGAAACAAACGCATATATATATATATATATATATATATATCATCACATTTTGACGGTGGTTTTGCAAGGAACAATGCACGTAACTTCCTTCGTACCACGGATGGTTTCCAAAATACTTGTGGAAGTTGTCAATCAATCGCTGGTCCGTCGGTCCCGCGACTTTGGCCACTGTGTCCAGGATTGCAAATATTCCTTCGTGTTTTGCGGCAATCAAGGACAAACACTCGTTGTTGTCGACGTACGAAATAGGAGCATGGGACGGGCCATCCACACCCGAACGCCTAGTGTCAGTGCCGTGGAATGAGATGTAAATATATATATTTATATATATATATATATAGGGATCCTACCGGGATGTGTCTCTGCTCCCCATATTCCTAGATGCAAAAGGAAATACCACGGACGTCTGTTGCGGGGCCCAAATGTGCTCGGACGTGTACAGTTCCTGTTCTGCCTTGAGAATGCACTGATTGAACAGGCTTTGCAGCGTTTCATTCGCGTAGTTGATCATGAGCTGCTCCAGCGAGTTGCGATTCTGGGGCTCAAAGTCCTCAAACCCAAAGATGTCGAGCACGCCAATGTACGGCAACTCGTCCTTTTTTTCAAAATTGAACTCGAGGGCGTCGGCACATTGCCGCATAAGCGACCCAAACACCTACCAACCAATAATTTCAATATATATATACATCGTATAACAACATCAATATATATATATATATATATCATCACATTTTGACGGTGGTTTTGCAAGGAACAATGCACGTAACTTCCTTCGTACCACGGATGGTTTCCAAAATACTTGTGGAAGTTGTCAATCAATCGCTGGTCCGTCGGTCCCGCGACTTTGGCCACTGTGTCCAGGATTGCAAATATTCCTTCGTGTTTTGCGGCAATCAAGGACAAACACTCGTTGTTGTCGACGTACGAAATAGGAGCATGGGACGGGCCATCCACACCCGAACGCCTAGTGTCAGTGCCGTGGAATGAGATGTAAATATATATATTTATATATATATATATATAGGGATCCTACCGGGATGTGTCTCTGCTCCCCATATTCCTAGATGCAAAAGGAAATACCACGGACGTCTGTTGCGGGGCCCAAATGTGCTCGGACGTGTACAGTTCCTGTTCTGCCTTGAGAATGCACTGATTGAACAGGCTTTGCAGCGTTTCATTCGCGTAGTTGATCATGAGCTGCTCCAGCGAGTTGCGATTCTGGGGCTCAAAGTCCTCAAACCCAAAGATGTCGAGCACGCCAATGTACGGCAACTCGTCCTTTTTTTCAAAATTGAACTCGAGGGCGTCGGCACATTGCCGCATAAGCGACCCAAACACCTACCAACCAATAATTTCAATATATATATACATCGTGTAATAACATCAATATATATATATATATCATACTGTATATGATGCATGTAGCAACAACACAATAACGTTATTATAAGTTTAACAAAAAAAGAATGCATGTAGCAATTCAATACATACTAGTACACATTATTCTAAGAAAACATAATGTGTGAGAGTGTAATATATATTAATACTTATAGCAACACCATATAAACATCAGTCGGGAGTATACGCTTAAACAAACCCAAGAGACTAGTAGTATATATATATATATATATATACACTAACTAGTAGGCATATATACAGAGATAGAAAACACATACTTGTTCGTAAATGACTTTGGCGATCGTGTCACGCGAGTAGCTGGCCTGCCTCGTGTCCTTTTTCTTAAAGTGCACAGACGCTTCCCGTTGCAACATGCCTGGGCGGCCTTGGGTTTGTCGGCTGAACTTTTTGGTCAAAATCGCATTGACGAGGCTGGTGGGTTCCAGGCCGAGCATCTCCGCCGCCACAGCCACCGCGCCACCCGCCATGTCGTCGGGATGCACCGCCGCCGTCGTGCCTTCACACGTTTCTTCTTCTCCAAATTGCACGTTCCCAAGGTGCAGTAGCCCCGACACGACTCGAAACAGGTCGGTTGCGTCAATGTTGACATACTTTAGGGCTTGAACTAGCTTGCCGAAGTTGCCGCGGTCGTCGAGAAGGGGGCTGGACGTGCACCCAGACTGGTTCAGGTACTGATACTTGTCGATCCAGCCGTCGATATCATCGTAATGCGCGCCAGTCGCATACGGATTCGGAATGAGCTTCAAATCGTTCAACAGTTTGGCGTCGCCGCTTCGAAGCAGCTCGTAAAGCACGTGAAAGTTGCGCTCGCCCGATGGGGGAAGCACGACCCGAGATGTCTCGAGCAAGTACGTGTCGATGGACGCACCGGTCAAGCGCAGCGCCGTGCTCGATAGGTCAATGACATCCGGGGAGAACTGCAGCCGCATGTACTTGCCAAACCGGCTCGAGTTGTGGTTGCGATGGGTTTTGGCATTTCCAAACGACTCCAAGATTGGAATGGTCTTCATGAGCCGGTCGCCTAGCGCATGCTCGTGTGCATTGTCTGCCCCAGATGACATCGACCCGAGTCCAGATCGATCGGTCAAGAAGTCCAAGATGATCTTAGACGTTTCAGTCTTCCCTGACCCGCTTTCGCCGCTGATGACAATTGACTGGTTTTGGCGCACAGACCGCAGCTGTCGGTAGGCATTCTAGATCGATCCATGTGGGATGAGCACGGATGTGGTGGGTTTGTTGGGCTGTACATACTTCGGCGACGTGGAACGGGTGCGGCGGTGACATGTCTAGGGATTGCCGGACGTACATGGACTTGTCCACGGACGTCAAGTACCGTAGCGGGTTCACGGCAATAAGCACGTTCGACATGGACGTGTACGGCTGCCTTTCGTCGGCGATCCATCGGTCGTGCAGGTTTTTCACCAACGAAGCTTCGTGCAAGTACCGCAATGCGGTCATGTCGGCGCTAGTGCTGCATACAGAAAGTGTGACGCTGTATAACGATATGAATGGAGTGATCAAGACGGTACGTGAAGAGAGGATTGGCCGGGCGGACTGCGCACGCGATCGTACTCAACGTGAAGGGCTCCGAGCCCACGACCGGGCCGCCAGTGGCTTCGTCGACCAACGCGGCCGTGGCGGAGGCTGCTGCTTCATCAACGTCACACATCTGGACCAGAACCCATTCGTTGGGCTCTCTTTGGGTCCAATAGAGGTCGCCCACGCGCAACGCTTGGTCGCCCATGTTGTCTGGATACAACAACGAACGACACTGCTGTTTGTAATTTTGACTTGGCACTTGAGATACTGTAGTATTACTAGTATTACTAGTAAAAAGTACGAATGTTCGTTGTCGTACTACTGTATGACCACTGGGTAATAGAATTTCTTGCCTGTTGATCAAACTCAACTGGAGACCTTGGCGACCGCGGCTACGATGTGGACAGCTGTATGCCTGGATGTGGTATGCACGCTCGACTCAAGCCCCCAGGCTGCGCTATCGGCTAACACAATTGAACATCCGTCAAGCTAGTTACGACTAAACACCTACACTACAAGCTTTTTCCTGTGAGATTAAGTCGAACGCAGCTCAGCACTATGCAGTACAGTAAGCTTACAGTAACTTAGTACACTTCCCCGATTAAATTAGTAGTACTGTTTCTTTTCTCTGAAAACACACTGCAAATGCTGTACTTAGTATCCTCAGACCACCTCACCTCTTACTAGGTGAGCTGGTCTGAGGATACTAAGTCTTATACTACGTAGTATAAAACAGCATAGGTTAACTGCGTCGCCAGTGGTTAGCTATCGCTACCGGTGGCGACGCAGTTGACCCTTGGGATTGGCACAGCTCTCGAAAATAAACAGTAGTACTTTTCAATCGAGGAATTATTCACTGTAGTACGTTCGAATGAATGACGTTTTAAAGGATATTGAAGGCCATGACTAGGGTTGGTAGTAGCCACATACATTTATCAAATGAAAGCGCACTTGAAGCTGTGCATGTTTTAGTAATACTAGGTGCATTGTGGCGATTTGATTGGCGATTCGTCGATCTTGAATCACGTTAAACTTGCATACACGGTTTTATTCATTTCGCATCATTCATTCAGCCTTTGGACAAATTCACCGAGGCGATGAGTGACAAGGACTTCGTCGCGGACAGCCCCTATCGCGTCGGCGACCTGTACTGGAAGAAGGACAACGAAGCGTCAGATGACTGGGGGCTGGTCAAGCTCACGAGCGCCGACGTCGAAGCGTGCGTCGGCATGGTTGCCCTCATTGAAGAACGCACTGGAAGCCGCCTGCCAAATCAAACGGAGCCCGTGCAACTCCACGCGGCAACGCTGTGCCCAGCCAACCCATTGTTCACGTACGATCTATCTCGACTGCTCACGATCAACTCTGTCGTAGAACTTGTGCGGACATGACGTCGCTGCGCTACCTCCACGAAGCTGCCCTGCTGAAAAACCTGTACGACCGATGGATCGCATCGGATCGACAGCCATACACGTCCATGTCGAACGTGTTGATCGCCGTGAATCCGCTGCGGTACCTCAAAAAGGTGGAGAAAGCAGTGTTCGTGTCGCAGTCCCTGGACAAGTCGCCACCGCATCCGTACAACGTCGCCGAGGTGAACCATCATCCACAGCATACTTGAAACCTCCCCGTGTTGACTTCGCTCGTAGAACGCGTATCGCCAGCTCCGCACCGTGAAACAAAACCAATCGATCATCATCAGCGGCGAAAGCGGCTCGGGCAAGACGGAAACGTCTAAGATCATCTTGGATTTCTTGACGGAGCGGTCCCAGTTCACCGGTGGCCGCGCGTTGCTGTCGTCCACACTACGGACATCTCGATCCAACCAGGATGACGAAGACTACGACGACGAAGAAGGCCGACCGCACCCGGGCTTGGCGCACAGTCTAGGCGACCGGCTCATGAAGACCATTCCAATCTTGGAGTCGTTCGGAAATGCCAAAACCCATCGCAACCACAACTCGAGCCGGTTTGGCAAGTACATGCGGCTGCAGTTCTCCCCAGATGTCGACCTATCGAGCACGGCGCTGCACTTGACGGGCGCGTCCATCGACACGTACTTGCTTGAGACGTCTCGGGTCGTGCATCCCCCCACGGGCGAGCGCAACTTTCACGTGTTTTACGAGCTGCTTCGAAGCGGCGACGCCAAACTGTTGAATGATTTGAAGCTCATTCCAAACCCATATATGCCCAAGGACCCGCGCCTGTCCAACTGCGACGCGTGGCTCGACATGTACCACTACCTGAACCGATCCGGGTGCACACACAGCGAGTTCTTGAACGACCGCGCGAACTTTCAAAAGTTAAAAGACGCGCTCGTGTTTGCCGGGATTGACGCCGTGCAATTGCTCCAGATTGTGGCAGGCGTGCTCCATTTAGGCAACGTAACATTCCATGAAGAAGACACGGCCGAAGGCTTGACAGCGGCGATCCATCGGGAAGGCGACGCTCCCAACGCATCCATCGACGTCGTGGCCGACTTGCTCGGCATAAAAGCCGACGACTTGATCGATGCCCTGCTCAAGAAGAAGATTGAGCGGACAAAAGGGTCATTCCAACGACGGGGGTCAGTGTACTTTGTAGGAAAAACCAAGCAACAAGCAGCGTATTCGCGGGACACGGTGGCCAAGATGATCTACAACCAGGTATAAAAAGAGTCATACAAAGTCTTGGGTTGCGTCCTCATGACGAAGGACTGCCAGGTATTTTTAAATTCATTTTATATTGAATTAATTTATTATTCTTAAAATAATAATAAATTAATTCAATATAAAATGAATTTAATTTTTTCATTGTCGTGCCTTTGCACCAGGGAATTCAATGTGAAGAATTTATTGAAGTATTCAAATTTTATATTTGCATGCAACATGAAATTTGAAGAATTTATTTTACATATTCGAATTGTATACTATCCTTGATTGAAGAGAATTTATTTTTAAATATTCGAATTGTATACTACGTAGTAGTAGTTGAGAAGGTTATTTGCAAGCAATTAAAAAAATTGAAGACTATATTTCTCAATATTCGAACTGTAGTATGATTGAGATGATTGTATGTTGAATTAATTGTATACTTATAGTCGCGTTTTTTATATATATATATATATTTCATGGTGCAAATGCACGACATTTACGCTAGGTATTTTCGGCACTGATGGTGCAATGTGCCGATATCTTGGAGTACAACGCTGCCCTCCAAGACGAGCTAGCGTACATTGGCGTGCTCGACATCTTTGGGTTTGAAGACTTTCACCCGAAAAATCAAAACTCGTTTGAGCAGCTGCTCATTAACTATGCCAACGAAGCACTCCAGAGCATGTTCAACCTGTGCATTCTCAAAGCCGAGCAGGAACTGTACCAAGCCGAAAACATCTGGGCCCCGCAGAACGCCTCCCTCTTGTTCCCATTTGCGCCACGTCCCGTAGATGGCCTCGATGGAGCCTTCAATATAGCACACGCGTACGCACATATTATCTATAGTTTATAGGGACAACAACCCACCCATGTGTGTATTGTTTATATTTTTTAATATTGTGTGCATTTCACCTAAATTTGGACGTGTGAGTCATTTCGCCAAATTATTCGAATGCATTGGTCTAATATTTAAACTTGTACAAGCTATCCTATTTATACAAAGATTAGGATATATGTGGTTTGGCCAAATGCGGAGAGGTCAAACGTTTGGATTGGTAGTAACTCAACCGAACGTGATTTGATTGGCTTGGGCGGTTCTTTAATCCTTATTCTCTCAGGACATTTGATTCTACTGAGGGCTCGGCTGGTGTTTCGAACCGATTGGACAATATATATATATATATATATATATGGGACTGATACTAGTGTCGTTCGTTGTCTGTAGTCCCAATGACAAGACCATCACATACGACGACAACCGACAGTGTTTAACACTAATTGCCGACCGCCGCGACGGCATCCTATCGATTCTGAATATGGCCGGTCGATTGGTTGGCCAGTCGGATCGAAAATTCAACGAGAAGCTTCATGTGGCGTTTAAAAAGCATCCCTGGTAGATCTATCTACCTATATATATATTTATGTAAATATTGTTAAATATATATATTGTTAGATATATATATATATATATATATCGAACAATCCAACGATTGTGTGGTGTAGCTTTGTGGTGCCACATCCACGCGATGCCCCGTACATGTTTTGCATCAAACACTACGCCGGTGTCGTGCGCTACCACATTGACGGGTTCATCGACAAGAACAACAACGTGGCGTCGCCTCAGTTCCACGAGCTGATTGCGGGCTCGACGCGGTCGCTGCTCAACATGTCATGCATGTCCAAGACGCCCCCTGGCAGCGTCTCGGAGATGTTTACCCACCAGATGAAAGGCCTGGTCGTGGAATTGGACTCAACTCGGAGCAACTTTATCCGGTGCATCAAGCCGAATGCGGCCATGGACGCTCGGGTGTTTGATCGCCGCAGCGTCCTCGACCAACTCCGCTGCTCGGGGACGATCCAGGCGTGTAAAGTGCTCCAAGTGGGTCTTCCCACAAGGGTCTCGTACGAGGAGCTCGTGTTCATTTACTCCGACTTGTTGGGCGCATCGTTCATGGAGAGATTCCACGGCCGCGATCGGCTGTTTACGCAGGCGCTGTGCCACGTCCTGGACTTCCCGTCCGATGCGTTTCGGCTAGGGGACACGCGGCTGTTCTTCAAGACAGGTTCGTATCACGACGTCCCCCCCTAATTATAGTGTTGCAGTAGCCCTTTGGCCACCACCCGTATGGTCCTTTTACCAAAATTTGGACTTATGTGATGAATCGCCAAATCTATCGATTCTTTGTACTGAGTTGGTATCACACTAACTAATTGAAGTCATACACTAATTTGACGTTGATGATGGTTTCCTGCAATCTGATTGGCCAAATCTTTTTGCCGATTCTTGTGTACATTTGGTTGATTCATTCTCCATGTCGCTCAAGTTTAGAATATAAACACAAACATGCTGCATTGCAACTCGATAGTTGTTGGGATATCAAGCCTATTATAAAGCAGAAGGGGACTCTGATACGTTTTGGACTGACTAGGGAAAATTCACTTGCTGGACACGGTGCTAGCAGTTACAACCCCCTGTCCCCCCGCGACCCTCCAAGCCCGATTAATTTCATATTTGGCCAAATCGCGGTGGATCTCGGCCGTGACCAAGACAGTCGTGCTGCGGGCATGCGACGAACTCTTCTGGAGCTGCCGCCAAGGCCGGTGTGTGGTCGTGCTGCAGTGCTGGTTCCGCCAACATCTGGCTAAACGTGTCGTCGCCAAGCGTCGAACGACCGTCCGTCTCTCCCGCAAGTGGAACCTCCTGCTGCAAAAAACTCAAGTGCGCGCGGCGTTCGACCGAAGCGTCCAGGACAAACTCGAGTTGCTAAGCGTGTTGCTGCGCCACCAGACCCTCCCGCCCCACGCCAAGTGGCTCTTGACGTGGCTCGGCCCCATGCAGCGTGCCATGTACGTGCGGAAGCTCGGCCGCGCGGCTTGCATGGCGTATCTGGCCAAGCGTGCGTTTATGGCGTTGCTGGATAAAGTTCGTCGCGAACGAGCGGCGGTGCGGCTGCAAACCCAGGTAACAAAGCCATATAATTGTCTTTTACCCAAAATCATTTGGTTGACTTTTGTGCTGATTCTTTGCCAAACCTATCGATTGATGCTTTGTCCTGTGACTGTGAAGAGATCGTGCAGTTTCACACTAATTTCAGTCACACACTAATTCGATGAATTGAATATATTGGTCAAAGAGTGGATTTGATTGGCCACTTGATTCTTGATCGGGATTTTGATTGGTCGATCATCGATTGTGCACCCCAATCGACATTACACCTGAATACAGTGTGAAGTGCTGGTTATTGAAGTGATGGGTTCGGTGGTAGTTTCGACGGGTGTTGGCCGTGTCACGTTTCCAAAACTTGGTCAACCGGCATCGCGCGTTGGCGCGCTGGAGTCGCATCCGTTTGGCCATGAAAGTAAACATGTGCGTGCTGGCCATGTATCGTCGGGCGCATGTGATAGGGTTGGAGCGCGATGTCGCGCGGCTGACGCTCGAAGCTAACGAGTTTGATCTTGTCAAGGCATGTCTTGTTGAAAAAGTGACTTCGCTCGAATCGTTGGTGTCGTCGTGGCCGCTCAAACAAGCTGCGTTCGACGTAACTTGCTCCGACTTTGCCATGCAAGTGACCGCGCTGACGTCGGAAGTGGCGGCAAAAGACGCGGAAGTGATCGACATGGGCCGTCGCTTCGAGATCGTGCAAGCTCAACTGGACAGGTCCGTGGATGCACAACACGAGCTAGACAAACATGTCCACCGATTGCAAGATGAAAACACGACATGGATGCAGCGTTCGACGGCGTTGGAGCTGCAGGTGGCTGATCTCAACAACATGCTGGCGCTGTCCAAGGCTCGCTATGCGACGCTCGTGGTGGAAACCGACGCCCGAAGGGACTCATTTGCCACGCAAGTGGACGCCGTTGAAACCAAAATGAACGATATCAAGCACGACGTGCGCTTGAAGGCGGCGCAAATTTCAGTACGTTTTTCATCTCAAACCATGAGGAGGTTGGTTCGAGACGGGGTTATGGATGTAGGAACTGGAAGAGTACAACGCAGAGCTCAAACACGAACACGAATCCGTGGTGACTCAATTGGAGGACTTGGAGCAGCTGCACGAGCGAGAGATGGCCACGCAAAGGCGGCAGGTGACGGCACTGACGTCGGACGTGGACGAGTTGCGGCTGCGCCTGGCCGCCGCGACCGAAGAAATCGAGCGCAGGATCATGGGTGCCGTGGTACGCCTCATGTGCTGTTTGTTCTCGACGATGGATGATGATAGTTATGACGGATTCATATATATATATATATATGGTGTTTAGGAGCTAGACACGATTCGACATGGGCTTGAAGAGGACATATCCACACTTGCAGACCAACGGAATGCTATGGCAAATGTGAATGCAGCTTTGAACGGAGATGTGACGCGTCTGAAAGCGTGCGTGGCAAGTGCCCAAAATGACATTGCATCCTTCGAACGAAAGCACAAGCAGTTGCAATTGGACCTGGACGACGCTACCGCCACCATCGACTACCAGTCGATCCAACTTGCAGTAATATGAAAACTACACTCCATGTCTTACAATTATATATATTCACTGACGATGGGGAGTAGGAAGTTGAAGGTATCAAGGCCCAATACAAAGCCAAAGACGCGGAACTCAAGGCTCAAAGTGACTTGCAAGTGGCCAGCTTGACGACCCACCTACACCAAGTGCAAGCACAACTGTCGCAAGCGTTGGCAGCGGTGGCGCTCCACGAGAAGTCCGCCTTGGTAAGGGACTTCGCCGATCGAACAAGACGAAACCTCAGGTTGGATGTGTATAGGAGTTCGAACGCTTCAAGGAGCAGTCGGCCGTGGACCATATCACGCTGAAACAAAACGTGATCAACATGACAAACTACGTGGGTGACTGCAAGCGCAAAGAGGTGGCGCTGGACGCTGCTTTGACTGACCGCGACGCCCAAATCCAAGAGCTGACTCGGCAGCATCAACTTGACGAGCTGCGTGTTAAGGAATTGATGGGGGCGTTGGAAACGACTCAGCATGCGCTCAAAACGAAAGCCGCCGCCGTCGAGGTTGGTCATAACTTTGTGATATATTGTCATCATGAACATCCTGCGGTGACGTAGGAGCTGGAAGAGTTGCGGCGCCAACTTATGCAAGTGCATACTTCCCTCACGGAAGAACTAAATGCGATCAAGCACGACCAGACGATTTCAAAGCAAGTCGAGGCAGACTTGGATGGCCAGTTGGCAGAGTCGAGTCATCGGGTGGTTGAGCTATGCGCGCAGCTCCAGCATATGCAACTTCGATTCGACCAAGTGCAAGATCACATTGCCGTCAAGGACGTAGTCGTGTTGGTATTGTTATATACATGTTCTCCTTATATGACTAAACCTGTAAATGCTATGTGTAGGCCGAAGAAACGATCAAGTTGCAACTGCAGGTGGACAACGACGTCCTAACTCAAAAAGTCGACGCGTCCAAGCTGGCGATCTCACAAGTCCGAGCCAACGAACTCGCCTTGACCAGTCAGCTCAGCGCCCAAACCATTGAAATGCAAGCGCTGGCCTGTCGGCTGGAGACCTCCGAAGCGGCCTGTAAGGACGCCACGTGGCAAATTGAATTCCTGCAATCCAAGATCGACGTACGATGTCCATATGTCGACGACACCCGTGGCTTACACAAGTGCATAGGACGCTCAAGCGACGGCGGCGGCGTTGGCCGAGACGAAAGCGCAGCTTCAAGCCCGTGTCGTTGTATTCGAGAAAGCAAACCCGCCAGAGTCGACTGAGCCGAGTTCTGTCGACACCCCATGGATTTCAAACTCGCACGACCACATCACGACGTTAACGGCAGAGCTATTAACTATCCAGCACCAGCTCAGTCAAGCCAAGAACCAAGCGGACACGACGACAGCAAATGCTCCCGTAACACGACAAGGCGACGAAACGATGATGTATTTACAATGTGTTTCTTATAGGAACTGGAAGCACTCCAACACCAAATGACGCTCAATACGTTGACACTCACAGAGAAGATGGCAACGTTGGTCCAAGCATCAGGAGAGGCCAAACAGCGACAGACGCAGCTCGAAGCGCAAGTGGCCGACGGGTTGCGCCAGGTGCAAGTACTCACAAGTCAACTCGAACACGCCCACGACAAGTGGCGCCAAGCTGAAAACCAACTGGCAGCTACACTGGCAAACGTACGTATATGAAGATATCTATTGAAATGCTAACACCTACTACTACTGGTCAGGAACGCAACGCCCCGGCCAGCGACGTGAGTGACCAGTTCCCACGTTCACCGTCACAGGTTCACTTGGAAGGACAGTCGTCGTCGGTGGTTCCGCTCATATCCGACTTGGAGGTGGCGCATGCAGAGGTCGCACCATCCAACGACTTGATTGCCTCCACGCAGCAACGCGAAGACGAGCTAGACGGCCGACTCGCCGCCTGCACGGACCATGTTTATGCCCAGGAAGCCCATCTATCCCATCCAATGGCCACATTTGACACTGCAGAAACAAGCAAGCCGACCGCGGACGCCAAGGACGAGCAGTTGTCGGTATGCAACCGCAATATATGGCTGACGTGGAATCTCAACGACAATGATATGTAGGACCTGGCGAAATCACGAACCATTCCCAACGAAGAGCAATCCACGTTCAACTTGGACGATCAATCGGAGGTGGAGGAATCTCCATTGACGTCCACGACGGTCGTGACCATCGCATCCCCCAGGGGGGTTCAAACAAATACAGGGTTTCGTACGACCGACGCATCAGTATCGCAGATCGCTCGACACAAGCAGGTCCAAGTCAACTTGAACAAGGAGAATCGAGTGGCGGCCTTGGAAGCCCGGCTCAAGGTGCTGGAACTGCAACATGAGCTCAACCAAACCGAGACCTCCCGCGCCCACGAGTGCATTGTACGAATCGTACTTTGCACATGTCTACCGTTGTTGATGCAAATGTATATTCGTTGTAGGCGAATTTGAAATCCACGATTGAGGACAAGGACCATATCATTGTCGAGCTACGAAGTCGACTCGCCATGGACGAACTGAATGACGGCGGGCAGGTCGCCGTGGGGACGCAGGGAGGAGAGGCCGAGTCCCCAACGTCCATGTTTGCTCGCCCCACTAGTGGCGAACATTTTCACGCAGCGTGTTATCAACTGGAAATGGAAGCCAGGCGACAGCAGCAACTCAATCGGAGGCTGCGCAAAGTAGTGCTGCAAACTCGCTGGTAAAGCGGCCAATTGTAATACATGGGCCATGAATGATACATGGACTTAGGGGCGGAGTGCCCGCATTCGAACCGGACGAGCTTCGTATCAGTCAAGCGTTTACCAGCTTCGACGTCTTTGGCAGCAACGACTTGGAGTTTACGACTGTTGCTTGAGGTCATGAAAGTGTAAATCACAGTGGAAAGAGGATCTAGCTACACGTATATAAGTACACAGTTTGGAATCGATTGTATGTTGTATTGTGCTTAAGCGCAGAGAACGGGCTGTCATGTATGAACGTGATGACTACAGTACTGCAGTAACAGAGTTGGTACTCGTCAGAGTTTTGCTAGTTCTGTCTCCGACTCATGTAGCAGTGACCATTATTGAGGGCACTTGCCTCAGCACGAGCCTATCAATTTACCCATCCATATACGGTACTAGTAAACAACATGTGAATGATCAGCTGACATGCTCCCGTACACTGTATGCCATGCAAGTCCATCAAACTTTGCATTCGTACGATTGTGATCTCATCTTGCGACATACTTGCTCCACAGTGGGGGTATCTTTCGTAGTACAAGAGAAGGGGGACATCCCACTTTCCATTCAACGTACTTTGGTATGAATGTTGCGATCAAGCACACACACACACAGGACGGCCGGCGTGCCGTCGATCGGTCATGTGCCATGACGGATGTACAGTATCATAACCTTGTATGAGTGCAGAAGTGAGGCAGGATCTCGAATGCCATTGGCTGGTGCGTTGATCTTGAGCCAATCAGAATTGGCCTTGAGAAAGTGCGTTAAGTGCGGTTGTTTTCAACCTGAGGGGGCAAATCACTTTGAGATTTTTATCCTTTCGGTGGAGATGAGTACTGCCGTGACGACGACAACCTTTGTGGCTGGGGACCTGTACTGGAAGAAGGCGGGTGACACGGAATGGGTGCTAGGCCGATTGACTGACGTGGAGGAGGATACGGCGTCGTTTGAACTTGTGGACGAAGCTACGGGCGATGCCCTTCCGAACGAAGCGGAATGCGTGCACTTGAACAGCGAGACCCTTGTGCCCGCGAATCCATTGTTTGCGTACGTTTTTCGACGACATATACACGTGTCCATGACAGAAACCATAGGACGTATCCTGATATGACGTCGTTGCGCCACATGAACGAACCATCCCTCGTGAAGAACATCTACGATCGATGGAGCAATGCCGACTGCCAGCCGTACACACGAGTGTCCAACATCTTGATTGCCGTGAACCCGTTGCGGCGCTTGGGGACGGTTGAAAAGCTTCCGTTCGTGCAGCAATCCCTGGACAAATGTCCTCCGCATCCGTACCACATTGCAGAAGTACGTGCATGGATATCGCGTTCCTGCATGTTCGTCACCATGCTCTAGAATGCGTATCGTCAAATGCGATCCGTGAAACAAAACCAATCGATCGTCATTAGCGGGGAAAGCGGATCCGGCAAGACGGAAACGTCCAAGATCATCTTGAACTACTTGACCGACCGGAGCCTCACGAGCCGCCACGAGCTCGACACGCCGCGTGGACCGTCAAACCAATACGATGAAATGAGTCGCATCAGCATGACCAACACCAATACCACCACCAACAACAACCAAGACGTCGACCACGCGCTCGGCGACCGGCTCATGGAGTCGATTCCGATCTTGGAATCGTTTGGGAACGCCAAAACCCACCGCAACCACAACTCGAGCCGGTTTGGCAAGTACATGCGGCTGCAGTTTACGAAAACGCCGACGGACTTGCACTTGTCGGGCGCATCTATTGACACGTACTTGCTTGAGACGTCGCGGCTGGTGCAAACTCCTCCAGGGGAGCGCAACTTTCACGTGTTTTACGAGCTGCTTCGCTCTGGAGATGCCCAACTGTTGAACGATCTCAAGCTTGTGCCGAATCCGTACGCAGCAACATCGGCAGCATCCTCCTTCTCCATCAACAACAACAACGACAAGGACAAGGACGACGACGACACGCCGCCCATCGAACACTGGATCAACGAGTACCAGTACTTGAGCCGATCAGGGTGCTCGAGCGACGTCTCGCACGACACAGCCAACTTTAACAAACTCGTGGATGCGTTGGAGTATGTCGGTATCAACTCGGATGAGCTGTTCCGTGTCGTGTCTGGCTTGCTGCACTTGGGCAACGTCACGTTCGAAGAAGAGGACACGATCGAAGGCACGACTGCCACCGTCAACCAGAACGACCCCGCGCAGACCGGACCGTTGGAAGTGGCCGCGGACCTCCTCGGCATGGACCCCGACACGCTCCTGGATGCGATTCTCAAGAAGAAAATTAGCCGCATGGCCAACGAAGGGACGACGTTCCATGACCCTCAAGGCGGACGTCCGGGGCTGCAGCGCGCGGCGTCCGTGTTCTTCTTGAAAAAGGACACGCGGCAAGCCAGCTACTCGCGAGATACGATCGCCAAAACCATTTACGACCAGGTTCGTCATGTTACCTCTTGGTTGGATATGTATATATATAAATATGTACCACTGTATGTTATATACTCTTTAAAGCACGTAACTTTTAGAGGGATATTTTTTATATATTAATACGATATATATATATATATGTCTATGTAGGTACGTATCACCTCTGTATATTATACTCTTTAACGCACGTAACTATTTGTATGGATATTTTGATATTTTTTTATACATGAATATGATAGTTATGTCAATATGATAGTTTATTTCAATACACAGTTATGTACATTTTAAGTCAAAGGAATCATCCATGTATATATATATATATAATACTACACCAAGAACATTTATATATGTATGGATTCCTTCGACGTATTATTATATTTTTTTTAGAAACTCGTACATCTTTCGTGTTGATATATATATATTGAGAGCGTTGGTGTGTAGGTGTTTGGGTACCTCATGGGCCAATGCGCAGCTGCGCTCGAGTTCAATTTTGACAAAAAGGACGAGTTGCCGTACATTGGCGTGCTCGACATCTTTGGGTTTGAGGACTTTGAGCCCCAGAATCGCAACTCGCTGGAGCAGCTCATGATCAACTACGCGAATGAAACGCTGCAAAACATGTTCAATCAGTGCATTCTCAAGAACGAGCTGGAGCTGTACCATCTGGAAAACATCTTTGCGCCTCAGAACGCGGCGCTGCGGTTCCCCATCTTCCGCCCCGACTTGATCGACCACTCCAACGACTCAGGCATCAAATCCAAGCATCTTGTGGTGCAGTACGACGACAACAAGGACTGCATGGCGCTGATTGCCGCCAAGAACGAAGGCATGTTCTCAATCATCGACACTGTCGGCAAGTTGGCAGGTCCGTCGGATCGTAAACTCAACGAGACGTTTCGCAAACTGTATTCGCAGCATCCTTGGTACAAGACTATATATATATATATATATTATATGATGACGGAAATATATTGTTGATGATAGCTTTATCGAACCGCATCCCCGCGACGCCAAACATACATTTATCATCAAGCACTTTGCTGGGACCGTACGGTATCACATATCGTCATTCCTGGACAAGAACAACAACGTCGCGTCCACACAATTCGACGAACTTGTGCAAAGCTCGTCGCTCGCGCTGTTAAAGACGCCGCTTCTGCGACAAGTGGAGCCAACCAGTCGTCGTCGAGGCGGCGTCCACGCGCACAAGGCGCCTGCTGGCAGCGTGACCCATACATTTGCCACGCAGATGAAAGGCCTGGCCGTGGAATTGGACTCGACGCGAAGCAACTTTATCCGGTGCATCAAGCCGAATCCAGCCATGGACGCTCGGGTGTTTGATCGTGAGAGCGTCGTGCACCAACTGCGGTGCTCCGGCACGGTCCAGGCGTGCCAAGTGCTCCAAGTGGGTCTTCCCACAAGGGTCTCGTACGAAGAGCTCATCGACACGTACATCCACCTGCTCGGGATGGACTTTATGGTGCAATTCCACGAACATGGGCGGACGTTTGCGCGTGCGTTGTGCTTTGTGCTCGAGTTTCCCACAGACGACTACCGGCTAGGAGACACCAAGCTCTTCTTCAAGACGGGCAAAATCCACTTGCTTGACACGGTGCTAAACGTCACGCCCAAGTGGGACGCCGAGGAGCTCGAGACTCGCCTCGTCCAGTACACCGTCAAACGGCGGTGGATTTCCGCCGTGACCAAAGTGGTGGTCCTGCGCTTGTTTCGCAAGATTTACGTGCGCGTGCAGCTGTCCCGGCGCGCGCTCGTGCTACAGTGCTGGTTTCGCCAAGTCATTGCAACCAACTTGGTCAAGAAGTTGCGCACGCAGACCCGCGTGGCCAGCGCGTGGAATGCTTTGTGTTCGAAAGTGTGGGTGCAACAAGCATTTGGAGGCAGCGTGGACGACAAGCTCTTGTTGCTGCAGGCGCTGCTGCGAAAGAACGCCGACGTGGTGTTATCCAACAAGAAGAGATGGCTGCTCACGTGGCTCGGCCCCCTCGAGCGGAGCATGTACGTCAAGAAACTCGGCAAAGCAGCATGCGTGTCGTACTTGGCCAAGCAAGCATTTGTGCAGCTCTTGACCCAAGTGCGGGAAAAGCGGGCTTGTGTTAAGATTCAGTCCCAAGTACGTACGATATAATGTGTCGTCGCTCTTTGAAATATCGTTCATTATCACCACGTACATATAAACTATTATTGTGATGGTCCTAGTTTCGCCGGGTACTAGCCACAAAAGAGTATGCTGGCTTGCGGCGGCAGCAGAAGACCGACGAGCGCTGGAACTTGGTGCGCAATTGGGTCAAGGGGCGCTTTTGCTTTGTTGCGTTGTTCCGACGGGCGCATCTCGCCCGCCTCGAGCGCGACCACGTCACACTCTCAAACCACGTCGCACACGTGAACGCCCAACACGACGCGATCGCCCAGGAATTGACCACGTCCAAGGGCTTAGCGTCGTCACTTCAGGTCGAATGTGCCCAATTTGAAGCCCAACTGGCTGCATGCAAGCACACGATAGCCCGGCTAGAAGCGCAAGAAGCGCAAGCCACACTCAAGTACGAAATGACCCAGGAGCTAGTGGACGTTGAAGTGGCCAAAACATCGGTACAACAGTGTGTTTGTGCTTGATGAGTTGATAAGATGATTGGGTAGGAGCTTCAAGAGTCGGTCTGTGAGTTGACTTTGGCGAATGCCACGTTAAACACTTCGTTGCGGCAAGTGGAAAGTGCCTTGCAAGTGTCTCGTGGCCACGAACAAGCACTTCAAGTTCAGCTCCAGGACAAACATAGCCAACTCAACGACCTGTCTGCGCAACTGCACAGTTTGCACATGTCTTTTGACGCTGCCACGAACACCATCAACGACCAAACCAGCCAAATCTTGGTATTACGATGATGGAGCGATGGATCCATATATGATGGGTTGTTTCATATATGTGATAAACATGTGTGATCTAGGAATGGGAACACAAGTACTCGCAACTCGAAGCCATCCATGTGGGTCTGACTAGAGACGCCGAACGTCGGGCAGCCTGTATCGCAGATGCCGACGCCAAGAAGGAAGAACTCGAACACGTCATCACACGAGGCAACTTGCAAATTTGCGACTTGACTAGCCAGATCCATTCATTGCAGGCGCGACTCGACCATACGTCCAACCAACTCGACGATGCCACACTTCAAATCCGAGTACGTTGTCGTCTATTCCTTCACCTGCGGTTTAAAATGACATGTTTCTTGTTTCAATAGGAGTTGGAATCGACCAAGACCGCTGTCCAAGATCAAGTGGCCGCGCTGTCGGATGCATTGGAAGCTTCGAAAATCGCCGCCCGCCACAGCGACAAGGTGGACGCGCTGGAAGCCAAGGTCGAATCGCTTCAAAGTCAGCTAAAGGACGCCCAAAAGCAAGACAAGGCGCTCAAGGACAAGCTGTTTTCTCTGCGGGCGGAAAAGAACAAGCCGACACCCGTCAATATGGAGCTCATCGAACTCTCGACCAAGCTGGCCAAGCGCGAAAGTCAAATTGCCCTACTGACCAGTCAACTCCAGCACGCGCAGAGCATCACCAACGACGCTGCCAGAGCCGCCGCCGACACAGCTGTACGTCCATAGTGTATGTGTACATCAAGTCTCGTTATGACTGTGTGTTGGATAGGCCCTGGAAGCCACCGTGTCGAAGCGCGACTCCAAGATCGAAACGCTCAAGACACTCCTCAAACAATCCCAAGTGAAGAAGGAAAAGCTGCTCCACGAAGCCAAGTCGTCGCAGGGGTTGGTGGAGAAGCTCATGATGGAGCATCAAGAGCGAGAACTTCGAGCGGCCTCTGAATACGCGGCCACGGTCGCGGCCTTGTCGGCGGAACTCGACCTCGTGAAAGCGCAAGCTGCAGCTGCCGTCGAACGATCTGCGACACGGGTTGAACTTGCCCCCACACATGGCACCGACGACGACGACGCTGTCACAGACGAAGAAGACGACAAGGCTCATGCAACGGCAGCGTCGTCTTCTTTTGCTTTCCAAGCTAAGACCACGGCGTCCGTTGCAGTCGTGCTAACAGCGGTCGTAGTACGTGAGTTTGTCAAGGCACGCTTTGGTTAAGCCGAGTTGCAGTCCTAGTATAATGCAACTTGAGTCTGCATCAAATAGATTGCTTTCGATATAGTGGACATGGAGTGGATACATGTAAGTGCCTAACGTTACGCCAGTTAGGTTACCAATGTTATTACTGTATCCACAGTCATTCACTATTCGTTCGTTGCTTTCGATATACTACTAGAATGCGGAGACATATATTTTGAAGTCGCTACAAACTACTATCATTTCCAAAATATGCGTCGTTTTCACATAATATCGAATCTCACTGGACCTTTCTGATTGACTGAATATATATATATATATATATATTTATAATATGTACTTGTCCGTTCTGGAAGATCCAATCGAGTTCGTTCAATATTTGATTCGCCAATTCGGTAGTAACGTCAATTCGTGATTGGATTCGGCGGCGAGATTCGACACGACAGGGTCTGGAAATTTATACCGAATCCACAATGTAATATATATATATTATAGATTATTGGCTTAACTAGTTACTCGATGCTGGAGTAAGACCCATGACCCGACCCAGCCCGCGATGCACCTCGACTTGCACCGTGTTGCCGGCAAACCTTTCTCCGTCCAGCGACAGAAAGTTGGTGTCGTCCACTTTCAATTCAAACGCTCTACAAAATCCTCGTCACATATATATCATCATCACATATATATCATCATCACATATACATCCTCGTCACATATCCATCCAAATCTGACATCAGTACACTCACTACCTTGTCTTGATCACACGGACCGACTTGAGGGCCGCGTGGGCGCCAGTTTCCAAGCCGAGGAGCACGCGGGTCATGGTCCACACAGATACAACCCCCTCGACGACCACCAAGTAGACGAACCCGTCGTTGGCTGTCGCGCCAGGCACGAGGTGCACGTCCCAGGACGGATGGCTCACGCTGCTCGACCAAAACAAGCTGAAGTTGCCGTCGATGGTTGCCCATTTCTCCGAGAAGTCGCCGCCCATGGTCGCAGGCAGCAGACTTGTGATAGGGGCGGCGGACGAAGCGTCGTTGCCGTGCATGTCCCAATACGATTGAGGCTGTGACGAGGTTTCACCTTCAGGGACCAAGTACGTCAGCCGACCTCGCCATCGCTTGAGCGACAGCATTTTGATCACTGCGGCCATGGTGAAGCGCGCCGACCCCATGAACCGATACCGCTCAGAGTCAAGGTCCACGTCAGCAATGAACGCCCACGACAAGCTTAAGAAGCTATACCGCGTGGAAGAGGCATTTCCTACAACCAAGTCATGTCAAAAATATCCTACAGAGATCCTAGTACAAATATATGTAGGTATATATATATATATATATATATATATATATATATACGTGTAGTGGCCATATCGAGGGGTTGGGGGCTGCCTTTGACAATAGCATATGCACTGTTTACAGCGCTATACTCTTCGTGGTTGATATGGAGCAAGGATTTCACCAAGCCATTTCCGCTTCCCCCAGGAATGATCTACGAAAATGCATTGTGTGATTGATATTTTATAAACACAATATATATATATATATATTCATATCTTGCGATTCATACATACCCCAATGGGAAACCGAATTGCTTGTACCCAATCTGGTCGCTTCATCAAGCCTTGCACGACTACCAAATCGATGGTTATTGTTGTGAAGGCAATAACGACGATGATGTGGTGTGGACATACCTTCCGACACCAACCCATCGCCGCCAACGCACACCACAAAAGCATATTCGGTCAAGTCTAGCGACTCGACGATGTCCGTTGCATGTGCTTCGTGCTTTGTGAGCACCTTGGTGACCACGATGTTGGCAGCTTCGAACACGGCGTGCACCTTGTGGTCGTACGTTCGTTGCGCATGCCCTAAATGTATCCACAACATGAGTTCGTTGGCATGCTGCTTCCTTCCAGCGAAAGAGTGAGTACCTGTTCCGCCCACTGGATTGATTAGCACAAGGCACGTCTAAGCAATTACGCACATCAAGAACGAGAAAGGGGAGCCACATCGTTAAGCGATGCACATGTGTATCACCTGCGCGGGGGGAGCCTTGTCCGCCATGTCGTCGATGGATGGCAACGAGGACTTGTGAAAGTGGTGAAATTTCGCAATGTATCGAATCGCGTTGGCAAACTTCCCTACGTCTTCGCTAACTGGCCCTTCAAGCACAATCGTATCAAGTTGCCGATGGCCGTGTGAGTCCTTGACGCATGTGCCGATGTGGAGGGTGGTGCTGTTCGAGCTGGCCCCGACCACATCTTGCCATGTCACATGCAGCGTCTTCTCGCCGCCTTGTTTGACGTCAAGTCCCAGCGGGTCCATCCACAGCTCGACCGTGCCACCATTGTACGTAAAGGCACTTCCCAGTGCCAGCGCTCCATCCGACGACGCGTTGCTTGCCGTCATGCTTGGTCGAATTGTAAAGTGCTGCTACTTCTGTGACACTTGAAAAATTAATTCCACTACAGTAAATATTGGACATGAATGTATTTTATTAAAACAATATCAACTATCATGTATATTCACTATGTAGAAACCTGATTTATTTTAATGTACAGACACAACTTCAACCAAATTGTCCACTACATCGAGAAATCCTTCCCCTTTCAAACAGCAACTTCGAACTTCAAAGTGCAGTTCGTGGCGTCGTTGAAACCGTCGCGACAGCGTTGACGTCGGCAGCATGCACAGCGTGTCCGCATGTCCTCCGCGCTCACACGACGAAGCTTGATGCAAAGTTCCGTGCGTAACCCCCCCCCTGGGACCGCAACCCTGGAAAATCCTCCATTGAAAACGACAACGGTGACGTACCCGCGACTGTTGGAGAAAATCCGGATAATTGGCTATTGCTACGGTGGATTATTCCAAGCAAGGAGCGATGGACGGCGGCATCGGCGAAATGTCCGCGCCGTCTTCTCCGTTGAAGGCGCATCATCGATCTCGCAAAGGTGACAAGCGAGAATCACCATCCCGTCAATCGTCCTCGGACAAGAAGAGCTCGAAAAAGCCCCATGACCTGCCCCAGATGCAGTTTATTGACTTTGACGTGATCAAAGGGTACGTTCGACAGTGCCGTATCCACCATCCATGTGTTGAACCCACAATGTATGACGTTAGCTCGGCGTTCTTCAACACCAAACCCAGCAAGTACAACAAAGAGCTGGTGCGCCAGGGGTTTTACCGCGCGATCCTGTTTCCGTTCTTTGGCCAGTACTGGAAACAAAAGGCATGCATGTCCCCCTTCCTCATCTTCGTTACCATCGAGACAGGACTCTTATCCTTTGACTCTAGGACCATTGGTTCTATGCTGGAACGACCGCAGTGTACGTCGTACATTTAGTGGCCACCGCCATGTACCTCGCAGACGTCCGAAACGAGCCAGCGCCGCTAACGTCGTTTGAAATATGGACCCCCGTGGTGCTGTTGATCTTGACAGCGTGTGGATACGGCCGCGTGTCGTCGATCGTGCTGTCCGCCGACCCCGAGGGTAGCCTGAGTTTGAACGGCCAACTGCACGGGATCAACTTGCACTCTCCGCTGTCGACACCCCTTGCCGCCGCGAGCAAAGGACGAGGTCCACCACCGCGAGATCACACGCACGCCCCCGTGGTGGAAGGGGTCAACAGTATCGATCCGTCGTTGCTCGAGTCGGAAGGGTCGTCGGGGGAGAGCGGCGACAGCGACAGCGACGGCGGGGCGTCCTCGTCCTCGGAAGACGAAGTGCCCAAGGCCCTGGACGAGCACGACGACGTCATGCCGTTTCCCCACTCGGTAGAGTCGAAACGATTTATACACCCAGTCCGTGATCGCCCAGTGTTAGCAGAACCAGCGGCGAAGGTTCAGCGAGTCATCGTTCGGAGGCGATCACATCACCCACCGCCGAGTTAAAGTGTGTGTGTGGAAAGGCAACCAACTCGTGAAAGAAGCCATGTCCATCACGGAGCTACGCAACCACATCCTTCTCAAGGTACCATCCTCAGCATATGAATACACGTAGAAGTGACTTGATTTTGCAGGTGAAATCGCAGCCGCCCCGTCATTTGTACCGGACCGTGGCGCGGTTGAGTGGGTGTCTTGTGGCGCTGGTTCCGCTCTTGTTTCGCGTGTTGCAGTACTTTCACGACCAGCACATCAACATCTACGACCCATATGTTCTTTACGAGGTATGCAAGACACCAAGCCAGCATCCATCCACTCATTCATTCATTCGTCCATCTACCCATCTTCCCTGATGATATTGATCGACCAGGCGGTGCCGTCGCTCGTGCTGAAAACGTCGCGGCTACCTCTCGCCGTCGTCGTCGCGTTTATCCAGAACCATTTGTGCCTCGAGTCGCTGCTGTCAGTGTCGTGCACGGCCGCCACATATATCATGGGCAGCGTTATCTTTTCCGCGCTCGCCGACGCAGAAGTCACCTACCACCGGCGGTTTCTGTACGCCAAGTGCTTTACGGCGCTCACGTCGTCGCGGCGATCCAAAGCGTCGCACTTGCCGCATTTCCGCCTCAAGAACGTCGTCAACATCAAGGCGTGGCTGAGTCTGCGCGGAGGGCGCTCCTGGCTCAAGCGTCAGGGCCGACAGCGGGCCGCCGACGAGATCGTGTCGACCAGCTTCCTCATCGTGCTGCTGTTTTTGGCGGTCATGGGGGTACAGGCTGTGTCGGAGACCATGCCCAATACAACATCGCACTTGTCCACGGTGCTGCACACCGAAGTAACTGTGTGGTGTTTACTCTCCAGGTATGTTTATATTGATTGTCCTTTTACCCAAAATTTGGTTGACTTTTGTGCTGAAATTAGTGTGACAACTAAACGATCTTTGAACATACAATAGTCAGGACAAAGCATCGATCGATGATAGGTTTGGCAAAGATCGTTTAGTTGTCACACTAATTTCAGTCACACACTATTTATTTGTTGAAATGGTCGAAGAGTGGATGTGATTGGCTACTTGACTCGTGTTCTGGGTTTTGATTGGTCGTATATCGATTGATTGCCGATATTTGGTGATTCTGCTCATTCGATTGAGAGCGCACCCAAACACTCCAATTTGAATATATCGACTTGACAATAACGTATCTGCAACGAAGTACGTACGTCGTTGAAATGGATATTATTATTGGAACATCGATGTGAACAAATGTTTGACTTATTTGTATTCCCCCGCGGTGAGGATTTATATATGCTTGTGTGTGATCAAGATTGGGTTTGGCACGTTGTCTATATCAAGAATAAATATAATTGTCAACATGAATGACTGACTGCGTTCGTCTATTTATTTGTATCTTTGCCCATATCGGTGAATAATCTAAATCTTGTGTGGCGATCGATGGATTGTGTCTGACTTTAATTAGTGTGTTTTTGCTGCGGTTCATGATGCTCGGGTCCAACATCAACCGCAAGTACCAAAATACGTCGCTGTTGCTCACGGAGCAAATGAACGTGTACTTGAAATTACTCGTGACGCCGGAAAAGAAAGAGAAATTGCTCATTTCGAACAACGTGCTCAAGCTCGCCAGCAAACTCCTCAAGGTACCAATCACCACCCCCTAGTATTACTAGTGACGACATTGCATGTCATTCGATGGGTGTGTTGTAGGAGCTAAACTCGCCCAACAAGATATCAGGGCTTACGATGAACCCATTGCTGTACAACGTGACTCGGGTGGTGGTCCTGTCGGCGTTTTCGTCGGCCCTGTCTGAAGTGTTTGGCTTTAAACTCAAGTTGTGGAAAATGAAAGTATAAACATTTGAACAGAACTCATTCGCATAACGTTAGTCCCTTAATGTCATTTCTGAAATGGCCAACTTCAAATGGTGCTACGACTTGTGGTCGTTGACGACACATGTCTCTCCTTTGCTTCGAGTAGTACAGCGTGCTTTCGACCCACAAAACGATATACATATACACAAAATACAGTTCAATTCCGTCCAGTATTTTATCACTGCTAAAAACTACTGCAGTACACGAGAATACAAACTTACTTTGTCCTATTCTAGGACAAAGTTCGAATCGCCTAGACCGATTTACTGTATATTAATATTGCAATGTATACAAACATAAAGACGATACATACACCAGGGCATATATATTGAATGTGACAAGTTATTTTTGCACCAGAGAATTCCTGTGTGAATCTATCTATACTCGCAAGGATGCCGAAATATATAATTTGATGGAGGTGTCCAGCGTCCGACTATTCGAATTAACGGTACTTGGTGGAAGTACTACTACTGTGGTACAGTATGTAGTCAATACGTCGTGGCGAACACGAATTATAAAAGGAGCATTACTTGACTGTGAATACGAGTACTGTACACTGTACAGTTGATTGTACAGTTGCGATTTGTCAGCATGGAGTTTCATTCACTCGTGGGCGACGAGGGGATCAGTGGTTAACATGCAATATATACACATTTTGAGAGGACTAGTCTGCTGAGGATTTGCAACAATGATGTAAGATTATGCATTCACAGTCAAGTGAGCCTCACGAAATCCATGGTATATATTTGAAGAGGTTATTAACTTCAATATACCATTTTTGGTCAGTTTTGCAATTGTTTTCAATTGTATCTCACAAGATATTAAGTTTTGGACATTCGAACTACGTTAACGTAGTTCGAGTCCAGGTTAACAGTGTAAATCGCACCGGTTATTTCGTGGATTCAGACTCTGGAATCCGTTTTTTGTGTTCGATTGACAAAAATATAAACCGGATTTCTTGTGCAAGAATCCGGCCATCGATATAGATGATTATTCTGCTATTCACTGCAGAAATAAATTGTACTATTAATATTAATAGTACTACGTAGTACATTTTAATGGCACAATTTACTTCGAAGTATTTCAATAGTACGTAGTACTATTAACAGTACAGTAAATTGTACTAACAGCTACTCCGGCGTACGTAGTAACGATATTCATGTAACGTTACTCGGAGTTTGGGGTTTCCAGGGTTTCGGGATGTTTACAGTTAAATCTATTGATGAAAGGAACGTCGCAGTCGTGACCGCATGTGACCAAGTGGTCCATCTCATGTTGCTACTTCGCCAAAAAATTTAACCAGTTAAACCGTATTCATGTCCGTGGGAGTTGAATTATATCCGGCAGCGCAGAATGGGTTCCACACTCGCTGGGTCAACAACTGATGTGTATGCAACGGACAAAAGCTACGTTAACTTAGATACACGCAGTTAATTGTATAAGTTGGTACCAAGTTACTTGTATCTCATCCTTGCAGAACTCAATGTGTTCGTCAAAAAACCCTAACGTTACATCCTTGCAGAACTCAATGTGTTCGTCAAAAAACCCTAACGTTAAGTTACGAAGGCTCTGCATCATCGAATGGACCTTGAGTGATGAAGTGGATATCTTGTCCTCTAGTAAAGTTACTACGTAGTATATGATATGTAGTTACATGCACATCTTCCTCTATGATCACGCTACAATCGCGTACAAAACCTTCAGCGGAACGCGTCGTATTCTGTAAACCCGGCGCAATAGCCGACATGAAAGCGCTTTCGACATGACTACTTTCGCTGCAACTCGGTCCGAATACTTTTCGTTTGATCTGACTGACAAATTCCTAAAAAGAGCTGTCATAAATAGTGGATCCATGAGAAGAAGCAACAACCAATGTAGACCAATGATATGGATAGAATGTCCAGGAAGTGGCCAATACAATACCAGACATCCACGATATTCATGTGAATTTACTGCATTTGGTGGATTCTAACAGTAAAATGCAGAGTTCCAAATCGTGTTCGGTGCAACTCATTGACAGAATCCGGATTCAAAAACACTCTGTAGTACTACAGGAGTAGTAAGTAATCATAATCCGGATTCTGGAGTCAGAAATCCTCCTCTAGTATTAATAGTACAATTTATTTCTGCAGTGAACAGCAGAATAATCATCAATATCGATGGTTTCCAGGATCCGGATTCTTGCACAAGAAATCCGGTCTATATTTTTGTCAATCGAACACAAAAAACGGATTCCAGAGTCTGAATCCACGAAATAACCGGATTCTTGGTGCGATTTACACTGTTAAACTGTTTTTTTATCTTAACTATGTCATAAATTGGCATTTTACGTTAACGTTGTTCGAACGTCCAAAACTTAATATCTTGTGAGATACAATTGAAAACGATTGCAAAACTGACCAAAAATGGTCTATTGAAGTTCATTGGCAGAGCCAATAGAATGACGGGATTTGGGTTACGTTTTCATGATTGGCTATCTTGCTCTGAACTCAATCCAAATACTATTATTTAATTGGCTAATCCTGCCAATGGGAATATTTCTCATTGGGAAATCTCGTCCATCCTAGGGGGTAAATAGTACTACGCAGTACCATTTTAATGGTACAATTTATTTCAATAGTACGTAGTACTATTAAAATTGTATAAAATTGTACTTACAGCTATTGGAGATTCGGTATGAATTTCCGGACCCCGTTCAATCAATCTCGCCGAGCGAATCGAGCTCCAATCTCTCCCATTGGCCAATCCGAAATTACTTGTCGCTGACTGGCTACAATCCATTTTCGAGTTTCTACTGGAAAGGGCGAAGTGGATAATGGCCAATCAGATGTCTCGGCTCTATTTGTACGAATCATGCAAAATTGGGAAATTTGAAGAAAATCGACAATACTCCGGCGTAGTAGTAACGTTACTGGTATTCATGTAACGTTACTCGGAGTTATTATAGGAAGTGCTTCGAAGTAGTAATCAATATCCGGATTCTGGAGTCAGAACCCTCCGAACACGGAACGATATCAATAGTACAGTAGTAGGACTGTACTTTCAATACTTGAAGTAGTACGTAGTAGGATTAAAAGTGATCAAGAAATTTGTAAGTGAACAAGTGGTCTAGTACTAGACCTATTGTTCAGTAGTAGTAGACCTCTTACTGTTAATAGTACTTCGAAGTAGTACTGTACTAAGGTAATGCATCAATTATTGACACTGTTTTTGGTCAATTATTGATGCATTATTTATTGGCCATGACTTAAAATCCCAGTAGCTCGAGAACTATAACGATTATTTTAATGCTAATAGCACCACTAGAGAATACAAAACGCCACCATTTTTTTACGTATCATTGAGCATGATTGGATTACATTTCAGATTTGTATCGAAATTAAATGTTTTGAGCTTTATGAAAAGTCGATCACCAACGCTCGATTCTGTAGGTGCTTTTAAATCGGATTATACTTAGTTCTTTTGTTTTTAAGAGAATTTATAAAATATGTTCTTACACTGTTAACAATTACACCCGAAAAATAACTGCGGGGCATAGCCATTGCAGAATGCACGCTTTGTGTCTTGAGCTACAGGTTTCTTTAGATTTGGAACAAAAATGGAATTTCGCGGTGGTGTCATCACCAGGGAGAACGATCGTCCATATAGCGTGTCAAAGACATGACTGCATCAACTGATGCAAATACCTAGCCCCAAAAGTACACGTTTGGTGGGCCCATGATGATTCACAAATTGTTCCGTACTCCGGTGATGTCCATGTAACATGATCCAAAACAAGAGGTCTATTGCTACCATTTCGTGGTTTTCAATATCATATGCTTTGTTGTCATCGTTCAAATGATCCCTTTGACAGTCGACAACGAATTGATTCAATAACATAAATAATTATTAAATAAATGACTTTTATATATCTTAGTCAATGGGTGACTGCCAAATATCTCGCAAGTGCCTCTCGCAAACAAATTTGCGAGTCCAGATAACGTGTATTTTTTTAACCGATGTCGATGGGTGGCAATCGAGGCACTCCACGACTTGGCTCGACCTGCCTTCGTTACCCGGTGAGATTGCGAGAAAATTTGTGCACGATGCCAAAGCCTTTGAAAATGTATTTCGATCATATCAAATTTTACAGTGTCGATGCGAGAGGTTCGCTCACAAATGCAATGTTTGCGAAGACGATTTTTTCGTCTTCACAAAATGCGAGCGTGGTTCTATTTCAAAAATGTCTCAGATTCAACCGGAAGAAGATTTGTTTTGCGAAATATTTGGCAGTCAGTCATCCAATGCCTTGATGGATGATCATTATACATGTTCAAGTACTGACATATTAAAGTTGTTATTATGTGTTGCGATATATTTTTGACCAAAATATTTTCCACATTGATATTTTAATGGGGTGTAGTAAATTGGTTCCCTCAAAAGCTGTGACCATAACTTAAAGCTCAAAACATTTAATTTAAAGCTCAAAACATTTAATTTCAATACAACCCCGAAATGTAGTCCAATAATGCTCAATTATTCGTAAAAAAACGTTAACATTTTATATACTTTTGTAGTGCTATCGGAAATAAAATATTCGTTCTCGTTCTCGGGATTTGATGTCACGACCAAAATTCGACCAAAAACAGTGTAACAATTGGTGCATTACAGTACCGCAACGTTACTGTAGTACTGACGTGCCCTTTGGATGTACAGGGGGTACAGTACAGTACTTCGCAGTAATAGTACTAACTGTAAGCGAAGGTAATCCATTAATTATTGACACGGCACCAAATTGTGAGATTGTCTGACTTTTAGCCAATAGAATCTTGATATTTCGTGTTGACCTTGTATGATTGGATATGATAATATTCGTCTATATATTTTATTACACGTCACAATGTCGAAGTCTGGTCAGTTTTTTTCAATCTCAAAAACAAAAAAGTACAAGAATTTAAATAGAATGTCAACAGAAAGTGTCCCGCCATACAGGCCTACGAGAGCGTCACGGCAGTTGTGCATAGCTTCGTGATACATGGAAGT